CACCTACAACTAGGCAGCAATTACTAGTCTCTGGCTATTTTGTAAGTATCCATAATGCCACTGATAATTTTTTAGGGCATAATTGAACCAAATGAATAAAAACCAGCATCTTGCAACTTGTAAGAAATGTTAACAAGTTAAACCAACACATGGGTGCTCCAACGACGACAATCAGAACACTTGTCGTTTAAAATGGAGCATCAAAATCAATTAGTTGAAGGCATTCACAAAAAAGTTGTGTGTAACACATTGTCTCAAATACAATAACCAGAAAAGCTCAATTTGTATTTGTTAGAAAAAAGTTGTGTGTAACACATTGTCTCAAATACATGAAGGCATTCACAAAAAAGTTGTGTGTAACACATTGTCTCAAATACAATAACCAGAAAAGCTCAATTTGTATTTGTTAGAGTTTGTTCATTTCAGAAAGTTAAACATAAGACATTCCTATTTCAAAATTTGTGGTCTGATGTGTGGCGTGCTCACCTACTCACCTTTTCTTTCATGGGGTCGTTTCGATGATAGCGGCATAACTAAACGGAATTTATTCCTCACTCGTTGGAAGATAATTTTAGACTACAAATTTATAATATGCAACCTGGATCCTTTTCGTTTAAAGGAGAAAGACCTATTCAAGCCAAACGGCATGTCGTTCAACCTCATCATGCTATGGTTTTCTGTATAAACTTAATAAATATCAAATCATAAATTTTTTAGCATTTAACAACTAATATATCTGCACCATGCTGCGGTTGTATATTTTTTCAGAAATTTATTTTGTAATAATGGTTAGGATAATTATTTTTAAAAAAATATGCAGAATGATTTATTCAACAACTACTTGGCATAAAGTGTTTACTAAACAAATGAGCATGAAATTCAACAAGCAATTTTTTTTTTTGTTTGCTTCATATTCCTTCCATCTATAGATGTGATTCTTTGTCTGAAATTCAGTAAGATGCATTTACAATTTATCCTTTTTTTTTCAATATAAGTATAATTTATTACAAATGATAGAATTTAATTTAGTTATATTAGTTTGTGCTTTATCTATAATTTATATGTAGAAGAAACCTTATATTGGGATAATTGATCGGAGTTAATTAACTTGTCCTTGAACAAAAAGACAATAATATAAGAATGAAATTCTGGTTTTCAGCCATCAGGAAATTACAGCACACAAATAACTAACCATATATATATATATGATTTTTCATTGACAATAACAACATAAAGAAAGCAAAATAATTTGGAGTTTCTCAAACCTTTTCAATATATACGTAGCCATTCCCTTCCACTACTCACTCACCAAGCACAAGCTCAAGGCCCTGAATAATAATCATGATAGCTCATCAGAATAGCAAGAAAGTGGCAAAAGAATGCAGTCATGAAGAGAAAAACTATTTCTTTTCAAAATTCAAATAGCAGGAAAACTGATACAGACTATTCTCTTACATCATTCAATAGGATAGGAAACTTTGTTGTCTACACCATCGATGATCGGGGGTTTGTTCTTCCCATATCATATCTCAGTTCTAAGATTTTCATAGAGCTATTAAAGCTGTAACAAGAAGCATTTGGACTACCAAGCGAAGGGCCTATAAAATTGTCGTGTGATGGTATCTTCATGGAGTATGTAGTCTCAATCATCCAAAAAGGTATAGGCAAAGACATGGAGAAAGCTTTAGTACTTACTTCCATGGCAATTAGTTGTTGCTCGATGTCAACTAATTTCCATCAAGAACATACAGGGCAACAATTTCTTGTTTGTATATAATCCCCACATAACTGTTGTGTACTTGTGTCGCATCTTTTGAACAATTTTTATAGATTCTTTATACTGTTGTTAAAATTTATTCTTTTTTTCAGATTTACATTCTCATATCTTCTGCTGGTGAACTGCTTGACAGCAGGATAAAGATATGACATTTCATCTAGCAATCATAATAACCACATAGATATACCATATGTCAAACAAAAAAATTATTAACTCTTTACCTAATTTAGTGCAACATATGGTGTCGATCATTTTGAAGCTTCAGGAATCTTGGCATGTCTGCAAGAAATAAAGAATATTCTTGATGATAGCAATCAGAAGATATTGAGATTCTTTGAAGCACATAGATTAGTTAGGTCTATCAATGGAAGATATACAATAATCGGAGAGAGAAATAAGTAAATTTTGATGGAACAATCCAAAAGCAAAAAAGTGTTAAAGTTACAGCTACAGCTATTGATGCAAGTAGTGTTGACAATTTTTGGAGGTATTTTGTTAAAGTCATTTAGATTTTGTTGTATTTTGTTGAATAGTTTTGATGGAACAAATCCACAACAGCAAAAATGTAAAGTTACACGCTACACGCTATTTGGAGATCGCATAAGTCCAGTGTTGACTCTGATATTAGTTGGGAGTTTTTTCGGTGTAAAAGTCATTTCAGAATATTGTTGTATGTTTATTGTTGAACGACAAGAAAATCAAAGAAGGTAGTTTTGGTCGCCAACGTACCTGTGTCTTATTAGGTAGATAATCTGGTTAACACTTCCTACTTATGGAAGTTGGTTAGACAAACTTTAGACTCGAGGCTTAACTAAAAACTAATTTTATACGTTTATACTCGTGTAATTTATCGGAATTAATAAGAAATGATTAGGTTTCTTACTACAACACCAACAAATAATAATAACTCTCAGCTATATTTCGGCGTTATTTAATCGCGAGAAATATCCTTTCTCTTCCTTATTTTCTGCTTTCTAAATCAACAAAAAGAAATAACAAAAAGAAAAAAAAAAAATTTGTCCATTGGCTGATGTGGGATTTTAGGCATAGCCCAGGTAAATATAACAAAAAATTAATATCCATCTATATCAAAAGTATGCTACAATAATGTAGTATGAAATTACAAATGTAAAACAAATAAATACACCAAGAAATGAATCAAAGTACAAAAATGATTGCAGCAAGTGGTATCTCATAATTACCACAAAAGTCAAAACTTATTAGGTAGTTAGATAAGATAAAAAACCTTAATTAAATCAAAACAACAAAAAAGTGGGTAGAAAAAGAGGTGAACAAATTAAGTAAACAACAATTACTGCTTGAAATTTTATTCAATTGTAGCCTAACTAATTACAATTATAAGAGAATTATCTAATTTTGTACCTTAGGAATGATATGTTTTCAGGTGTATGAGTTGTGCGACACTTAGCTTCTCAGTGCTAAATTATTAAGAATAAGTATAACAACATAGATATTATATATATTGATACTCCTGCATTCAGCTACCTTGCTTTTAGGTAGGTTCGGTGAACAACCTTCCTTGACTTATGGAAGGTTGGTGAACAAACTTTAGACTAGCTCTACTATAAATATTTACTTTATACTGTAATGGAATTAATAAGAAATTGATTGTTTCTTCACACTCACAAAATCTGCAGCTTTTTCTTTTTCTGCAGAATTTCCTTCTCTTCCTTAATTTTCTGCTCTTCTAAACCAACAAAAAGAAAGTAAAAAGAAAAAAAAAAAACTTTGTATTGCATGGTGGGATACGGTAAAATTACAAAAAATTATATAATATAAAGTGTAAATATGTGTATAAAATTACAAAAAGTAAAAAAATAAATACAGAAATGAATCAAAGTACAAAAATGAATTGCAGAATTTGTATTCAAATTACACAAAGTCAATAAATAGATACAGAAAACAAATTAATAAACAGAAAAAAAGAAGAGGTGAACAAAAATTAAGAAACAAATACTGCCTTGAAAATTATACAATTTAGCCCTAACTATTTACATAAAATTACAATTTTGTCCTTGGCATGATATGTTTCAGGTGTATGAGTGTGCGACACTTAGCTACTAGTGCTAAAACTAAAATATTTAACATCATATAATTATCTGATACTCAATCAGTCTTGAATTGTGGAATCTCTTTTCTTGGAGGATGCGAGCGTACTCATTTGTTATAACTGTATCCAACTACCTAAGCTTTTTTTTCCTTTTTTTTTTTTTATAAAACCACCGGACTCTAACCGCTTAATCCAGCTTATTGCTTAATGCAGTTAAGATTTTTCGCCACTCTCTAATGGGAATCGAATCTGAAAGCTCTTCCCATATAGTCAACCTGAGTCAAAACCCGTGGGTTATGAAGCAACTCTTTAACTAGGTCATAACGAGACAAAATATGGTAAATAGATGCATTGTTTTGTATAACAAAAATGCATTCTTCTTATTTCATATATCCTCAAGAACTTGTAGAAACAAAAAAAAAAAAACTTCTGACATATAAATTTTCGATCTTAACAAACACTTAAAAAATTCCTCATGGAACTATAACGTTGACAAATTTCCAAGACTGTTGCATCTTGTTTTGGTCATATTATTTGTTTTGATTATTTTGTTTTCATCAAAATTTATGTCTTGCAAAAGGACATAGCAATGCAATTTTGTTGGTTATGTGACTTTTACTTCCATTACATCTCTCTTTTTAAGTACCAGTATTTTGTCCTAATGCATCATTATCAAAATGTTTCCCAATCTCTAAAATTAAGTGTTAAAATCCCATCATTGAGGTCCTCTGTCCTGATTATGATCCAAAAAATTCAAAATTTTGCCGTTGGTAACTGAAAATGGTTAGATTTTCATTGTCACTAATGTTGTTGCCAAAAACTAGAGATACCCTTTTTGATGTGATTGATGTTTATTAATGATCATGTATTGGAAAAACCGATTGGATTTACTGTTTCCTTGAGCAAAAAAATAAATAAATTTTAATTAAATGAAGCTTCTCCCATGATAAGAATTCACCTAACATAAATAACTATGCCCAACAACACATCTATCCCCTCCCCCAAGTAACTAAGTGCTTTAGCATTGATAATAACAGTGTAAGGAAAGCTACATAATTTGGATTTCTCAAGCCTTTTGAATCTATAAGTAGTCATTGCCTTCCATTCTGCTTACTGAACCAAGCACTCCTTCGACCCTGAAAACGAAAAATCATGAGCCCAAAGAAGCTTATCAAAAGAGCAAGAAAATGGCAAGAGATTGCAGCTATGGGGAAAAGATTTTCTTTTCCTAGAAGCAATGGCAGTAAAAATGTAGATAGTTCTTATATATCATTGGCTGGGACAGGAAACTTTGTTATTTACACAATTGAGGATCAGCGATTTGTTCTTCCCATATCATATCTCAGATGTAACATCTTTATAAAGCTGTTAAAGATGTCTGAAGAAGAATTTGGACTACCAAGCGAAGGGCCTATCAAATTGCCATGTGACACACTTTTCATGGAATACATAGTCTCACTCATCCAGAAAGGTTTAGGTAAAGATGTAGAGAAAGCTCTGCTTATTTCCATGGAAACTAGTTGTTGCTCATTGTCTACTAGTTTCTATCAAGGAAACACAGCGCAGCAATTGCTTGTTTGTGGTTAATCAATTCTCTGAAAATAGTAATCTTCCCTGTACTTCTCTCACATTTTTTCAAAAAGCTTCCTAGATGCTTTACACTATAAAGTAGACTTAAATGCAATTGAAAAAGTAACAGAATACAGAGAGCCATCAAAAGTAGATTAAATAGATTTAATTCGTATGTAGACAATTTTGAGAGAATTTGTATGTAGAAAATTCTGCCCTCCAAAATTCACTCTTAAAATTTCACAGTAGTGACCTTTCCAAGTCCTGAATAGCATCTTATTAATGAGAAAGTGAATATATACAGAATAATGAGATATACTTACCATAAATGCGTACCTGGAAGTTGTTGGGCATACTGGGTCCAATTTGCTTTCCACCAGATAAACGCACAGACAACAGAATCAGGCTTGCACAATCTAACCAGATACTATTAATAATTTAGATCACATTCATTGAATGCAACAATCAGAGACTAGTTTTCCAATTTTTTTAGTAAACCACTTGATGAAATGATTTTCAATTTTCAATAAGTAAAAATGCCACTTGCCGAACAGGCTATAGCATCAAACCAATCACATGGTTGCTTTCCATATAACTGTCCACTATAGGACCTCCATCACATGGGCTGTCTCTCCCATATGAATATAAATAGTTAGTCATTTCCTTAGCCTTATCACAAATCACAATATCAGTATTATCTAAAGATCTCCTCCATTTTCTGCAAAAGTCATTTTACCTTCAGTTTTATAGAGCAACAAGATGATCAGCACCAAGAAGCTACTGAAATTGGCAAGGAAGTGGCAGAAGCTTGCAGCATTGAAGCGGAAAAGAATAACATCGCCACGGACCAATAATTTGGATAACAGAAGCTGTAGCACATCATCAATGGCTGAGAAGGGTCATTTTGTAGTCTACTCTACAGATCAAAAAAGGTTTGAGATTCCTTTGGAATATCTTAACAACAAAATGATCAGAGAGTTGTTCAACATGGCAGAGGAAGAATTTGGCATGCAAAGCAATGGCCCTCCCACATTACCATGCGACACAGAGCTCATGCTATACGCAATTGATTTAATCAAACAACAAGTTACTAGAGATGTAGAAAATGCTTTCTTGATGTCCATATCTAGCAGTTGTTTTTCAGTGTCTTCCTGTCTCCAAGATCAAATAACAAGCCACCAATTACCAATATGCAGTTTTTGAAGAGTTATGAATTAGATTGTAAACAAAGTATAAAAGTGTACATGGATACGATTTATCTTAAGTTTCAACTTTTTCTCATAATTAATGTGTCCATTATATTAGACCTTGTGATTTACAAGCCTCTAGCAAGACCAGTAGCACTTAATGTTGTCCTTCAATTAAAAAGACAGAAAGAGATCCACAACCAAACTTACTAACAAATAGCTCCAGCAAAACTAGGAATCATTAAACATAAATAACCACAACAACAAACCGAAATATCTTCCCTAAATTATAACCACAAGCTTCTTCATTGAAAAAACGACAGCAAGAAAAAATGCATGACATGGAATTTCACAAACCTTTTAAATATATAAGCAACCAACTCCTTTTGCCCTTCACTCAACTCAAAATAGTTATAAGATCAAAATCTTCCCTTTCAACAAAGAAAAAAAAGCATGATCAACCCAAAGAAGCTCCTCAAAATAACAAGAAAGTGGCACCGGATAGCTATCATGAGGAGCAAAAGAATTTTTTTTACAAGGATTTCTGGTGCAGAAGTGCAAATTTATCCAATGCATCCTCTTCTGATACATAAAATTTTGTTATCTACACCAATGACCTCAGGCCATTTGTCAATGTCTGAAGAAATGTTTAGCCTACCAAGTGAAAGTCCTATTGAATTAACTTGCGATGCTGCCTTCACAGAGTGCGTCGTTTCACTCATGAAACGGGGTTTAACTGAAGAAATAGAGAAAGCTCTGCGGATGTCCATGGAAACTAGTTGTTGCTCATCGTCCTTTGGTTTCCATCAGGAACATATAGATCACAATTACTCATTTTTTGGATTTTGAAATAGTTCAGTTTTGAAAGTGATCCTTGTACTGTAATTTATACAAGTTATATCGTTTGATAAATCCCAATGTAAAGTATTTTGTTTATAATGAATCATCTTCGATAACAAAAATAGCAGATGACTCAAGAACCGTGTCTAAAGTGCCAAATATGAAATCAAATAAACCTCAAGCTAACATCCAGAAAATTTGATACTAATATTCAATATATAAAATGATTCTATGCCAACCTTTTCAAGTTATAAGAAGGGGAAAAGAAGATATTTTCTTGAAATCTCAATTTGGTTAGTGAAGAATTCTCTTAGCGCAATGCAGCAATTTCATGTTTAGACTGAATAACACAATGAAGCAATCTTCTTTATAAGCCTAAGTGAATGGATTTCACAAAACTTATTCAGCTCACTTTGCTTTCAACAGCCAGTCTTTTTTTTTTTTTTTTTTTCAGTGAGAAGCGAGGGCTCACTAATCTAGTTATTCGTTTTAGTGTTTTTTTGGTGGTGATTTCAATGTGTTTTTACTGTAGTATAGCACGGCGCACTCTTATACTTACAGACTGTAGTGAGTCACTAGATCAGTAGATATAGTGAGGAGTAGATCTGATGTCATAAGTTCATAGCAGCTTGGATCTAGTTGTGTATAGATACGCAGCAGACATTCGAAGAGTCACTGTAGGGTTTATCATCCGGGAAGACGATGTGAGTGTCATATGATGAGATTATTGCAATATGCACCACACGACTCAGCGATATGCAGTCATTTATACCATAAGATCTCACATCAACTTCTTAAATACCTGTATGCATACAATCACATCAACTTCTTAAATACCTGTATGCATACAATCACATCAACTTCTTAAATACCTGTATGCATACAATCACATCAACTTCTTAAATACCTGTATGCATACAATCACATCAACTTCTTAAATACCTGTATGCATACAATCACATCAACTTCTTAAATACCTGTATGCACCTTACTGGCACAAGTTGATCATGGGAAAATTGGATAACCCTCAAGTTCACTCTATATAGAATTCCACAACATTGATCTTAAATGTAAACTTGCTTCCAACCATAGGTATTTGTTTGGCAGTCCCCAGACAAATTGGTTCAATATGCTACATGTTTATCCCACATATATCTGGACAGCAGAACTAAACTTGCACATACCCTTCCAGCTTTGACCACAGATTTAACTGGTAGTTGAGTTTCTTGAATACAGATTTGTAGTCATTAAACGCAGCCATCAAATGTAGGCCAAGGTTGTCATCAGTTTATGAATTTCGATATATGGCCACGACCCACCACCATTCATTATCAATTTTACTGGTTAACCACTTGGAACAAATATGCTCCACCTTGGTGTGTCAATTGCCGAACATAAGAAAACATGCCAGCCTTGCAAACAATCTCTTACAACCTCTATCACATGGTTTTGCTTCCAATGCAACCCTGCATAGTGGGAACTCCATGAAGTGGGTATTGCCTGGCCTTGTGAATATATATTCAAGTCTCTCACTTTCCCTTCTACACATCTCAGTATTACCGTTCAGTAAGCTATAATCTAAAGCATTCTTCAAAATCTTTTTCATCAAGTTTATAGACTAAAAATATGATTAGTGCCAAGAAGCTCCTCAAATTGGCGAGAAAATGGCAGAAGCTTGCTGCTTTCAAGCGAAAAAGAATCACGTTACCTCAAGCCACTGGAAGCATTAATACAAACAGTTGTAGCACATCACAAATGGCAGAGAAAGGCCATTTTGCAGTGTACTCTGCAGATCAAAGACGTTTTCTTCTTCCTTTGGAATATCTTAACAACGAAATTATCAGAGAGCTGTTTAAAATGGCGGAGGAAGAGTATGGATTGCAAAGCAATGGACCTCTCACATTCCCATGTGATGCAGAGCTTTTGGAGTATGCAATTGCTTTGATAAAAAAGCAGGTTACTAGAGATGTGGAGAATGCTTTCTTGATGTCCATAACTAGCAGTTGTAGTTCACTGTCTTTCTGTCTCCAAGATCATATGAAAAGCCATCAATTTCCAATTTGCAGTTTTTGAAGAGTTATATTTAGTTCTGTAAACAAGCCACGCTAGTGTACATTGATTCAATTTATAAGAATTCCCAAAAGCATTTTTTATAGTTAGTTGCATTCAATAAAATTGGCCAATGCATATAATTTTGACTTTGAAGAACTCCAATCGAAAAATCAGCCCCGAAGACTTAATGATTAATGAGACTTAAAAAAACAATATTTGTGCTAAGCTTGAGCCAGAAAAAGAACTGAGATCACAACAAAAAGTATGCTTCCCGATAGTTGTAGAAATCACCAAACATAAATACCTACGCCAACAACCTAAGCATCTATAAACTAATTAACCATATGATTCTGCTTTCGAAATAACAATAGAAGGAAGGAAAGCTACAAAGCCTCGAATATCTTAAATCTTTTGACAATATAAGTGGCCTACTTCTTTCCCCTTCACTCGAGTAAATGTTGTCCTAAGATCTAAATCTCCTCTTCCAACTCAGAACAAAAAGCATGATCAGCCCAAAGAAGCTCATCGAGAAACAAGCAAATGGAATAAGATAGCTGCAATTAAAAGGAAAAAAAATTTCATTTCCTAGGATCAGCAACAACAGAAGTGCAGATTTGTCCAACACTTCAGCCAATACACGAATTTTTGTTGTCTGCACCAACGATCACAGGCAATTTGATATTCCTGTAGAATATCTCAGCAGCAACATCATCAAAAAGTTATTCAAGGTATCAGAAGCAATTTTGGGATACGGAATGAAAGGGGCATCAAATTTCCGTGATTCAACCTTTATGGAGTATGTGATTTTGCTAATCAAAAGGGGTATAGTAAAGACACTGAGGAAGCTTTGCTTCTGTCCATAGAAACCAGTTGCAGCTCATTCTCTGTTCAAGGACAGGCAAGGCAACAATTGCTCATTTATGGCTATTTAGTATCAAAGTAGTTAAATTTTGTAAATAGTAAATCTTGTTAATATAATTTATGTATCATGCCATTCAACTACTACCAATGAAAAATACATTGTACATCAGTGGGCTATCATCTTCCCATTCTTGTTATTCTAAGACCTTTAAATTCTCTCTAGACAATAGGACAACAAGAACCCCAGTTTCTTATTATATATGGTTACGAACCTCCAATCTCCATCTATTATGCTGATCAACCGCATGGCAGAACGATGTAGATTACGACACACCTATGCTCCATCTTGACAAATATATGCAAACATGCCACCCTTGCGAATAATCTTTCACGACTAGCTATCACATGGTTTTGCTTCCCATGCATCCCCACACTTTAGGAACTACATGAACGGGGTTTTGTCTGGCCTTGTGCATATATATTCAACTTACTCTCTTTCCCATCTAACCATCACAAGATTTTCTTTCAATATTCTATAATCTACAGCAGTCTTCCTGCATTTCTTCGTTTAGCACTTTTCCCTTCTATAGTTTAACAAGATGATCAGTTCCAAGAAGCTACTGAAATTGGCAAGAAAATGGCAGAAGCTGGCTGCCATCAAGCGAAAAAGAATTACATTGCCTCGTACCACTACAAGTATTGATTCAAACAGTTGTAGTACACCACTGAAGGCAGAAAAAGGCTATTTTTCAGTTTACTCTGCAGATCAAAAACGTTTTCTTCTTCCTTTAGAACATCTTAATAATGAAATTATCAAAGAGCTATTCAAAATGGCAGAGGAAGAGTTTGGATTTCCAAGCAACGGGCCTCTTACGCTACCATGTGACGCAGAGCTTATGGAATGTGCAATTGCTTTAATCAAAAAGCAGGTTACTAGAGACGTGGAGACTGCTTTCTTGATGTCCATATCCAGCAGTTGTTCTTCACTGTCTTTCTCTCTCCAAGATCCTCTAACAAGCCTTCAATTACCAATTTGCAGTTTTTGAAGTGTTATAGTTAGTAGATCTGTAAACAAGCCATACAAGTGTACATTTATACAATTTACTGTTAGCCTTAAAAATCTTTTCCATACTTGGTTGTGTCTAATAAATTGAACAGGACATATCATTATAACTTTCAAGAACCACAGTAGGTCAGACAACTTAAAATGCAACATAATATACTTTACTCATGAGATTACTAATGGAACCAGAGGATAAGGTACCGTTAACTATAGCATCACCAAGAATGTTATTTAATTACAAATCTTTGTAAATATAAAAAATCTGAAACCTGGAAATTTTCACTCTGTTCTTTCTCTTGCTTTATCTTTATCCTTGCAATCATATTCTCATCATCCCAACCATATGATAAAAAATATTTACTCTTCATTGAAATACTTGAAACCAATATTTAAATGTACAGTGGATCTTAGAATTGTTTCTATGTGTGTTTTGCAAGAGATGATGAATATGATGCCTTGTGATTTATGACTCACTAGTAAAACCAATAAGACTAACAGTAACAAAAAGACAAAATGAGATAACAACTAAAATTCTTTTCTATGATTCTGAAGTTCTCAAACATAAATAACTATGCCAAGCACCCACACTTCCATCTAAATTAACTAGCCATATGTTTCTACATTGAAAACAACAATATAAAAGAAGATAAATAACATGGAATGTCTCAAATTTTTTACTATAAAAGGAGCCTACTTCTTTGCTCTTTACTCAGCTCAATACTGACATACTATCCTAAATTCTAAACTCTCCCCTTCTAAAGCAAAACAAGAAGCATGATCAATAAAAAGACACTCATGAAAATAGCAAAAAAGTGGCGGAGGATAGCTTCCATAAGAAGGAAAAATATTTCAAGTCCTAGTTTTAGAAGCAACAAAAATTCAGATTTTTGCAGTACGTCGTCGTCGTCGTCGTCATCATCAGATGGTAAAGGGAATTTTGTAATCTACACCAATGATCACAAGCGATTTATTATTCCTATAGAATATCTCAACAGTAACATCATCAAAGAGCTATTGAAAATGTCTGAAGAAGTTTTTGGACTAACAAGTGAAGGTCCTATCAAATTGCCATGTGATGCCGTTTTTATGGAATATGTGGTTACACTCATCAGAAGAGGTTTAGCTAAAGACATTGAGAAAGCTTTGCTTATGTCCATGGAAACCAGTAGCTGCTCTCTATCTGTTGGTTACCATCAAGAATATACAAGTCAACAGTTACTCATTTGTGGCTATTAAAGTAGCAATATGTTATAAATAATCCTCAATCACCAATGTAATTTTATATGTCTTATATTATTTGATGGTTCCAAATTTTAAATATAATGTACAAGATGACCAGTTACAAGAGAAGAGAGTATGGAAAAAAAATGAAAAAAGAAAGAGAAAACATAAAGAAACAAAATCACCTGACCATCATAAGCAAGTCAAGGTCTCAACAAAAAGAAGTTACTTTGTTGAAGGTTATGGCATTCTTGTTGTCACATTATGAAAATATTTTGTTTATTATTATTGTATTACATTGCAGCCTTTTTAGTTTTAGAATTATGACTTAGATAGGTTAAACATGAGATAAGTTATGAAATATAGGTAAAAGTGTGGGCAAGTATGGGATTGACAGCAAACCATACTTGTGGTACTTTAATCTTTTGTATTTAAGTGTGAAACTTGATCAATGAATTATGCCCACTGTGAAAACTTCGATTTTATAATGTTTGCATAATCCTCCTCCTTTGAAGCCTAAAATCTGCAGAATCCGTTTCTTTCTTTACTACAGAATTTGTTTTGTAAAAGTTCTGCAGATAATGTTTTTTTCTCCTTCACTTCTTTGCCCCAAACTCCAACATACTTTTATAGTATGGCTTGAGGAAATTTGACTATTAGAGTAGCTAAACAATCGCCAGCAAATAATTTATCACAATAAAGCAAACAAATTGAAACATATGCAAATCACAGCAATGAACTCTGTACCTGTAGACATTGTACAAGGACCACGTGATTATAGAAAAATTGCATTAATGAATAAATTACTGTGATTCCAAAAGCATATTATAAGTAGTTAAGTTTCTGATGTGAGCAACAAGTTCAAAGTATCTGTTAGGCAGTTTGCAGACAATGTTGGGTTCAGCTTACAGTGTGTTTATGACAGGTGAAAGTATAGACAATAGGCCCAATCTGCAAAATCTCTGCCAGCTTTCGCCAATAGTTGAGTTTTTGAATACAGATCAGTATTCATTAAATGCAGCCATCAAAAGTAATTATCAATATGTCTTCATTATTTCTGGTCCATGTAGATGTCTTGCGTCCTGCCCCACCATTTCTTTTATCTATTTTGCTGGTTAAACAGTTGGCAAAAGGATATAGATAAGGCACATCTCTGCTCCACCTCAATGGGGCAATTGACAAAACGTAAGCAAACATGCCAGCCTTTCAAACAATCTCTTGCAACCAACTAGCACATGGTTTTGCTTCCCATGTATCCCTGCAATGTGGGAACTCCATGAAACAGATGTTGTCTGGCCTTGTGAATATATACCCAAGTCACTTGCTTTCCCTTCTATCCACCGCAAGTCTAGCATTCAGAATCTGGAATTTAAAGCATTTTCTTTTACTTCTCTCAAAATTTTCCATTCCATTTATAGACTAACAAGATGATCGGTCCCAAGAAGCTCCTGAAATTGACAAGGAAATGGCAGAAGATAGCTGCTATTAGGCGAAAACAGATAGCGTTGCCACAGACCATTAGAAATACATATACAAGTAGTTGTAGCACATCGCCAATGGCCGAAAAGGGCCATTTTGTTGTGTACTCTGACGATCAGAAACGCTTTTTGCTTCCTTTGGAATATCTTAACAATGAAATTATTAGACAGCTATTTGACATGGCAGAAGAAGAGTTCGGATTACCAACCACAGGGCATATCACATTGCCATGTGATGCAGAGGTTATGGAGTATGCTATTGCTTTGATCAAACAGAATGTCAATACAGATGTGCAGAGAGCATTATTGATGTCCATAGCTAGCAGTTTCTGTTCATCATTTTTCTATCTCCAAAATAAAGAAACAGTCCATCAACTACCAATTTGCAGCTTCTGAATAGTTAATTTGATTTTTATTGATCTATACACAAGTGTACATTGATAGTTATTAATTTTATTAAGGATACCATAAATTTTGGTCTGATCTAGTTAACTTTCTATGGAAAATAATTTCATACCATAAAATGATATGCAGTACCCAATAAATCAACCAAGACATCTTTGACATCCGAAAACCAAGGTCAATCATTTTAAATGCAACACCAATGTGAGTTGCAAGATGAACTGAAATTAAAAGAAAAGTCACCATTTACCCTAGTTTTTCAAGAAAATACAGATAACTTGATGTTATTGTGTCTCTTATATTCTAAGAAAATTGATAAAATCCCAAACCTCATAATTTTTTTATGTAACCCCCTTCCGGTCATGTGTTTGTCCTTGTTTTGGTCCTGGAAAAGGCCATTACATTGACAAGCGAGATGATAAACAACAAAAATTTATTGGATTCTTTCAGCTTTCCTTATTATCTAGTTATATATTACCACCGATCTTCTTGGAAGTGCATAAATCTTTTAACTTTGGACATTAGGCATGCACAAAAAGAAATGAAGAGGGCTTTGATAGCACCCAAAAAGCTTCACTCATGGTTAACCATGTAGTAGCTGATCAGTTTGTTTCTTATTCATTGCTCAGAACAAACAGAAACAGACAATGACCTCCTAGATGCTTTACACCTTAAGCAATGAAATAAAACCAATACAAGCAAATTGGATATAGATTGGCATTCATTGAATATGACCACCAAAATTTGATCCATATTCATATCAATTTACATTTTTTTTTTTCTCCTTTTGCTGTGGTACACATATTTTGCTGCCATAGACTCACAATGCCTATGATATGTCAATATTATGCTGCACCTTGACGTATTTCTTTTCAAAAACAAGAGAACATACCCACCTGCTAAGCAAGCTCTTACAACCATCTAACCCATCACATGGTTTTGCTTCCCATGTGTCCTTGTATTGTGGGAGCCCCATGAAAGAGACTTTTGCCTAGCCTTGTGTATATAGTCAGCCCCCTTCCTTTGCCTTCTATCATAGCAAAATTAGCATCCAGTACTCCAAAATCTAAAGCTTTCTCCTCACTTTTATAGATAAATAACACAATGATCAGTCCCAAGAAGCTCCTCAAATTGGCAAGAAAATGGCAGAAGATGGCTGCTCTCAGGCGTAAAAGAATCATATTGCCACAAACCATTGGAAGCACAGATAAAAGCAGTTGTAGCACATCAGCAAAGGCTGAAATAGGCCATTTTGCTGTGTACTCAGCAGATCAAGAACGCTTTTTGCTTCCCTTGGAATATCTCAACAATGAAATTCTCAGAGAGTTATTCAAGATGGCAGAAGAAGAGTTCGGATTAATGACCATGAAGCGTCTCACATTACCATGTGATGCAGAGCTTATGGAGTATGCAATTACTTTGATCAAACAGAACGTTTCTAGAGACATAGAGAGAGCATTCTTAATGTCCATAGTTAGCAGTTGTTATTCATCACCTTTCCATCTCCAACATCAAGAAACAGTCCATCAACTACCAATTTGCAGTTTCTGAATAGTAAAAATTAGATTTGTAAAAATGCATATACAAGTGTATATCATTATATTTATCAAGACTATCAAAAAATTTGTTCCTATCTAGTTATCTTTCCATGGAAAATCATTTTTTTTTAAATCACTAAAAATGACAATGTGGTGACCAAAAAAAATCAACAAAGACATCATCATAACATCTGAAAACCCAGGTGAATCAGTTTAAAATGAAAAAAAAAATGATCTTATTCCCACGTTCATGTTCTATGGAAATTAATAAAGTCCCAAACCACATGAATGTTCCTTTGTTCTTGTTCTCAAAGTCTCCCACAATTGATCCTGCAAAAGGCCACCACATTGATAATACCACAAACAACAAAAAATTTATTAGAACCTTTCAGGTTTCCTTATTATATAATATTCCATATATCACCAATCTTTTGCAAGATCAGGAAACTTTTAATTATGGACAATAGGTGGTAGTTATATTCTTCAGATTGCCTTGTCAAAGTAAGATTTTGAACTGTATCAATATATCAGTTCAGAAAATCATGGATAATCTAAAACAGGCCTTTGTATCTCCTTTCTTACTCTAGGACACAGCCACAAAAAAATAAAATAAAATAAAAAACATCTACTTCTTTCTAGTTTTGCCCCAAGATGAGGTTTCTTAATCTTATTTTTGTTTCTTATCCATTGCTTTGATCAACCAGCAATAGGCGACAACTCCCTAGATGTTTTATACTGTAAAATATACCCAGCATTGAAACAATACCAAAAGGAGCAGACAAATTTCCAGTGTCAACTTCCCCAAGAAATCTGACTATAAGTTACATCATATATTCCTCCAATACCAAATTTCAGTAGAAAAGTTTAAGGAGATGGGTTTGATCAACTTAATCAAATCCCAAGCAATGCAATTTGGGATTTCCCACACAGTGCGTTTCCTTCTATCACAACTGCTGCAAGTTAAAACAAGTGGGAAAAAATAGATACACGATTGCAATTTCTATTTAATCAATCAAGGATTCTAGTAAGGAATATTGCAGAGAATTTCACTTATGATATCTCTAAATATGTTGATAACATCAATGAAAAGAACATAGATATGCTTTAGAACAATCTTAAGAGTACCTACATTAAGAAAAAATTATTACTTAAAATGAATAACACAATCCTGTTCTTGAAAATCCCAATCATATGGAATTAGAATTTGTTGTTCTTATAGTTAGCAAACTTCTCCCGTCTGCATAAGCAAAATCAAGATTCTTAACCTCATATATCTTGCTGCATACTAAATTTGTTTTGGACTTTTGGTCAACAGCTTCCATGTAGCAAAATTATACTGGTCATTGCAATGATAATGTGATTTTATTGATATACTTTAATAGCCAAGCTGCAATAAAGCAAAAATCAATTGCAATATATACCCATGCCAAACAGCCGTACCTGCTCGTATTGTACCAGTACAGGCCTGATTGTGAAAAGTTTGCAGAACCCTTCAAAAAATCACTTAGAATTCCAAAATATTGGTCTTACATCCAGACTAGAATCCAAACAATAAGCAGCTCTGCTCTGAAAGAATACACACACAAATATGACTTGTCAACCAATAATTGCAATACATCTGTTTGGAGATAAAATGGGCCCAACTTGAAAGTGTCTTTCTATCACACACACATACATATATGTCCAAGACTGTACAACCAAACATGTGCAGCTCTTCCAGTTTTCACTAACAGTTGAGTAACTAGGATATAGATTGGCACTCATCAAATACAACCAGCATAAGTAGATCAAAATTCATATCAGTTTATTGTTAATGGCCACTGCCTATGATATGTCACACCTATGCTTCACCTTGATGTATTGATTTTCAAAAACAAGTAAACATACCCACCTGCCAAAGAAGCTCTCACAACCACGCAACCCATCACATGGTTTTGCAACTCATGTGTCCTTGCATTATGGGAGCTCCATGAAAGAGACATGTCTACATCCTTGTGTATATAGTCAATCCACTTCCTTAAACTTCTACCCACCAGAAATTAGCATTCAGTAATCCAATATCTAAAGTTTTCTCCTCCTTTATATTTTCCATAGATCTTCTCTTTAATAGAGTAATAAAAAAAATGATCAGTCCCAAGAAGCTTCTCAAATTGGCAAGAAAATGGCAGAAGACAGCTGCTCTCAGACGAAAAAGAATCACATTGCCATCAACCATAAGCAACAGAGATACAAGTTGCAGTACATCAACAAAAGTTGAAAGAGGCCATTTTGTTGTATACTCTGCAGATCAAACACGCTTTTTGCTTCTGTGGAATACCTCAGCAATGAAATTATCAGAGAGCAATTTGACATGGCGGAAGAAGAATTCAGATTACCCAGCAATGGACCTCTCATATTACCATGTGAGGCAGAGCTTATGGAATACGCAATTGCTTTGATCAAACAGCAAGTTACAAAAGACATAGAAAAAGCATCGTTGACTTCCATAACTGGGCATTCTTGTTTCTCGTCTTCCCATCCACGACATCAAGAAACAAGCCATCAATTACCCATTTGTAGCTTCTAAACAACAGTAACTAACATGTAAAAAAAAAAGTGAAAATTGATAGATTTACCAGGAAATCTCAGAAATTCAAATTCTTTTTTTCCATCTCTAATCGAAACCCATTATTGTTTCTCCTCTCAGATTACAGATAATAATTTTTTTTAAAAAAAATAATAATTTATTTAAAAAAAAAAAAACTCTTGAAAATAATTTTTTTTTTTTAACTGCAAGGAAGGGCAATAAACTCTTGAAATAATTTAAAAAATATATAAACCTTAAAATTAAAATCCTCCCACAACTCAGTAGCATAAATAAAATAAATAAAAATAAAAATTACTGATCATCCACCGGCAAAATCGTTAATGCTGTAAGGAAACCTAACTCTATTTGGTTTATGATACTTCTGATTTATATATAATGTGATAATTTCACAAATACTTATTCTAATCACTAATTCTTCAAAATCCTCCTTCTTCTATACTGTCAAAATCCTCTTCTTCTTCTATACTGTCAAAATCCTCTTTTCTTCTATACTGTCAATACAGTAACAATAATGGAAGAAAATAACAACCAGAAGACGAACGAGAGCGTTTTTGATCTCGACGATTATGATACTTTTTTCAATTCTTTACCAGTCGGCTACCGGTTTGTCCCTCGCGACGATGAACTAATCACCCATTACTTGATGAACAAGATCGCCAACAATCCAATGCCTCGTAATCGGATTCGCGTTGTTAATTTCTATAAACAATCTCCTCAACTCCTAACTGGTTCGTTACTTCATCTTAATTCCAAATAAACAGCTGACGTGTACATATTGCTTCTCTTGGAAAATTGATTGAATAACTATAAACATTTGAAATTAATTATGTCAGCTGACTTGGACAGAAACATTACGCGCGTTAACTTCTCTAATAAATTTATTATTATTATTATTATTATTATCAGTTGACGTTAAAAGAAATAACGGGTGTTTGGTCTTAAATTAATTATTATGCTAATTACTTGTTTTCTACAATTTTTTACGTATTTGTTCATATATTTATTTTTTTTATGGGCAGAAATATATAAATTGGATAAAAGAAGAGAAACAGAATGGTATTTTTTCACTCCAAGAAACAAAAAATACCCAAAAGGAGGCAGACCAAATCGAAGAGCAGGCAATGGATATTGGAAGCCAACTGGAATTGATAAGTTCATTCCAGATAAGGAAAACCCTTCAGGGGTTAGAAAATCATTAGACTATTATGAAGGAAAGCAGGGTTCTGGGAAGAGAACAGATTGGAAAATGCATGAATATGTAATAATTCATGGAAAACATAGTCCTGCAATTAGCAATCAAAAAGAAAAGGATCACATGCAGGTATTGAAGTTGTATATATTACTTACACTCTCTCTTTTTTTCTTTTCAAGTTTTGAAGTTATATTACATTATCAAGAAAGTTACTGTTTTGGTTTTTTTTTTTTTTTTTTTTTTCTTTTTTTTTTTTTTTTTTTTCCTTTTTTTTTTTTTTTTTTTTTTCCTGCAGTTGGATGAATGGGTTCTTTGCAAGCTTTATAACAATAAAGCAGATAGCAAGAAAAATGAGATTAATGAAGAGGAGGAAACTTCCAATTCAAATGCAACGGTTCCAATAGCAAGTGCTTCAAATCCGGAACTTGCAAATGATTCTATGATTATCAAGCAATCCATGTGTTATCCACAGCAAGATCTATCAGTTTCTCCTCGTTTTCCACCTAGTTATCCATCTTCTGCTATCCCTCCTCTTCCATCAGCACTGGACTACTCACGCAGTGACTATGGTCACCACACTAGTTATCCATATTCTCTTCTCCTTCCTCAACCTCCAGCACTGAACTACTCATGCAGTGATTATGGCGACCACACTAGTTGTCCACATTCTCCTCTCGCTCCTTTTCCTCCAGTATTGGACTACTCAGGCAATGATTATCTTAACGGCTATGGTATCTCATTCCAATCCCATGAGCCGCAACCATGCAATGATTATCTTAACGGCTATGGTATCTCATTCCAATCCCATGAGCCGCAACCATGCAATGCAATGATTATCTTAACGGCTATGGTATCTCATTCCAATCCCATGAGCCGCAACCATGCAATGATTATCTTAACGGCTATGGTATCTCATTCCAATCCCATGAGCCGCATCCAAACTATCATAATGATTTTTATGAAAGTTACTCCTTACATATGGCTAATGGTGACCAACCTGGTTCTTCAAATCCAAATCCAAATATGCACTTTGTCAAGGAAGAATATAATGATCCATGACCAACTGCTTTTGGAAGAAGATGCTAGTATATTGCTTTCGTTTATTTACTAGTGACGAATTTTTTTTTTTTTTTTTATTATTATAAGGTGGAATGGAACATAGAATATATAGACATTTTTAATAAATCGGAGATACAAGTATACTTCGAATTTTTTAAAGAACATATGCTTTTTAATTTTTCCTGATTTGCATATTTTACGTTTTTTTATTTTTATTTTTCTATTTCTATTTTCTCTTATTATTTTATTGTTATTCTATTCTTATTAAATATATAATTTGACATTTTCATCAGGCTCCCCTGAATTAAGAAATGAAAGGTACAGAGCAGTCTGCCATTGAATTCTATTGATAATGGATTCTTGTGTATTAAAGTATATTATGTTGCATTTTAGCTGTCTGACCTACAGTGGTTCTTGAAAGTTATAATGATATGTCCTGTTCAATTTATTAGACACAACCAAGTATGAAAAAGATTTTTGAGGCTAACAGTAAATTGTATAAATGTACACTTGTATGGCTTGTTTACAGATCTACTAACTATAACACTTCAAAAACTGCAAATTGGCAATTGAAGGCTTGTTACAGGATCTTGGAGAGAGAAAGACAGTGAAGAACAACTGCTGGATATGGACATCAAGAAAGCAGTCTCCACATCTCTAGTAACCTGCTTTTTGATTAAAGCAATTGCATATTCCATAAGCTCTGCGTCACATGGTAGCGTGAGAGGCCCGTTGCTTGACAATCCAAACTCTTCCTCTGCCATGTTGAATAGCTCTCTGATAATTTCATTATTAAGATATTCTAAAGGAAGAAGAAAACGTTTTTGATCTGTAGAGTACACTGCAAAATGGCCTTTTTCTGCCATCAGTGATGTACTACAACTGTTTGAATCAATACTTGTAGTGGTTTGAGACAATGTAATTCTTTTTCGCTTGATAGCAGCCAGCTTTTGCCATTTTCTTGCCAATTTCAGTAGCTTCTTGGCACTGATCATCTTGTTAAACTATGCAAGGGAAAAATTTCAAACGAAGAAATACAGGAAGACTGCTGTAGATTATAGAATATTGAAAGAAAATCTTGTGATGGGTAGATGGGAAAGAGAGTAAGTTGAATATATATTCACAAGGCCAGACAACCCATTTCATGTAGTTCCCACAGTGTGGGGAAGCATGAGAAGCAAAACCATGTGATAGGTAGTTGTGAAAGACTATTCGCAAGGCTGGCATGTTTGCGTATATTTGTCGAGATGGAGCATAGGTGTGTCGTAATCTATATCTTTCTGCCATGTGGGTGATCAGAAATTATTATCATTCCTGTCCTTGAACAGAGAATGAGCTGCAACTGGTTTCTATGGACAGAAGCAAAGCTTCCTCAGTGTCTTTAATTTCACATCTCCTTATAATTTATTTGTTGTTATTTTTAGCCATGAATCCTTGTCTTGTATCTATTCAGATATATATGTATTTGCCTCCAATCCAAACACAACATGTTGATATTCAAATGCAACTGAACATACCCACTTGTGTGGTTCATGTCGTTTGTTATGATTTCGTTTAGGTTGCATAGATTTGACACACCTATGACTCATTCACCTTGATGGGTTGATTTTCAAGAAAGAGCCAACATGCCCACCTGCTAAATAGGCTCCTCATCTTCAATAATCACATGGCATTGTTGGATCTCATCTAAAGGTGGTTTGGCTATATATATTGTATGGATCTCATCTAAAGGTTTGGTTTGGCTTATATATATATAATATATATATATATATATATATATTATATATATATATTACACACAAAGAATTTCCTTTCTCCCTCTAACCATCACAACATTAGCATTCATTAAAACTTAGTTCTAAAGTTTTTTCCCTCACATTTTTATATATATATATATATATACACACAAGTAATTTCCTTTCTCCTCTAACCATCACAACATTAGCATTCATAACTTAGTTCTAAAGTTTTCTTCCCTCACATTTTCTCTCAGAATCCTTTCCTTAGGTCATATAAAATAAAAAGGATGATCAGTTCCAAGAAACTCCTCAAATTCGCAAAAAAATGGCAGAAATTAGCTGCTATAAGGCGAAAAAGAATCACATCACCACCGAATGTAGAAACAAGTTGTAACACATCAAGAATGGCTGAGAAAGGCCATTTGGCTGTGTACTCTGCTGATAGGAAGCGATTTTTGCTTCCATTGGAGTATCTTAACAATGAAATTATAATAGAGCTATTCAATATGGCAGAAGAAGAGTTTGGACAACCAAGTAAAGGGGCTCTTACATTGCCATGCGATGCTGAGCAAATGGAGTATGTAATTTCTTTGATCAAACAGCAAGTTGCTAGAGATGTAGAGAGAGCATTGTTGACTTCCATAGCTAGTAGTTTCTGTTCAGTTCCTTTCCATCTCCCACATCAAGTAACAAGACAGCAATTACCAATTTGCAGCTTCTAACTAAAGAGACATTATTAGATTTGTAAACAATACATGATAAACTTATATTGATACATGTTATTTGAAGTCTCAAAGTTCTGTTTCAGATTTCAATTCCTCATCTTCGTGACATTGGAAACAACCCCAGAAATTTGCATGCTTCTAATGTAATTTAGTCCATAGTTGCAATCTCTTGATCTGACTTCCAAAAGCCCATCGTAACAATCTTAACAGAAAACAGAATTTCAACTGGTGAGTAATATACTGCAGGCAATATGTACAAGCAGCTCTAAACTATTGAATAGCAACCCAGCATAAAAAGAAAGCAAAGCATCTAACAAAGACTAAGCTAATAGAAGCGTCAACCAAAGAGTGTTGCTTTAGTAATTTTGGTTTATCATCGCCTTGAACACAACAAAAAATTATATAAAGGTAGGATAACCTTCAAAATATGAAAAATTATTTAGCATATTCAATACAGTAGAAAATAGCATATATATTGAAAAATATTTGTATGGTTACAGCAAAACTTTGAAATTTCAAATGTAAAATGGGTGGTGACTAGTGAAATAGCTGAATTTGACTATTAAGTAGGTAAAATTGTCTCTTTCTTGATTTATCTCACGCTTGGGTTCAAACTCGCAACCTCACAGTTCAAGACTACTCTAATAACACACATATGTTTATAGAATTGCACATCAATAATGTGAGTCAGTCACACATATTTGGCCCAGCCAGATACTTCTTTCTGCTACTAAATGCCTATAAACTACACTAAAGTATCAAACTTACATAACCTCAACAGCTTTCAATAAATACTAGATTTAAGTTCATGTCTCATGACTAGTTTATTTTAACTTTGGGTGGATCTTATGGCCATGAATATGTTGTCTTACGTATATTCATAAATGTTTTTCCTTCAAACACAACTGAACAGTCCCACCTGCCTTGCAAACGCCCTATCACATGGCATTGCCTCCAATATATCCTTGCAAATTATTGCTCCTAATTCCTAATTCCGAAGTCATAAGTCCTGATTGGCATCCAAACAATAAGAGTTTTACTTTTGTTTAAAGAAAAGTGTGTAATAGAATCCATACTGAATACAATTTCCATGTTCTTTTGGTAATTCTAGGACATAATAGGTTTAACTTTTTCTTTCTATCGAACATAGATATCTCTTGACAAAAACCTAACTTGCTCAGCTCTGCCAACACCAACCAATAGTTAAGCGAGAATAATAGAATCACTGAATCCAGTAATTAAGACGTAAATTCCAATTATTGGTAGCCTGCCAATTACTCTTCCACTTGTGTGGTTCATGTGGCTCATGTATTTGTTATGATTTCATTTGGTCATGACTTCTGTAGGTTTGGCACATACATGTTTCACCATTGATGGGTTGATTTTCAAGCAAGAGCCAACAATCCTAACTCCAAGTAGGCCCTTATGTCAATCAATCACATGGCACTGTTGGTGCTTATTTTGGCTTCTGGATGTATATATACAAGTCATTTTCTTTGCTCTCAACTCATCTCAGCTTAGCATTCATAACTCAGCTCTAAAGCTTTCTTCCCTCGGAATCCTTTCCTTCAGTTCATAGAAAAAAAAAGGATGATCAGTTCCAAGAGACTCCTCAAATTGGCACAAAAATGGCAGAAATTAGCTGCTACAAGGAGAAAAAGAATCATATTACTGCTGAACGAAGAAATAAACAGTTGTAGCACATCAGGAATGGCTGAGAAAGGCCATTTTGTTGCATACTCTGCTGATGGGAAGCGGTTTTTGCTACCTTTGGAGTATCTTAATATTGAAATTATCAGAGAACTATTCAATATGGCAGAAGAAGAGTTTGGATTACCAAGTAAAGGGGCTCCTACATTGCCATGCGATGCTGAGCAAATGGAGTATGTAATTGCTTTGATCAAACAACAAGTTGCTGGAGATATAGAAAAAGCATTACTGATGTCCATAGCTAGTTGCTGTTCATCGACTTTCTATCTCCAACATTCAGAAAAAAGCCATCATTTTCCTGTTTGCAGCTTCTGAAGAGTTGCAATTAGATTTGTAAAGGATACAAGCTAGTGTAAAACTGTACGTTGATACAACTTATCATAATTACCAACTCTTTTTCGTGATTAATTGCATCCTCAAGAAATAATTGATATAGAATATCTGTATAGCCCAAAAAAAATGCTAATTATACAAAAACCTTTGCGATCCATTACAAAAAGCAGTCGACGCATTTTCTACTAATGCATGATAGTTACAGATATTTAGACATTAACCTATACACACAACAAATATCATGTGCCTGGCTAACTTGGATTTCCAACTATAAAAAAGAATTGATTACATGGTTTTCTACATGAGCTATACAACTTTACAAAAGAAAATAGCTCCAGCGTCCAGAACAATTAACAGAATCAATCAATTAAACAACAATGCATAGCATACAAACATGAAATTCAGACAGTTGGAGTTATGAAGTCACTTCACTGCTCTCTGAACTACTGCGCTCACACGAGTGGCATCAAACTCTTTCTGCAAGAAGCAATTGTTCAAGTTCCTCCCTCCGCCGCTCCAATTGCTGTGATTTTTATCCATGTCAGTTGATACAAAAGTCCAATTATGATAGACATTTATTAAACAGATAGACATGAACAAATTAAAAAAAAAAAAAAAAAAAAAATGCGCTCACAGAGTGGCATCAACTCTTTCTGCAGAAGCAATTGTTCAATTCCTCCCTCCGCCGCTCCAATTGCTGTGATTTTTATCCCCAATTGGGTTTTAGTATACAAAAGTCCTAATTATGAATAGACATTTATTAGAACAGGATTAGACATGAACAAATTTAAAAAAAAAAAAAAAAAAAAAAAAAATTGCAAATGTTCCCAGCAGCTGATTGTGCTATATTGCAAGAAAGTTATCATCAAATTTTTATAAAATTTTCATAATCTAATATTTCCACCTATTATTCGTACAGCAGATTTATAACTCCAAATTGAAAAAAAAAAAAAAAAAAAAAAATTGCAAATGTTCCCAGAAGCTGATGTGCTATATTGCAAGAAAATTATCATCAAATTTATAAAATTTTCATAATCTAATATTTCCACCTATTATTCGTAACAGCAGATTTTAACTCCAAATGATGCTACATTAATCAGCAAGAGCAAAATAGAATCATATAGACCTCTATTACTGATCAAGAACAATGATCACACTTCTCCATGAGAACCTTTTTCATGTTCACCTCCATGCTTTATAATCACTGCTTATGATATCTATGAGTTTCCAGACAATAGAATTTTGATATAAAATTTTGCTAGTCAATCAGAATCAATGAAGTATGTAATCCTCATTTGAGGGGTTGTGTGCAACAAAAATTATCTCAATCTAACGTTTGGAACCCAAAAAATCAGTGTCCTTCCAACACTTTGAAGAAACCAATTAAAATCATATGACTTTATCATCATCGTCATATTGGCCTACCTTCTGACGTCATAAGTCAGTAGGTGAAATTATTTCTCTGTTTGCAGAGGTTGCACACAGCAAATGAGACACTTTCAGATATCTAGAAACTCATTTTCCCTTGTATCTCTAAAAATAATTCCAAATCATGCCTAGACCTCTGAAACATGACGTAATAACAAAGCACACAATTGCATAAACTGGAGTAAATACATATGCAAGCTTGGTTGCGAATCACAAATAACACAAGGACCTTAAATGAACTCTCACAAATTTGCAACCTGTCATTTCTTTCTATTGTAATAGTTAGCATACCTCAAGATCCTTGACTGCCTGCTCCCTTGTAATTTCTTTCTGCTGGCGAGAACGTTTCAGAAATCCAATGCATAGGATTCCCTGGAAATTTAAATTATATTTGATATGAAATGTCATCAGTTTGGTTTATAGATTCCTCAACGAAAAAGTGCATCCAAATCTTATTTTTCCCTTTGTTTTATTCAGTCAACAAACATGTCTTGAATATTAGAAGTCAACTAAAACAAATCTTCATTCAAAAAATATTAATTCGAAAACAATAAAATCAAAAAGTTTTCCAGAAAAAACTGCAACCTGCAAACTTGTTGCTTAATGCATTAAAAAGCTTTCAAGAAACAAAAGGAAATTCATAAACTATTCATTTGAGTTGGCAATTTCTTCAAACTAGATTAGAGTTAAGTTAAATGCAAGGGAAATTAGCTATTTTTTGTCATCTTACCGAAACTACATAGACAACACCACAAGCAAGGAGCATATAGCTTGCTATATTTTGCAAAAGGATCAGGTCCTTCTGGCTTGATGAATAGTCAGGGAAAGCTCTTGTCATGACTGCAACACTGAACAGAATAGCCATTCCTTTAGAATTCAGATAAGATATTTCATGGATCTCTCAGTACATCCTCATTGTCTATAGCGAATGCAATTTTTTGTAAATAAAGGCGAAAATAAAATGAAGTTCTTACTAAAATATAAGACATACAAGATCTGCAGCATGCCCCTACCAGCCCAATATTCCAACACCTGCAAAAACATTAGGGTTAATTCATATATATAACCTAGTGAATATTAGTGGTTTTAGCTTGTATCTGTATTCAATAAGCATGGGCTGTTCCAGAAAAAGAAAAAGATTAAGGAACAAAACGTAATGCTTCACCCATCACAATATGAAACTTGAAAAACAGAGTTTTCAATAACATGTTTGAAATGGATAATCTACAATGTCCTTGTGAGGTGGTGAGAGCAACCTATTTCGTGGCCTTGTGATGTAAAATTTAAAAAGCTATCCAAGCATATTGAGAATGTTATATAGGTCTCATTTCCTTAGCTGAAAAATCATTTTCGAGCTAAAACTTTTGACCATTTTTATTCTCAAAAAACTTTTTTTGACCATTTTGCAGCCAAATGAAAGTTCTAAACTCCTGCCTTCAACTTCTTTACCAATTTTAGCAAAGCACTCCCCCACTTCTAATTCCAACAAGTCCTTCACCAAATACTCTCTAAATAGAGTGAACCTACTACGAACCATCAGAATCCCAAATAGCTCCACTTATGCAAATCTTTTCAAATTTTTAGCCCCGATTCAATCCCTCAATATCACGAGTCGAGTGAGGAAGAGTGAAAGTCAAATCACATTCTCATCTATATACATGCGCAAAGAAGAAAACGATGACAGCTAAACTTAGAATTTAACTAACAAACAAAACAAACTAAATTTAATGAGCTAATTGGCTGCAGTTCTTTAGGACTTCTTGCTTAGCTTGGTATATAAGAATTACCTTAACTATCTTAAAAGGAAAAAAAAATCCCAGCAGCCTGATTCTCTAACCTTCTCTCACCATATATTTTCCGAGTCTGATGGAACACAAAATCTCAACTAGAAACAATAATATGAGCTTTGGTTACATACCAAGTTCGAGGCACATTCATACATGGAGAAAGATAGAAATAATCTTGCAAATCAGAAACACACACAAAGCAACACAAAGGTCGAACCTTCCAGAATTTAGTGACAAATCCCCACTCGGTCTCAGCAACAACCACAATAAACGCAATCACCACCGCATAACACCGGAATATTCCATTGAAAACCTAAAAGAAACAATCCATTACCAATCAGTGCCTAATAACCTATACATACAAGCAGTTGTAGAGTATTAAATTACATAATTATATATAAAAAGAGTACATAGTACGTACATCGGATCCATCTTTGAAAGATCGAACAGCGGAGAGAACGTTAACCGCAACGCAGAGAATGGCAGTGAGAGCCGTCAAGAAGCTAAAGCATCTACACACGACCAAGAACGGGTCAGGTCCTGTTCTTATTCTGGAACTTGAAGATAATCGAGGGACGCTTTGTCCCTCTCCTCCTTCTGCTCCATTTCTCGCCATTTCCTTTTTCTTTTACGAGAAGGAAATGAAGATGATTGAGAAAATTAAGGATGGATTTGAAGAATTAATTCGACAAATTAATGGTGATTTAATAGTTTGTTCGTTTCCAGTTTAAGAATGGACAGTTTGTTTCTTTTGTGTTTTGGAAAGCGGGATTCTTTTCTTTCACCAGATGTTCAAGACAGGGAAGAAAGGCAGGTATAGAATCAACACGTGGCGCTATTTTGTTAATAACTGCATATTAGTATGTCGAGTTGGTTTCTTTTTTCACGTGTAAAAATTACAAATAATACTATAACCATTTATTTTCTCTTTTAAAATATGATCAGAATTAGAATAATCAGTTTAATTTGGTTAATTATTATAAAATTTAAATTATTATTAATCAGTTAAAAATAAATAATTATGAAAAACATAAATTTATTTTAGAATTTCAGTTATAAGTAATTTCTACCATAATCACAATATTTTAAAATATTATTGTCACTCATAATTAATGCTTCTTTATCTTTTTCTTATCATCTTTTTAATATTTTAAGTTTATAATGAATGTACAAATTACTGTCATAGATCACAAGAATGTTATTTTCAAAGTGAAAAATACATTTATTGTGAAAAATTTTTACATCAAATTATATAACATACTTGATTTTCGTTACCAAAATTTAAAATATTTACATATTATCACATTTTAATCATATATATTTCATCTGGACATTTGCCTTCATCAATTAAATTTTAGTTAATACTAACTAAAATACTCCTCAAAAATATATTACCTATTTTATCTTTTAATTTAGTGCATGCTAAATGTGCTCATATAAAAAATATGATTTCCTCCTATATTAATGGAAAGCGAGATAGATTAGATGATTATTTGACTCTCATTATGTTTTAATATTTTAAGATATTGGAGAAAATTAATTTTTTCAATTAATTATTTGAATCGTAAATTAAAAATATAAATACAGTTAAAAGTGTCATCAACTTCAAAATTTTACCTTACTCTTAAAATTAACTTAAAAAGGGAAAAAAAAAAAAAAAAAACGGAAGATTAAAACGAGAATTGGAATCATGGAATATTTTCTCAAGGGATAAGTTTTCATGGATCTGGATTGAATTGTTCAGATATAATCCAGATGTGTTCCTTGATCGTTTCTTCAAGCAGTGATGACTCCTCAAAATCAAAGTTGAAAAGAGTCGGGCAAACGGGCTCCTTTTCGACATTGTGATAATGTGCCAGGTAAGCGTGGCTTAGAGCATCATCAACTGCAAAGAAGGAAACAAAATGGGAGAAGCTTTGCCAATAAGAAGTACACCGATTTAAGAAATTAATAAAGACTGAGATAATTAATTTTATCACTCTGCTACAAACCAGTCATTAGAATCAACAATCAGTCATCCATAAGTAATAATTCAAATGGTAAGACACAAATAAGGTCAGCAAACAACCTCTATAAGGTCAGAGGGGAGAGGCAATTGCTAACTCCGAAACAAGATTAGTCTCTTTAACCACTGAGTATGAGGATGCTCGTGGGAAATTTCTTTTTTTTTTTTTTTTTTTCCATAGAGTAATAATTCAAATGGTAAGACACAAATAAGGTCAGGCAAACAACCTCTATAAGTCATGAGAGTGGGAGAGCAATTGCTTAACTCCGGAAAACAAGATTAGTCTCTTTAACCACTGGAGTTGAGGATCTTCGTGGCGAAAATTTCTTTTTTTTTTTTTTTTTAGATCCTAAAATCATGTTATGATTAATACCTGTAATGCGGCCCTATTAGGATTCAAAGACTAGATCTTCTAGTTGCAGATCAACAGCATCTTTAGACATTATACGAACATTTGGAAACATATCATGGAAATTCTTCAGCAGCAAAATCAAAGACTAGCATCCTCTCTAGCAGATCAACAGCATCTTTAGACATATTACGAACATTTGGAAACATATCATGAAATCTAGCAGCAAAATCTTGCCTTGGAGCATTATCATCTGGCGAACCAATGAGCTAGAGAAAGAGAAAACAAGATGGATTAGATATTTGACTTAAAGTAATTGACACTATCAATAAAGACAATGCAATTCCATATATCAGTACACCAGTTAAATATTTCATTTCCTAACGTTCTAAGCAGTTGTGGCATGCATGTTTAATACTAACGAAATAGACAGTTAAAAATTATATATTTCATCTGGACATTTGCCTTCATCAATTAAATTTTAGTTAATACTAACTAAAATACTCCTCAAAAATATATTACCTATTTTATCTTTTAATTTAGTGCATGCTAAATGTGCTCATATAAAAAATATGATTTCCTCCTATATTAATGGAAAGCGAGATAGATTAGATGATTGCTTGACTCTCATTATATTTTAATATTTTAAGATATTGGAGAAAATTAATTTTTTCAATTAATTATTTGAATCGTAAATTAAAAATATAAATACAGTTAAAAGTGTCATCACAATTTCCTTTTACCTTTTTAATTTTCATCATATCTAAATCACGAAATTAGCTTTTCATTATTATTTCCCTTAAAGTTAGTTAATTTCGTTTGAAATGTTGCAGTTTGAAAAGAATATGAAATATTGCAATGTGTCACGAAAACAGAACATCCAAGAATCAAAACAACAAATTCAAAATAAAAATAGAAGTGTAATTTCGGATTATTTGAGTGAAAAGTAGAGATATTTTGTTTACTTTATGTCAAATTTTAATTTTATTTTTGTCTTTATCTTTAATTAGAAATAATAATTTCTTAGTCTCATATATGTTTTATTTATTAATATATTAATATTGTTTTCTTATGATAATATTACATCTCATTTTGCTAAATTTGGATATTAATAAAAAGATTTGAAATAGGATTATAATTTTACTGTTCACGGTGGCTTCGTATCTAAGGACTTCAATACTTATTACCTGTTTTACTTATTTAAAGTTTGAAATTTTAATTTTTGATATAATTGAGTTTGAAGTGATAGCTTTTAAAATATATAAAATTATTTTTTCAATAAAGCTGCCCTAATATATATATATATACACACACACGAAAGCTGAGAAAGTTTAAAATTTTCCTTTGTTGAGCATTTTATTTTTCTTTTTTAGAAATTTTAAGTTTTTTTTTTTATTTTTTATTTTGATCAAACAACTTAAATATTTTAATTAATATTTTATGATAAATTATCCATATTTTCTTTTATTTTTGTTAAGAGTATTCTTTTTCCTAATCGCTAACTATTGTTTTTTTAATTGATTTTTCTATCTCCAGTAGAAGATGTTAGAAGTGAGAGGTCTTTAGTTTGAGTCCTCTTTACTATAAAGGTTATCGCCAATTTGGTAAAGGGTACGACTGTGTAACCCATAATGTTATCTTGGCCAATTGAGCTGACCATGTATAAAAAAATCTATTGTTTTCTGCATTTTGTCATTACATATATACATGTTTGTTTTTTTCATAGTTCTGCATTTGGGTTTTAATTTGATGCTTTTCTGTTAATTTGATCATGCAATATCCTCCGGAGAACACTCAACTCATCTTATTTTATTCTTTTTATTTTTTTGTTAACGTGAGCGGCGGATCCACAATTCCATCAGAGGTCGAGTGGTTGGATATAGAAATTAGTTAAATATTGAATTCAAAAGCCATTCAGATCACTGTTCAATCTCAATGCGGTAAATCAATCAATTAATTTAGTTAGTTCTTTCAATTGTCTAATTTAATGTAATTAGTTGTATATTTTTCTTTTTAATTTCAGATATAAAATTCACCTAATTCAAACACTTAATTTTGGCTGCAACGACTATTCTATTCTTGCTGCTATTAATTTTGAGTATGCATGGTGACGATTATGATAGACTGAAAGAAGGGAAACTAACGAGCTACGTTAATGAAACATGAGCTATAAGGAGGTCAAAACGATTAAACGGTGTTACACCATTTATATAAAAATATTGAATATAAAAAAAATTCAAGAGTTCTTCACTTATTGTATGACTTTTTTAAAGTTTCAAATAATCAATTATATTTTTTTGGAGATTTTAAGTATGTTTAATTATAAAATATTTAATAATAATAATTATAATCATAGAATCAAAATATAAACATGTGCGAAGCCGCGATACTAAATGAGTTTGAAATGAGTATAAATATTACATATGTAAATTTAAATGGAATTGGATAATTTTGGGTTAATTGTTATTTTTAGAGTTAAGGTTGTACATAGGGCAAGCATTCGGCCAATTTGATCAATTTGAATAAAATTTTTAACTGAATTTTTTTTAACTTAATCGAATTAATTTTTTCACTGAACTTGACGAACTGTTTTGTTAATTTTGATTATTAATCGAATCAAAGTTAAAGAAAATAAAAACTAAATTAACCTAAGCTTATGATTAACCGACTTTAACTAAAATAAAAATTAACTGAAGTTATTAATTACTACTCAATCGAAATAATAACTGAAATATTTTAATTTTTAATTTTATTTTCTGCTTAATTAGAACAACATAGTTTAAGAGTCGATCAATTTGATTAATTTAGTTAAAAGTTGTCGAAATTTAATTTTTTCATTAAAATTTTTACTAAATATTTATTTACCGATCCGAATTAATTGAATTGACCGAGCCGAATGCTCACCTATAATTGTTCAAGTGGTATTTTTTTTTTTTTTTTTTTTTATTTTTTTTTTTTTTTTTTTTTTGAGGGCAACAAATGATAGATTTATTGATACTTCAAATTGTTATAATTTGATTAAGCAAAGAATTAAATTGTCCATAATTATAATATTTGAAATAAAACTCTATAAATTATATTGAAAAAAACCGTGTAATGGTTTTTTTTTTTTTTTTTTTTTTTACAACATAAAGGGTATGACTATAAATTTCCTTTTTTATTTTTTTACACGCTGCCTTTAATCTCCAATGGCCACCGATGATTATAAAAAACATACCCGTGCCTGGAACGAAATCGCCCCATGTATCACTATTTTGATTTTTTTTTTTTTTTTTTTTTTACAAATAAAGGGTATGACTATAATTTTCCTTTTTTATTTTTTTACACGCCTGCCTTTAAAATCTCCAATGGCCACCGATGATTATAAAACATACCCGTGCCTGGAACGAATCGCCCCATGTATCACTATTTTAAATTGGCACGAAAGCCCGTAGTTATCGGTGAGACTTTCCCTTGTTAAGAAACGAAACAGAGTGACGCTAAATACTTGTTTTTGCTGCGAATTCTTCTTCACCGACTCCTTTCCATTAGGTGTTTCTACTCTCCAATTCGAAATTCTAAAAGAAAACAGAAATGGCTCGCAACGAAGAAAAGGCTCAATCGATGCTCAATCGATTTATAGCATTAAAAGAACAGGAAAAGAAGAAACCCAAAGAGCGCCGCCCCTACCTAGCCTCCGAATGCCGGGACCTTGCCGAGGCAGACAAATGGCGCCAGCAGATAATGCGAGAGATTGGGCGCAAAGTCGCCGAAATCCAGAACGAAGGCCTTGGCGAGCACCGTCTCCGTGACTTAAACGACGAGATCAACAAGCTCATTCGAGAAAAATCACACTGGGAACGTCGCATCGTTGAACTCGGCGGACCGAACTATGCGAAACATGCCCCGAAGATGACAGATTTAGAAGGCAATATAATTGACGTCCCTAACCCTAGCGGCCGTGGTCCTGGGTACCGTTACTTTGGTGCAGCCAAGAAGCTACCGGGTGTTCGAGAATTGTTCGAGAAGCCACCAGAATTGAGAAAAAGGAGGACTAGATATGATATTTATAAAAGAATTGATGCGAGTTATTATGGCTACAGAGATGATGAGGATGGGGTTTTGGAGAAAGTGGAGGCGCCTGCGGAGGCGACAATGAGGGCGGTGGCTGTGGAGGAGTGGAGGAGGATGGATGAAATAAGGAGGGAAGCAAGTAAAGGAGCAAAAGAAGTGGTGAGCGTTGGAGCTGTTGCAACTGAGGTGTTGTTTGAGGAGGAGGAAGATGTGGTGGAGGAGGACAGGAAGAGGGAAAGGGAGAAGGAGGAAAGGGAGAGAAAGGAAAAGGAGAGGGAGTTTGTGGCCCATGTGCCATTGCCAGATGAGAAAGAGATTGAGAGGATGGTTGTGGAGAAGAAGAAGATGGAGTTATTGAGTAAGTATGCTAGCGATTCATTGCAGGAGGAGCAGAGTCAGGCCAAGGCCATGCTTAACATTCAGAGTTAGAGATAATTGGTATGTGTAAATTCCGTTGGCTTGTTTTCTGATTTGGCTCAATATGTATATGCTTGTGCATGTGTATATTCTTTTCACTGTGTCGTATCGCTATTAAAGGTGTTGTGCTTTGATATTCTAGTAAATTTCTTTTTTTTTTTTTTCCTCATATGCTATGTTGGGTGTTTAATAGTTCTTAGTAATCTCTTATTTTGTCAGTTAGGTTTTAGTAACTACTAAGCAAATACTAAATCAGAATGTTATGACTTAATGCCTTGTTGCTGAGAGAATGAAATTGCTTATTGCCTGTTATTTTGGTTTTAATTTTTTTTTGTATTATGATGCAAATCAGGTGCAAGATATGCTGTCAATAATGTGCTCTTCAGTGATTGAGAATGAATGGACAAACTCTCTATATATTTTCAGATGTGCCCCTATTAGACTTTTAGCTTTATCCTTTTGTGGAACTTAAAGTAGTTTGTGGGTCAACGTGCGAGATTGTGCTCCTGATGGAAAATGAACATTATACTGCTTTTAGTTTACTGAAACAAAATCTTGCAATAGTAGAAATGGATTTTGAACCCAAAATGGTCTAGAAGCCAATGGGTATTTCCAAAAATTGGAGGGCAGATCAAATGTAGTGGCTACTGCAATGGTTCAGAAGCTATTCCTGCAGTCTAAGCGCAGGCCCTTGTGGCGGATAATATTTTCATCTTACATTATAAGTAGAGTTTCAACATTTTGAGAACCTGATATGTGATTATATGCGGCAAAGTATGTAGCTCTATGTTAGAACCATTATACTGGCCTGCCAAGCTAAAAAGGTGGTTCTGGTTTTTGCTCTTGTACCTAAGAATGTATGTTTATGAGGATTGGATTATTAGTTATGCTTTGCTGTTAGGTCATAACTCGTTAACAATGTACTTGTGAGATAAATATGATCAAGGTTGCTCGACCTTTGAGACCTATAACTAGATCCAAATTAAATCATCAGGTTCAAAAGACTAAAAATTTAACAAAAGAAAATAAAATATGTGAAAGAAAAAGACAAATTGATTGAAAATAGCTTGAGAAAATCAAGGACAACAAATCTCTCAGCCAGTGAAAAATCATCAGCAACAAAGTAGTATTGTTATCTTGTAATAACAATCTACTCGTTAGTTATTGTTTACTTCTTAAGCAGGCAAAACAATTATATTGAAATGGAAGTCGAACTTATTTGCATACCTCTTTGTTTATTTATTTTTCTGATTGTGACTTCGTGCGGATGGGGTAGGAAACAGTTTTAAATGATTTCACTGAAAAAAGGTGTTCAGACATTAGAAATTATTTAAATTGTGGTTGGGTTTTATCTAGAACGCATGAAGTATAGAGCATGAAATAGGTGGTTGCTAGGCGTTTCATGCTTAAGCATTTACTACATTCTGCATCTATTCATGGCATCAAGCCAACCTGTATTTGCCATATTCTTCTTTCGATATCTTCAATGTCCTTCCTCTCATAATATGTGTTTGGTTTTTAGCAATAAGCTAATAGCTGTTTGAATCCCCAATAGCTAGGTCAATTTGTTTGGTAAATACAAAATAACATAGGAGTTGGCTATTTGAACACCAGACAACTAATAATTTGAAAAGCACCTTTGGAACTCTATTCTCTTGGTTTGTAGTTTATTTGATTTTGTTTCATAGTTGGACTTAAATACTATGGTAAACTTTAATAACAATACTTTCCCTTTTCCAAATTAATGTTTTATATGATTAGATTATTTGTAGTTCATAAAATTGTAATGATTGTTAAAATGTTTTAGGTGATTTGTAAAATGCTTATGTTGTTAATATTTTTCTTAAAAAAAATTATTTTGTGCATAATATGTAGACAAAGTTAATGGTAATTTTCTTGACGGATGTTTTGTGTTATTATTTGGTTTATATCATAGATTAAAAGGAAAAGTAATAGAATATACAGCAAAATAGTAGAGCAGAGATACGCACTAACCCATCACATACAGAAAGTAGGTTCTGGAAAACAATTGGGGCAGCACCCTATTATTGATTGCTTTAGGGTATACATGTATAATTACAGGATATGCTGAACAAAACATTAATGAAATACATGTCTTAACCATGCTTGGGTTTATCCCATAACTAAGCATGCTTGGTTTACTTGAACACTCGAGCTAAATCCATACTGTCAAGTTGGTATGCTAAGTTCTAAATGTTGTTTCTGTTCTCTATGTGATATTTTTAACAGATGACATCATTAAGTATTTGTTGATTTATCTTACTGCTGTATTTGTTGAACTATTATTTACCCTTCATCATTGGATAACTTGTTGTAAGTGTTGGTAAATAATTTATGATTAATTTTTGGTTTCAGATGTGGAGAAGATAGGTCGTATTAATGTACGTTGATAGTGCCACCTAATTCAGGTTTAACTTGCTAGCTTTCGTGGCTGGCTTTTGGTTGCCGAGAAAGTTGAACTATAAGGATAGTAGAAGTTGAAATTCAAGAAAGTGGTTGTGGGAGTTGAAATTTAAGAATCATTACACAACGATCAGAAATTTCACTGCAAGAAATTTGACTTTTTGATCTCCTTTATTAGTGAACTTATTTGTAAAAATCTGTTCTCTTCCTGGGATTATTTGTTGATGGATAACCATAGTAACTGTATAATGGGTCTGTCTGAAACTTTTTTTAACAATCAAGAAATCTGGAATTAGTTGTAGGGAGTAATCTGGATGTTCCCTTTATCAAACAGGTTGCCCGAGATTTATCCTTGCAACTTAGAACAAATCGAGGAAAGAAAATCAGTAATGAATGTTAGAGGTGAATTTTTCACCATTTGTTTGGATTCAGGCAAATGAATGAAAAATTACTAAATGATGTTGACTTCATATTTTATTATTGGCTCAATGCATAAATATGTTTATGTGCTTTAGGAGTATTTTGAATTTTTATTTCGATTCATTAAACGTTTCAATTTAAAGAACTTTCATTGTATCTGATTCAATTCAGGTGTTATAGACAATCACTCGTTTTCATTCCTAATAGTATTTAAAATTTCCTGTTTATTAAAAAAATCTCGTTATCGGACGGTCATCAAGCAATGATGAAATTTCTATTTTTTTTTTCAATAGAATTGCAAAATTTTATCTTACTTCACAGACTTATAGTAAAGTGGGTTTAGTTTGCAAAAATTTTGTAATATATTGGCTAATTACAAGAACAATATTGAATTATTTGCTTTTGAAATAAAGCTGATTTTGCCCCTTAAATTTGAAAGTAATATACAATTTACTCAAAAATCAAATTTTTGTAGATTTATCCCATAATTTGCATATGAACTCGAACTAAATTTTATTACTATCTTCAACATGATATTTACTTGAATTTTTACTTGAAATATTTTATTATATAAATATTTTTAAATTATATAATGAGTTTTGATCAGCAAGTATCCACAATTTTAACTCACATCCGGCTCAGACACTAAGTCGGATAGTTAGTGTAAACCATACCTGTCCGATGTCCATTTATTAATACTAAAACCGGAATTTTACGTGTCGCCAACTAAAATCACCGCTGCTTCCGTCCCTACGCAGATCATTCGGTATTCTTTCCTTAAATTCCAAAACAAATGCTTACATCACATGGATATGGATTCTCCACACAACTAAACTCTTTCTAATGTCCAAATTTCAGAATATAACCCACTAGTTTATTTTTCCACCCTCTCTCCTACTAATACACGCATATTCTTTTCCATTCCCAGCCGCGATTATCATAGTAAACTCATAGTCTCTTCTTCTTATCAGAGAACAAACCATCAAAATGGAGACAAGTGAAAAGATTGGAGGAGGAAATGACATTTTCGAAGATAATCATATCTCTAATGACGGTTCTATTTGTGGTTATGACTCCCTTCATCACCTCCTCTGTGCCAATCTCAAGCCTCATCTTTTCAAGGTAATCTCTCCGTGTCACTTTATATGTATTCTTGAACTGTAAATATCGATGGGTTTTTAGTCAAGGCACTTTTTGTGTATACTTGAACTGTTAATTTTGATGGGTTTTAGTCAAGGTTGCTGATTAATCTTCTGATCCAATTGTTTTTTGGGATTGATTTGAAAAGCAAAGTCTTCAGCATCTGCTACTTATTATTTTCTTAAATCTAGTTAAACCAGTGATGATTATGATTATTCAATTGAAATTTTGAAATTATGTGATTATTTGACAATAATTATTGTTTTATAGGAAGTCAGCCGGTTACTTCTCGGAATGAATTGTGGAAAAGCAATTGAAACTTTAGTTCTTCCAGACTCTGCAAAAGTTATCTCTTCAAAACATGATTTTGACCTCCAGGTGGTGGCTGGTCCCATTCATTTGCTATACTAGTTTAGTACTAGAATATGTTTGAAGAACAAATTTCATGTATATTTCTGTTTTATCACTGGAACATATGATTTGGTTGTTGTCTTAATGCTGTTGAACGTTGATTTTATGGCTGATCTATACCATAAATTTGAGGTCTTTTGTGGAAGTCCTCGTATGATCTGTTCTGGAAACTGGCATAAGAACAAATGAAAAGAAGAATGGTCAAATTTAACTGTGAACAAATTCTGGTTTGATATGCTTCCGTAGAAAGCAATTGGATGATGAGATGTTCACTGCAGGGATGGCTAAACACTTAGGTAGGGATTGACGTCTGGAATTTTAGAAAACTAAAATGTCTTTGGATGGGATGAAAATACTTTGTATGTGCTTGTATTTTGAGAGAGGTTAAATCACGCACTGACTTTATCAGTTCAAAACTGGACCTTCCGCTAATATTCTTTTTCTAGATCAAATTATTGCTTCAAACTACATGTCTTTTTGCACATTAGAGACATTTTACATAGATTGTTTCATATCTTTGGATATTTAACTCTGTGGTTAGAGATAGATGTGGTTCTAAGATAACATGGAGGGAAGTAGTGAATAAGGAACTATAAACTAAGGATCTTCATGAAACTGTAGCCTAAACCAGGTGGAATAGAGAAAATGGATTCATATAGTCAATCTGAACTAGCATGGTATTAAGGTGTCATTAAGTTGAGTTTGTGTTCACAAAGTCAAGCACATTGAAAGTTGAAATTTTTAGTACGAAAGCCTTGTAGCATGATGCCATGCCTTCCATTTTGGCTGTCCAAATAGTATGTAGCAATAACTTTGGCACATATCATTGCTTAGCTATATGTAACAAGCATCTTTTCATTTTCTGTAATATGATCTTTAAATCACCAATTATATGCCGTTGATTATTCTAAAGTATTTTTCTTTAAAATCTTGCAGGCCTTTCGCTTTGGTGCTGATAAGGAGTCATTAAGAGAACCTCGAGTAGTTCGGGTGGGTCTTATTCAGAATTCCATAGCTCTTCCAACAACAGCTTCTTTTGTGGACCAGAAGAGGGCTATTTTTCAGAAATTGAAGCCAATGATTGATGCTGCAGGTTCTTCAGGAGTCAACATATTATGCTTGCAAGTAAGTTGAGATGGGGTTTTGGACTAATTCATTTATTGATTTTGCATTACAGTCAGGTCTGGATTGATTTTTCACACAATGTTATTTCAGGAAGCATGGATGATGCCATTTGCATTTTGCACTCGGGAGAAAAGATGGTGTGAATTTGCAGAGCCTATAGATGGGGAATCAACACAATTTCTTCAGGAATTTGCACAAAAGTACAACATGGTCATCATAAGTCCGATTCTTGAGAGAGATGATAATCATGGAGAGACTCTTTGGAACACTGCAATTATAATTGGAAATCATGGTAACATAATTGGCAAGCATAGAAAGGTGAATGCAAGTTTAACTCTTTCTACCATAAATTGCTTTTCGAGTAGTTTGTTAATACAATGGAAATGGCATTTGGCAGAACCATATACCTAGAGTTGGTGACTTCAATGAAAGCACATATTATATGGAAGGAAATACCGGGCATCCTGTGTTTGAGACAGCATATGGAAAGATTGCAGTTAATATATGCTATGGGAGACACCATCCGTTGAATTGGTTAGCATTTGGCTTGAATGGTGCAGAGATTGTTTTCAATCCATCCGCCACTGTCGGTGAACTCAGTGAACCAATGTGGCCCGTTGAGGTTATTTTCTACCCATCTGCTTATTTTCATTCTCAATTTATTTTCAGTGATCTTTTGCATTATAAGTTCTTTTGCTTGATGGGCCATGCTTCCAGTGAACTTTAGTCTTTGTTATTCCCATACCAAGTAATTGGGGCAAATTAGCATCACCAAGTTTGCGGTGATTCTCAAACAGCAAGTGGCACAATTAGTTTAACGCCTCATTGTTTTCTTAATATCTAGATAATGCTCTAATAGATAGTATGCATTTAACCATTTAGTCATACTAAAATGGTAGTGTTAGAAATGATTGCCTTTGACATGTTAATTGACAATATTCAATGGCTTTTTTACAGGCTCGTAATGCTGCAATAGCCAATAGTTACTTTGTTGGGTCTATTAATCGTGTTGGGACCGAAATATTCCCCAATCCATTCACTTCAGGTGATGGGAAGCCACAACACTCTGATTTTGGGCATTTCTACGGGTCTAGTCATTTTTCAGCACCAGATGCTTCTTGCACGCCTTCTCTTTCCCGTTATAAGGATGGACTGTTGATCTCAGATATGGACTTAAACCTGTGTAGACAGCTGAAAGACAAGTGGGGATTTCGAATGACTGCTCGATACGAGTTATATGCTGATATGCTTGCTAGTTATTTGAAGCCAGACTTCGAGCCCCAAATCATTTCTGATCCCTTGTTACACAAAAAGTCTTCATAAGTAACAGGTACTGTGCAAACTTGTAATATTATATCAAATTATCAACTGCAATAAGTTCAGTGTGTAAATCATTCAACATTGTTCATCTGTCATCGAACTATGATATGGATAAATTGATGGTAAATAACCAGCAAATCCCACATCACCATTAAAGTGTTCTTTTTCATTCTAAACCAAATGCCACTGGTTGCTTCCTGCCCTTTTCTTTTTTTAATTTTTTTTTTTTCAATTGTCATTATAATCTGCATGGCTTCCTTTTTTTTTTTTTTTGGGTTTTTTCCTGCCTCATTCTTATTTTATCTGTTCGTATTAAGCTGTCATGGGGCCTTCTCCAGGTACTTATAAATTGACTCAAACATTGGGACCTTCTCAAGGATTTGAAATGATAATATGAGATATATTTTAATACTGAATTGATTTTCCTTTATTTTGACATATTATGTAGGACTTGTGTTTGGGTACCACAGAAATTCTTAAACAGGACCAAAAAGCCAGTAGCTCGACCGTCAAATGTTTGTTTCGCAATCATTTCATCTTATTTCTTAGTTCTTTTTAAAAATTCCAGACTGAAATAAAATGAATCAAATTTTCTTTTCCTGCAATATCCTTTGCAATTCCTTTTTTTGCCTCCAAAACTTCCTCTCGTGCTCCAAGAACCAGGAAGAAAAGGAATGTTCAAGGAGTTCCCTTTTTCTTGGTCTCATGAGATTATGAAGAAGTGTCCTCCATAAATGATTTATGAGAGGACATCTAATAATAATCGTTTAATATTTTTTACCAAGAAAATTCTAATGGAAGTTTCTGGTTTGAATTCTAATAGAATTACTCTAATATGGAAGAGAAGGGCTAATCATAAATAAGGTATTAGTTGTTGGATTAATGATTTCAGGATAATCATTAAGGACTTAAATATGTTTAGTTTATTGAGTTCAACTTATAAAATACTTATTTCAACTTAATGCAATTCTAATGGAACTTGTATTTCTATTCCTTTTGCTTTTTGAAATTCATAATTAATTTTGATAAATAATAAAAAAATTTTAAATTAAATAATAAGTACTTAGGAGAAACGAAAAATAATAAAGAAAAATGAATTGAACAATTCTTCGCTATTTTTCTCTGTCATTTTCATTTTTTCCATTTTCCAAACGTAGTATTAAGTTATTAAAATGACCATACGATAAGGTAAAAAATGCTCGAGCCAAACTAGAGTCTAAATCTCTTTGAAAATGATATTCAAGATTAAAAATAATTAATAGTATTGTTTGGTATGGAAAATATACATATTATCAAAAAAATTAATTAATACTTAATTTTATTTAAATTTTCAAATATTATTTCACAAAATACAAAAAATTAAAACAAATAAAAATAAATATGGAAAAAATAATATGTTGATATTAATTGCATAAATAAATAAAATAATATATGCAATTTTGTTCTTCTAAATTTATTTATATAATTTCTTACTTGTCTCCTTTCAGAAAAATTTTCTTACTTATCATAATTTTCTTAACATATGCTTTAATTTGTTACTCCAAATAAATATAAATTCTTACCAATTTGCATACAGTGATATACTTTCACCATTTCAGTCGATGATATATACATATGCAGTAGTAGAATCTTTGCTTTCAGGTTTAGTTAATTCACTAACTCATAATTAGAATAAAAATATTTACTCATATACATATATTATACCTAAAAAAAATTAAATACTACACAATCTCGCACTTAATGCGGGTGAATGCGTAATTTTAAATAATATTTTCTCTATTTCATTTTGTTTGCATGATTTGACAAAATACGTATATAAAAATTTAGTCAATAAAAATTATTTTACCCTTTTCACCCTTAATTTTTTAAAATGCTAATAAAAGTTCTTCATTTAATTAGCAATCATAAATATTATTATAAAAAAATAATTGTTTACATATATAAATTTAAAAACTTGCAAACATTTTAGTACATAAAAAAAAAAAAACAATAAGCAAACAAAATGGGATAGACGAAATATTAAAGCATTGTATTATATTTGGCATAATAATATATGGATACATAAATAATTATTATAAATTTCAATTCAATTAACTTTTGAGCTTTATTCAACATTAAAATTTCCATAAACTGTTCAATTAATTATAATTGATTTATAAATAAACTAAAGCCAATTCAAACTTTACTTTGATTTTTAATTATATATTTATTTAAAATTTTATTAATGATCGAAATGTATGTATAAGGAAATCTAATTTGAAATATGTATATAAATTGATATGATAATATCTTAATTGTAGATATAATTTTTTTTATAATTGAATTAAATGAGTTATTATATACTAATATATTATTATAAACAAAATTTAAACTGTAATTTTATTAAATTTTTAATTCAGAGTCTTAACTTATATGAATATGATCAATCCACGTGAATAAGATAATATTTCATAAATTCCGAATCTCTGAGGGGTAAAACATAAAAAATAAAAAATAAAAAAAAAAAGAAATTTCAATTTGAGACTTATCAAAACAAAAATACTCGCATTCGCACTCAATCAAGCCAAGCCATTTAGATTACATAGATTTTAGACAAAACCACCATCTTCCACCACCACCACACTCACCTTTTCCTCTCTTTCTCCTTCAGAAAACCAAAACCAAAACCAAAACCAAACCAAACCAAACAGTTTTCTTTGTGTCTTCTTTTACAGTATTTTTCGTGTCATCTGATTCATCACTCATTTTAGCCACAGCTCTCCTTTTTCTCTACAAATCAGATACATACCCATCACTCAATTGCTGACATTCATGGCTTCCATTGCACCTCCAACTCCTCCTCACAAGCTTTCTTTTAGGACCCCTAAGTTTCTTGTCAAAAGACCATCTTACCCTTCTCCTTTTCCTTCTCACTCTTTTTCTTCTTCTTCTTCTTCTAGTTCTGCTTCTCTTTGTCGTTGCACCAATTCGTCGTCTTCTTCTTCATCGTCGGATAGTTCGTCGTCTGAGTGGCGATGGGATGCTGCGTTTCATGGTGTTATTGAATCTGCGAAGAAACGGATTGATTCGTTAATTAATCCTCGTCGTAAAGAGGTGGAGGTTGGAGCGGTTGGGGACAGGGAGAGTGGAAAGGGAGATAAGGTTGAATATGAAGAGTGGGATTGGGAACGATGGAGAAGGCATTTCGAAGAAGTTGATGAGCAGGAGCGTATTGTCTCTGTTTTGAAGGTAATTGAACAATCTTTTTTAATCACATGGAGCTTAATAAGAAATGTTGATAAGCAGCAAACAATTTACAGTGTTTATATTATTTTGTTGAAATATATTTTTTTGTTACTGTAAAAGAATGAAAATTTGGAGGCTAGGATCTAGGAAGTCCATTTTCTGAGGGATTTGAGAACGAATTTCAAGGAATTTTGTGTTGGTTTGAGAGAAACTGGTACTTCTTCATTCATGAACTGTGCAAAACAGCCTTAAAGGGATGAGCTTTGAAGAGTTGTTTGAATTTCATTTGTAAAACCAAAATATAAGAGAGAGCTTCGTTTGAAGCAAGCTATCTCGAAACTGTTCTTTTATTTCCCAGTTACAATTTTGCCTATAGTGAGAAGCTGTATCTTCTTTAATGTTCTTTACACCATAATGATTCTGAATTACGGATGCCTATGAGCTGTACCTTTCTATGGATAAGGTGTTCTTCACATGCTGAAATTTGTCCTTATGCAGTCACAGTTAAATCATGCTGTTAATAGGGAGGATTATGAGGCTGCGGCTAGGCTCAAGGTGGCAATTGCAGCTGCTGCTACAAATGATTCTGTTGGCACAGTGATGTCACAGCTGAATGTATGTAATTTGATTTATTACTGGTTTTGCCAGGTTGGGGGAAGGGAGAATGACAAGAGTGTCATTTTTATGCTAACGCTTTATTTTTTGGATGCATCAGAGAGCAGTGACAGAAGAACATTATAAGGATGCAGCTTTCTTACGAGATAATGCTGGTGCTGGTTTGGTAAGTTAAAGTTGGTTATTCTCCTTCTTTATGAATATAAATGTGTACTCTCAATTTTTGTTACAAGGTTTCTCTATGATATATATGTTTCTGTGTAACCAATGGATGATAACTCCCATTTGGGCTACCCTTCCTCATCTTTAATTTATATTTAAAACATCATTTGGAAAACAACTTTGTGTCATTTTTGTTGGTTTGTGGTTCCTCTGTGAATCTGCTGTGGGGCTCATTGGTGTTTGTTTATGGAAGCAGGCACCTGCAGTTAGTAATAAATGGTACTAAAAGTTGTGTTTGGTTGAGGCGTGACCCTGGTAAAGTTTGTTCTTTGTGTGAGGAGCTGCCTTTTCTTTTACTCAATTTTTTTGGCTTTGATGTTGATTAATTTAAAATTATCTTAATTGCGGGAGTGGTGGAACATGAAAATGCTACAAGCTCAGACACATTCTGTCCAATTCCATCTGCAAGCTCATGATGGACCTAGACCCTAAGGTCCCTTTTTGGGGGTGGTAAAGAAAAAATTTCAAGAATTGGGGAGGTAAAAAAAAAAAAAAAAAAAAAAAATGTTAATTAATTTTAAAATTATCTTATTGCGGGAGTGGTTGGACATGAAAAATGCTAAAGCTCAGACACATTCTGTCCAATTCCATCTGCAAGCTCATGATGGACCTAAGACCCTAAGGTCCCTTTTTGTGGGTGGTAAAGAAAAAATTTCAAGAATTGGGGAGGTAAAAAAAAAAAAAAAAAAAAAAAAGAATTATTTTTTTCACGATTTTGTAAATAAAAATTTTAAAAAATTTTGGACCTAGGGGGCCATGTACCCTACTTATCCCCCTCTTGATCGATGATAGCTCATGATGTCAACTGCAAATTTGTCGAATTGAGAATCAAATCGAATCGAATTGTAAGATTCAGTTAATTAAAAGTAAATTCATTTCTGGTTCCATTACTTTTATCAAAAGATCTGAAAATTTAATTGCAAATAATGTATTTATATAAATTCCTATTCAATCATATACTAAACACAAAATGAAAGAGAACCTAATGTCTTGTGTAGTGCCAAGTTCAAGATATCAAACTATGAAGTCAAAATTTTAAAACAAAAGCAAAGTAAAACTATCAAGTCATTAAATTTTCTATCCAATTCCATATTCATTTATTATCATTTCCAAATTCAAGCCCTTCATCATCTTTATCTTCTAATATAACTATATTCTCTTGCTCTTCTTAGTTCTTTCTCTATATTGACTTTTCTACATGTTTAGTTGGGTGAAGAATTGTTGAGAATGAGAATCGACTTGAACCATAAGATTCATACTTAATTCCGATTCACCCATAAGAGTCAAATCGTTTAGCATGAAAATTGAATCAAATCGTGCAATTCGAATCGTGAATCATGAGATTCTGATACCACTAGATTTTTGTACCACCTCTGGCTACTTACAAGCTGTTAGATGTTTTAGAAAGTTAAATGAAGATCAGTAGCGTATTACATCAATTCCTTTTTTTTTTTTTTTTCCTACTACTTAAATTTTCATGTATGAGTTGTGATAAGATTTACTTGTATATTGTTTATGGTACAGATAACATCCTTTCATCATCTGGAACTTATTAAAGCTGTAGCTTTTAGTTTATTGTTTGAGATTTTTTAGTTGGGCTGAGGTATTCCAAATGAGAAATTGTGTTGTTTGCTATATAATTTACTTCACGCTTATAGTTTCATTTGTTTCCTTAACACTGATATCCAGGTGGGATGGTGGTCTGGCATCTCAGAAGATGTGCATGATCCTTATGGTTTAATAATACGTATTACTGCAGAGCATGGAAGATATGTGGCAAGGAGTTACACTCCTCGGTAATTATTTAGATACCTGTAGAAGGGTTTCATTTTAAATTGTCATTCATACAAGATAAGCATGATGCTTAGGCATTTATTGTACATTGGCCTTTTTATCAAGTTCATTACATATGATAGTGATTGTTGTACGTGTTAATAGTTTTGTTTTTAAATGGAAATAATATAAATATTTTTCACAAGGATTCTATTTCTTAATATTTCTTTTTTACGATATCTTACCTAATATAACATTAACAATTGAAAAAAAAAAACAATTTTTATTGCAATTGTTATTCACTAAGAAAAATCAAGATTGTGTATAACATAGATTTTGTTTTTTTACTTTAATGAATGTAAAAATAATGCAAATTTATTATTGTAAAGTTAATGATTTCGAACTTACTGTAAACTACTAATGGATGATAGAGATAAAAGATACACTGAGGGGCTGTTTGTTTCACCTTAATGATAGCTTACTAGACCACCAAACTTATTCATTCAGGTAATAAGAAATAAGCTTGTTTGTCTGGATTGAATTAATAAGTTGCTTATCTAATATTTGCAACTCAAAGTTTGTTTGAATGAGTAAACTCTTTTTAGAGCTAATTCAATAAGCTATGTAACTTATTTGATGAACAAATTATATTGCCCATACAATTCTAAAATAACAATGTATACCAGTTCTTGATCATTCTACAATCAACTCTTGATACCACTTCTTAAATATCTAGCTTAATAAGATAGTGGATTCAGATTCAGCATTCACAATTCAGTCAAAACAACAACCCTAAGAATGTACCAGACTATAAGGTATGTTTTTTTTTTGGTATTAAGTGATCCTTTGAGTGTGTGTGCAAATATAGAAGAATCAAGAATTTGCTTGCTGGCTCTAGAGGTACTCAATCTAATAATTGTAACCGAAAGCATCTTAGGACTTCAACAACATTATTTCTCTAAAACATTTTTGAAAGTACTCAACTCAAGAAAGAATGAAAGATAAATCAAACTGATATTACTTATCTCATAAATATAAAGATCAAACCCATATCACTAAGCTACAGTGTAAAAAGAAATTGTTCCAACACAGTCAAGCAAATGGAATGCATTCAAAAACAAACAAAAAAGTTGGACTTCCATTGGTTGCCTTTAGAAAAAAAAAAATGCAGACCTGCAGATTTTGCCGCTTTCCAAAAAATTTCTGGTGTAGCCATAGAATATGATAAAGAAACTGAATGCTAACATTTGTACTTCAAAAGAAAAAAGAGGAGAGTAGTTGATACTGAAAGGGATTTAATTAATGGTATGGAACACATTTGTATGAATATTTGTTTGTGTGTCTGATATCCAGACTGTGTTGGCATGGTTTGCTGTTTCTAGTTGATAAAAAATGTGGTGGTGGTGTATGTCATGTTACATTCTTGTGCTATTCGGTTAGAATACATCATACCTGGGTATTCAACTGCTGTTGAATCACCTAGATGCATGTTGTTTGTAATCTACCAATTTTTTCAGTTGGCCTTTATACTTCATATGTTGGCTTCCTACTGTCAAATATTTCTTTATAATTATACATGGTTTATTATTATTCATTTATCTTTTTCTTTCAGACAGCTTGCTACATCTGCAGTTGGTGTCCCCGTATTTGAGATCTTTGTTACAAGGAACAAGAAAGGTGAATACAAGCAGCAGGTACACTTGTCCTACTCTCTCTCTCTCTCTGTTTCTTTTTTTTTTTTTTTTTTTTTTTTTTTTTTTTTTTTTTTTCTCTCTCTCTCTCTGTTTCTTTTTTTTTTTTTTTTTTTTTTTTTTTTTTTTTTTTTTTTTAGCGGACCTCTAAGTAAAGTTAAAAATTTTGGCTTTTGAGGATTTATACCCATATTTGCGAGAATTGAAAAGTGAGACGAAAGGATTTTTTTTTTTTTTTTTTTTTTTTTTTTTTTTTTTTTTTTTTTTGCGGACCTCTAAGTAAATTAAAACATTTGGCTTTTGAGATTTATACCATATTTGCGAGAATTGAAAGTGAGACGAAAGGAAATTTGTGAGGTAAAACATGAGGGGGACATAAACAGAACAAAATAATTTTTTTCGTCTTTAGTATGGTTAGAAGGAAACCAAAAGAGGGGAAAGTGGATGGGAAGTTTTTGAGAGAAGAATTATGAAATTTATTATTTTGATAAATACATACTTTTTTTTTTTCCTTTTTTTGAGAGTTGTTAGGCAAAATCTTATTATCAAAGTGTAAATAAATAAATTTTCATATATTTGTCCACTTGCTTTCCACTTTGGAGAGGCTAGAATTGAAGGGTCCCAAAGGAAAATTTGATGTCATTTCCCTCCACTTTCTGAAGTCCCAAACAAGGTAAAAAATTATTTTCAGCCTTTTGTTTTGCACCCCATCTTTTCCTATCTTTGCAAACATAGCATTAAGTTATTTGTTTTGATAAGCAAAAACAAAGTCCTTCAAACAAAATAATAAAGAAGTACAAGGCAGGTTGGATATTCACAAATTACTTCATACAAGATTCCTTTCTTGCTCTCTGACCTTTAAATCTACTCCCATCATATGCATCAATATGGATTTACTTGAATTCTAAGCACATCTACATGCTTTCGAGTGAGCATGGTGAGATGCATCTATGTTTAGTCATATGCACATCTTTACCTGTAGTTGTGTTTTCTTATTTGCTTATATTCTTTCTGGCAGTGGCATCGTTGCATATTCACTTGTTCAATGTGTATTAGAAGCCACTTTCTCTAATAGAATTTGTGTGCTTTTGTAGCCTGTGTACTTGAAAAGGAAAGGCCTTCTCCAAGATCCTTCAACAGTCTCCTCTAAAGCACCAGGTGCCACGAGCCGCTTAAATCCACCAGGGCCTACTGAAGGAAAAAGTGATCTATTTGTTGTGAGCACTGAAGAGACTGAGAATGGCGATGACACAGAAGATGGTTCTGATCTTGCTGAGGGATTACCTGGTTTTCAGAATATTTTACGAGATATGATTCCTGGTATGAAGCTCAAGGTTTTGAAAGTGACAACACCTGCGAAGGTAGATAAGGATTTTATATCTAAGGTGATTGAACAGATGATGGATGAAGAAGATGAAGAGAAAGATATTGAGTTAGAAAGTGTAGAAGGAGATGATGAACTTGGCAGTGAAAGTGACCAAGAAAGAGATGAGATTGAAATTGATGCTGCTCGTGAAATCATTGACAGTGAAGGGCCAAGTGAAATTTCGTTTAAAGTTGTTGTTGGGGGTCTTGCTCAGAAATTTTCAGGAAGCATGCCTGTAAAAGAGTCACTTAGAGTTCCTGCTAAGCTAGAGAAAAAGGGACGAAGGTCATTTTTGTTTTCTATAGAGAAAGATGTCAACCAACAGGATTCTGGTGCTAAGGAAGCAGCCTCAGCAGATAGAAAAGCTAAGTTTCAAGGTCAACGTAGTGTGGATAATATTATGTTGGACCTTGCTAAATTCATTGGCAAGGAAAAGATACCCTTGAAGGTTGGTTCAATTTTTTACAGGTCATGTTTTTGTACTAGTGTGGTAGACAAGAGGTAAACTATTTGTTAGATTATTAACTGATGAATGTTTGATTTGTTTTCATTTACCTCAACTGTGCAGGTGCTGAAAGATGTTGGTGACTTAATAAATTTCACCCTTAGTCAGGCTCAAAACCGTCAGCCATTGTCTGGATCAACAACTTTCCATCGGATTGAGATATCAGCATCTCCAGACCCTCTGAATGGTATTTGTTAGAGAAGTTGCTTAATTGTCAAGTAATTATGGGAATAAATTCAAACTTTTAACTTAAACTGTAGAATTTTCTTAATTTAGTCCCTAGACAACAATATCATGCTGTCAAGTACTTAAAAATAAAGGTTATGACACGTTATAGCTTGTAATCACCTAAATTAGTCCTTGGTAGTGAGTCAGTGTTGAAGTGGAACTATTTTGCACAGGCATTTAACTCTAGACATAAACACTAGCTCAAGGCTGACATCAAGTGAGGCCACTACTATTTGTTACCACTAACTCTATTAGTTTTGTGGGACCTGCTATCCTCATGATTTTTGTTAATTAGTCTAATACTTAATAGTCATCAACTAAGATACATACCTTTTGAGGGGATTTCTCAATGGTGGAAGCCACATGCCAAATTGGCTCTTTTCTTCTGTCCACTTCAGCGCATATGTGGTCTAAATAATTCCACCTCAATTCCGACTCAGCTTCAGAAAATAGCTTACATGACTGGAATTTATGAATGTTCAAGTACTTCATGGTATGAAATTATGTGGGGCCAAAAGCAAAAAGTGCATGAATTATAAGATAAAAGTTGAGACTTGCGCTTATGAGGTGCTTTGCAGTTTCTGCTTGTGTACTATTTGGGTTCCTTTATGTTTTACTCTGTTATTTTTGGTCCTCCAACCTCTTATCTCTTGCACTTGATTTAAGCTTAAAATCTAAATACTGTATGATTTATCAGGATTATATATTGGAGCACATGGGCTGTACAGTTCAGAAGTCATACAGCTGCAACGCAAATTTGGACAATGGCAAGATGAGCGTGGGACAAACCAGCCTTCCAATGTAGAGTTCTATGAATATGTGGAAGCTGTAAAATTAACTGGAGATCCATATATAGCTGCTGGACAGGTAATTTCATGGATTTAGCACATGTTTTGTGAAGGCTTGATTGGTACTTGCATGTTATCTATGTGATTTATCTTTCTGTTTAGCAATGCGGTAAGCATTATACCATTTTTTTTTTTCTTTTACACTAGTCATTTTCAACCTGTACAAGTTTATGGTATGTGACTTTGCTAGTATAAATGGACCGCTCCCCAAGGCTTTATCTTTTTTTTTTCCTTAAAAAAAAAAGGAGAAAATTTAACAGTCATACTTCTCCATATTTGATGGGGATAAGTAACAAGTATTGCCTTTTGGCTTTACTGGATGATTTTCTGCTTTATTGGGATGGTCATTAGCAAAACTAGAGAGCACAGTCAGTTTGCCCTGAGCCATGCACATATTTCTCATATTGCATATTTGTAGCAAGTTTCTCTCCATAAGCCTAACAAGTTAACTCATTCCTATAGGTGGCATTTCGTGCTAAGGTTGGTAAAAGATATCAACTTCCTCATAAAGGCATCATTCCTGAAGAATTTGGAGTGGTATATTGTCAGCTAATGATGTTGAATTTAGTGTAGCACCCTTTCTATTTTTACTTTCCTCTCTGTCTTCTGAAGGTTTTGTTGTGGTCTTGCTTGAAACACAGATTGCTCGGTATAAAGGACAAGGGAGGCTTGCTGAGCCTGGTTTTAAGAATCCTCGATGGGTTGATGGTGAACTTGTTATTCTTGATGGAAAGGTTTTAGTCTCTTTTGTCATCTTGTTTAGTTGTTTTCTTGTCACTTATTTTCAACCATTCTCAGAAGGATATTGATAATGCATCATTTTCATTCCGTGCAGTACATCAAAGGTGGGCCTGTTGTTGGGTTTGTATATTGGGCTCCTGAATATCACTTCTTGGTGTTCTTCAATCGGCTGAGGCTCCAACAATAGATGCCTGTACATATAATGTTCAAGCTTGTTTATTCTTTTTTTGTATTTTATGAGGTATGTATTTTCTCTCTAAAAATAGGTCTAGTTTTAGTAAATTTGTAATTGAAGTTCATTATTATTTGCAGTTTTTGTCTAGGTTGCCTCAAATTGTTCCGGCATCAAATCATAATCTAGAGTTTTTATATTGACAGTTCTTTCTTGTTCCTCCTTTCTTTGTTCTTTTGTGAAACAAGGAAATATTTTTGTGGGGAACTCGTATGATCCAAAAAGAGGCCACCTCCCTTTCCTCCCTCTTACTCTTCTTTTTGTCTCCTTTTCTTTCGCATAAACTATTTTGTCTCTTCCCTTTTCACTGTCATTCTGTCTGTGTTCTAAATTTCTAATTTCTAATTGTCATTTGTGTGAGGAAGGATTTGCCTTTGCCTTTTTTGAATATTTTCATTTGTATAGTTAGTCTCATGCTAGATTTTCTCAAGGAAATGCAAATTCTGAGGTGCCAAAAACCTTATCTTTATTGGGAAATGTTCTTTTGTTTTAACACTTTGTAAAGCATGTATGGCAATTGCCTGATAAGGTTTTCTTTGATCTCTTCTATTTTGCAGTCTAAAATGGTATCTGTAACCACTATGTTTTCAATTCGAGCAACATAGCAGCTATGAAATTCTGGTCACATGTCCAGTGCTCGCCCAATGGACTGTTGCATATGTAAGCATATTGACCTAGTAAAATTAACCCAGAAGCTTGGATAAGCTTTGAGATGCATGATCTTCGAACAGTCTCTTACTGAAGCTGTTATGCACTTAATTTTTTTTGCTCTACATTCTAATCTCTATCAATTTCTAACTATTGAGTGCTTGTCTAAGTTATCATACAACAGAAGGAAGTAGCTTCAACTAGAATTGTATTTCAGATATCTGTAGTGCAATATGATAATATGTGTGGCTGGACATGGGCAATTTGTGGTTAGAGGCTAGCAGGAGACTTGTTTAAGGGCTTATTTTGCAGATCAGTTGAATAGAAAATTAGCTTGTTTATAATCAAGCACTTTGTAATTATTCTCTTCCATTTTACTATATGAATGAAAATTCATCTTTAATCCTTTCATCTTATAAGCTTTGTTTCTTGGGTGCTTGTTGCAATTTAGGACATGAAAGGTGATCACCCTGCAGTTTACTTAGGAAGTTAATTTATCATTTATGCATCATTAAATTTATTAACGATGGTTTGTAATTGAACTGGCACCAGTTAAGTCGTGTTGGTTTCTGGTTAGATTTTGACAAGTTCAAGCCAGTTACTTTTAGCTGTTTCTGATTGGTTTAAGGCCATTTTAGCTGGTGTTTTTGATGCGTTCAAAGTGTCTAACTTGTCATGAACTGGTCTAGGACAGCCGGTTATGGTGCGCTTGGAACATAATCAGTCTCTTTCTAGTATCTGTCCACATCCTCTGAAGTCATTGACCACTTTATTTAGACTCAAGACAGACAGCGTAGAGGAAATGTACATGCACTTGGTCTTGTCAAATATATATATATATATAGAGGCATATAAATACACTTATGGTATAGGTAGATATATCCTAAAATTCCAAACCATACTTATTATTGATACAGATAGATAGATAGTTTATGGATTCATCTTTCATGGCTTCTTTTCTGCACCCGATGACACCTCACTTGCTATTATGGCTCCCTTCTCCTTTGCCATGTAAATCCCCATATGATACATACTTCCTGCCAAAAAAAGAAAGTAATTAATTAAATGTGATCATCCGTGTTAGAATCGTATCAAAGGAAGTGTTAAGTCATTTTGTAATTCCTTGACATTGATATGATCCCTCTGAAAATCTAAACAAACCAAGATAAGAGGATTTTTATTGACAAACATTGTAGGAAAAGAGAGTTACAATCCTCTTTTGTATGATAATAAAAATCTGACAGAAAACAAAATTTAGGATTATTAAACTCACCAGGAACATGTATAAGCACATTACTGTCAGCTTGGTCTACTCTCCACTTACACTGAGGACGGAACTCAACATCAACCATTTCGGGCATTACCATTGTCTTCTCATCTACGAGGTTCAGAAATCTAATGTAAAGAATTCCACCACAGAGAATGGCAGAAACTCCATTGGAGTTGCAAGTTTTTGGAATATAAGCTGTTAGTTTGAATCTAATCTGTTTGGTTGGTTGCTCTCCAAAAACTAAAACATTCATAGACTCATTATCAACCTTGACCTTGATACGATCTTTCTGGAAATCTAAACAATCCAAGAATAGGGAATTCTCAGTGACCGGTAGGAAAAAGAGAAAAAAAAAAAACAACAATTAGGATTATTAAACTCACCAGCAACGTGTATAAGCAAAGAACCACCAGCTTGGTCTACTGTCCACTCCAACTGAGGCGGGAAATCCCAATCAATAATTTTTGGCAGTACCATTTTCGTCCCACTCAATAGTTTTGGAAATCTAAGGTATAGAATTCCACCTCTGAGAAAGAAAGAGGTTCCATCTAAGTCGCAAGCTTTTGGAACAGAAACTGTTACTTTGAATCTGGTCCGTTAGGTAGGTGGCTTTCCAAGAACTTTAGCAACTGTTAGTTTGAATCTGTTCCATTTGGTGGGTCGCTCTCCAAAAGCTTGAATAAAATTCATCGATTCATTGACATTCATAAGTTTCTTTCTCCTCAAAACCTTTATATGATCCCTCTGAAAATCTAAGTAAACAAGAAAATAAGAGTGTTACTATACTTATACAAAGAAAACAAGAACTAGAATTATTAAACTCACCAGGAACATGTACGAGCAGATAACCAGCAGCCTGATCTTCTTTCCATTCAGTCTTTGGCCGGAACTCCTTATACTGAAGAGCAGTACTAGCCATTTCTATTTGCTTTAACTTTTTTTCTTGGGTTAGAGGTAAACTGTGGTAATATATATGGTTTTTTATGAAACTATATTGGCTAAGCACTTTTTTTTTTCTTCAGTTTTTTTCTTAGTAATGAAGCAAAATATCAGCTGGGTATACATAACTTGCTGAGAAAATTCTTCTTTCCTTCTTATCTTGTTTTTTTTTTGCAGTAAATAGTACCATAGATCAGTTTTGGAAAAAGCGTATCACATTCATCTTTTGATATGTTTAATCACAAATGGGCTTTAAGTTAGGACTATGCACATGAGAAAAAAAAAAATCTCACAATATCTTCATTTATGCTTTGTCTTTTGACCTTAAAGGTTAATTAAAGGATTGATGATCAAGAAATGACTGAACTTTTTGTCATTTTTTAATTTTAACCAATTCTTTTAATTCTCTGATTCAGATAACAAAACAATATTAACACACATTTAAGTACAATTAATGTCCACAGTAGAACTACCTTAAACCAGAAGAGGATATCAACACTAAATAAACCAAAGTTCAGACTGTAAGATAATCAAAAAGCAATTTCTCATCTAAGCCCAGAAGATGATCACAATAATGGTGCTGCCAATCTTAGGTTTCAAAAACCAGATATTTTATTGGGAAATGTACATGCGCTTCCTAGCATTCTTGTCATATATGTATGTTTTGAAGTTGATCATCCATTACCAACTTTTTTTATAACAAATACAAGAATGGTAGGTAGAGACACTGTGATCACCAAACCAAATTCATTATTGATAGGTATCAGGCCAGATTTATGGATTCATGTCTTCTTTTCTGCACCCAATGACACCTCACTTGCTATTATGGCTCCTCTTTCTTTTGCCATGTAAAGCCCTACATGATGCATCAGTTCCTGCCAAAAGATATATAAAAATTTACTTATTCCTGCTCGTACCGCGTCAGACCCTTAAAGGGATTGAGCACTCGATCTCTTATTTAAAGGGTCTGAGTCCTTTCCATACAGACCATCCCCTTTTGTTAATTATGATGACATGTTAATGATCATTCATATCAGAACTAAAACCAAAGTGATAAACTCATTTTCTTAAAATCATTTCTTCTGTTTGGTGTACATATTCTCTTCAAATCATTTCTGTAAAATCAAATTAAGAGTTAATTTAGCAGTAGTAACACCTAAAATTATCGAATTACCTGAGGATGAGCTAAAGCACCTTTGGTGTTTCGAGCAACATGAAGAGGCACATCAAAGGTGGCGCAGCCACTGGAATACACCACCACATCCTCTAAAGGTGCCACAAGCCCATGGTTTCTTGCTGATAGTGTTGAACAAACAAAATCCAACACACAAATGTCTGTGCATACTCCTACAACCACTATCTGCACCATAAATAATAATTAGAAAATTAACTAATTATCCCTACAAATTAAAACTTAATTTGTAGAAGAAAACTATAAGAATAATACGTCTAAAAAAGGGATATAATAGGGAAAGATGGTAAGCTATGAAAAATTAAACCTTGAGAGCAAGTAATAACAGAGACTTACAGATTTGATCTGATTGTTCTTGATCCAATCTACAAAAACATTGGATCCATCATCCTCAATTGAACCCACAAAACCATCAAAGCAATCTTTGCGTCTGATTGTGACATTTGGTTCTTTCTCTAACCATTGTAGAGCTGCACAAGTTCATGGAGCAAAGAAAAAAACATAAATCAATTTTGGCTGTTAAAGGAAAAAGGATAAATGTGATAATAATCTAATACAGTAAATACCAGGAACTAAATTGGACTCATCAGTTCCAGTAATACAGTGAGGAGGGTATGGGTCCTCAGGCTTGTTTGGTTGATGGGAATCAAGAAAAGCAAGAACAGGCCATTTCTTGTCACAAAAAGCCCTAGCTAGTGTTGCTGATTCATTGATCATTCGTGAAATCTGCCTGTTAGGTGCTCTTGGAGCCTGCAAATTGACCAAACAAACAAATACAGTATAAATTTATTAGTCTATAGATATACATTAAGCTTGTAATTAAGAAAGTAAATGATTAGTTACCAGATTGCCAGCACCCAGAGTGCAAAATCCATTGATGATATCTACAAGAACAAGGCCATTCACAACATCCTCAGGTAAAAGCACTGGTTCTTGATCAAGAGGAAGCTCATTTTTCAAAAGATCTACAGTTTGAGACACCATTTTGTCAATATCTCAGTTCAATTTACACAAGTGGCAAGGTCTTCTTATGGACATTTACATATATACACACACATATATAGACTTTTCCCCCTATTATTGGGAGCTGTACCTGTCAGAAGCTCAAACATATCTGCCAACTACTCAACAATAATTTCCATGGAAAGCTAGAATAGTCAAAAAAGTCCTAATGACAAAGCAAGAGGATAAGTACATTAAGCAATTGTTTGTTTTTGTTTTGGTTTTGGTTTTGGTTCTCTATTTAGTTGCAATCGGTGAGCTTGTTATTCTATTTTTTCAGTTTTTCATTTTTTTTTAGTTTTTAATTATTTAGTACAATAAAGTTAAAAATTTTATCTTTCTATGAATTTTATCAATACAATAAAAAAGGTGAATTTACAAATGAAATCTACAAAATTTTCATAAAATTCATTTATACCAAACTAACTACCATATTTTTCTATTGGCTGTCCTCAATTGGAACAATTTATTTAGTGATAAAAAAAAAAAAAAAAAAAAAAAAAAAAAAAATAGCTCGATAAAAAAAAAAAAAAAAAAAAAAAAAAAAAACTCCTCACCAAGCCTAGCAAACTCAAGTCAAAATTCCTCTGTTTTATCCAACGGATTGCTAAAAAAAAAAAAAAAAAAAAAAAAAAAAAAAACTCCTCACCAAGCCTAGCAAACTCAAGTCAAAATTCTCTGTTTTATCCAAGGATTGCTTTGGATCAACGCAGGGTAGATAGTGGTGGAACAATAATGAAAGTTAGAGGCCAAAAGAAATTTAAAGATTAAAGCAGTAAAATAAAAACATTTATTACATGTTAGACATTTTCTAAATATTCATATTAACCTTCTAAGAAGTTACTGGATTGGGCTTTGGACCCATATCTGCAAACACACCATCTTATTCTCTGCTAGTTCATGCTTGTATTAGATAGATTCCACTCCTCCCTTCCCTTCGGGATTTTTGTTCATCATACATTCATTTCTGCATCTCATCCTTCAAAATAATAAGATTTTTTTGAGTTCTTAATCGACGAATTTTATCGATCCCCACACAGAACCAGAAGAAATAGACTTTCTTTCCCTTTCTTTTGAAGCCAAAAAATTTCTGATCATTTTCAATGCTATCAACGTTCGCTTTCTAATATTCAAATATCCAAGAAGTTAAATTATACATAATATGCAATCATCTATTATACCCATATACCCATATTCATTTTTACCGCCAAAATCTCTCTCTTTCTTTCCAAAAACCCACCTTTTCCCTCCTGAAAGTCCAGTTCTTTTTCGGAATTATTACTATTGCAGGCCTAGAATGGCTTCTTTTGTTGGGTTTAGTGTAAAATCGCAACTGGGCACTTCTGCAACTGCAGCTGGTGATAATGAGTTTTGCACGTTGATAGAACATATGGGTAAGGGAGGAATTGATGTGGGGGATGATTTGGTGTTGCTGTTTACTCATATGCAGTATGCTTGTAAGAGAATCGCAGCTCTTGTGGCATCTCCTTTCAATTCCAGTCTTAGTCAACAAAGTAAGATTGCTGGTGTTGGGAGTGGCACAGATAGGGATGCACCAAAGCCACTTGATATAGTCTCGGTTTGTGCTCCTTTTTTCTTTGTCTAATACTTTTTGATCCTTGCATTGTGTGTGTGTGTTTTTTTTATTCTTTATTTTAGATTGTTCCTTTGGCTTTAATTAATAGTTATATGATTTTGGTTTATGGATTTTGAATGGAACTTCAATAAAAACGGAAAAAAGGAAAAAGGTGTATGCTGGATAATGTCTTTCATTTTCATAGTTAAAAGGATTCTTGTTGGGCTATTTGGTGCTAATTTAGTAATTTATTTTCATATGCAACTTTTATTGAATTTGAGAGCTGTACTGTTGGGGTTGGGCGGTCCTTTGGTTCAATAGCTCAAAGTCATAAGTAATACTGATCCCCCAAAATGACTCTGCTCTACATCTCCACTCAGCAATGGACTTTGAAGTTTATTGTTGATTGTGTTAATTATGTTGAAATGAATTGTTGGTCTGCATAACCAGCTCATCTCTTTAACCAGAAAATATCAATTAAAAAAAAAAAAAGGGAAGTGAAGTTTTTAATTGGTTGATTCACTCTGTTGTGCAGAATGAAATCATCTTGGCTTCTCTTCAAAAATCTGGAAAAGTTGCTGTCATGGCTTCAGAAGAAGATGATGCTCCAATTTGGATAAATGATGATGGTCCTTTTGTGGTGGTAACAGATCCCCTTGATGGTTCTCGAAATATTGATGCATCCATTCCTACAGGAACAATTTTTGGGGTATATAAACGCCTTGTGGAGCTGGATCATCTACCTCAGGAGGAGAGGGCCACATTGAATTCCCTGCAGAGCGGAACTAAGCTTGTAGCTGCTGGTTATGTGCTCTATTCATCGGCCACTATACTCTGTGCCAGCTTTGGTTCTGGCACACATGCATTTACATTGGATCATTCAACAGGAGACTTCATTCTCACCCATCCTGACATTAAGATTCCTCCTCGAGGTAATATATCTGTTTCTATTTATTTACTAAAAGTAATAGGAGGCCACACTACAACTAACAAAGCATTTGATTGCAGTACATTATATACACTATTACAGCACACCAAAATCTCAGCTATTAACATTTCCATGGCACTACTGGGAAGTCTTCATTCCATATAGGACCAATTATGTTTACCAGGTTGTGGCATTAATTTTCCACAACTGTAACAGAATGATATTGGAATTTCCAAGTTGTGGCCTTAAATTTTACACATAGTGGTGATGGCCTCCATATTAATATTTTTGCAATGGTCACCTTGATTGTTTAGAGAGGAGAGAATGGCATTATAAATGTTGAGACAGAAGTAAGCTTACATTTTTTCATTTTTGTCTACCATTGTCAGGACAAATTTATTCTGTAAATGATGCACGATATTTTGACTGGCCTGAAGGATTAAGGCAATATATTGACACTGTTAGACAAGGAAAAGGCAGATATCCTAAGAAGTACTCTGCCCGTTATATATGCTCTCTTGTAGCTGATTTTCATCGAACATTGTTGTATGGTGGTATTGCAATGAACCCAAGGCACCATCTCCGTCTGGTTTACGAGGCAAATCCTCTTAGTTTTCTTGTGGAGCAAGCTGGAGGCAGAGGTTCTGATGGTAAAGTTAGGATTCTTTCAATCCAACCTGTCAAGCTGCATCAGAGACTTCCTTTATTTCTAGGAAGCTTAGAGGACATTGAAGAGCTTGAGAGTTATGGAAATGTTCAACAGAAATTAAATCCTGGATATGAAGTTTGATGCTGTTAAGTTAATTTCATCGATCTTCTGCTGGGATCATACAACTTTCAGGTCTTCATGTATTTAACCATTGCAACCTTTGATAGATGTATGACACTCATCTAGTCATCTTCCATACTCAGTTGTCACTTGGCTGTCAACATCGGCTTGGCGAGTTTTGTCATGAAAGACTAGAAGACGACGTGATATGTTCTTCCTTCATCATGTGTTGCTCATTTTATCACGTAAAAGATTGATTTTTTTTCTCCACTATTACTTGTGTATACTTCACCATGTATATCACTGGATCAACTAGTGATTCAATCCTTGCATAAAGCCTGTTCTATCATAATTTCATATCTACCCCTCCACAAGTTATTAATTACCATGTCTTGTATATTTCACTCACATTAACTTCCATATGAAATGGGCACATTAATATTTGGTGGAGTGGTTGATACCAGCTGAGAGCTAGCTAGTTGCCGTGCTGATGACTGATATGTGTTAGGTAATTACTTCTCGTGTTTAGTAAAATTTTAGGGGCCTTAAAATCTAAAATGTCCATTAAAACATAATTATTTATATATAAGGTAATTACTAACTTCTCGTGTTTAGTAAAATTTTAGGCGGCGCTTAAATCTAAAATGTCCATAAACCTATCAATTTATTTATATTATATTATATATATATATATATATAGTATAGTTTAAGGTGAAGTATATTATTTTATTTTTTTAATATGATTATCATAAATAAAAATATTTTTTGAAATAATATTTAATGAAAAAATTATTTTTTAAATAACTATACATGAATTACCATAAATAATTGAAAAAACCACAACATCTTTATAAATTTATGTGAGTTGCCCATTACCAATCTTAAAGTAATATAATGGAATTGATGCACTTTTTTTGAAATAATATTTAAGAAAAAAATTATTTTTAAATAACTATACATGAAATTACCATAAATAATTGAAAAAAAAAAATCTTATAAATTATGTGAGTTCCATTTACCAATCTTAATATAATATATGGAATTGATGCATAACAGCATGACAGTAATTTAAAAAAAAAAAATATTTTTATTTTAAAAAATAACGACACATCTTTATACATATAGAAATTTTTTTTATTAGTGAGTTTAATTTATGAGTATAAGTTAAAAAAATTGAAGTCAACATTTCATTATTTTTTTATTATTTTAATTTTAATAGTTAATTAAATAGTTATTTTTATTAAATAGTTTATTTTAAAACTGCTGTTTAAATATTTAACAATCAACCTGTAATGTTTAGTATTGCAGCTAACAACACCTATAATACTACGTATAGTCATCAAAGCAAATACGTAAACCTCAAATAAAACTAAACAAAATCAACGGCCACGATTTGACTGTAAACCCACGTGCACTAATTCAACGACGCCGTATTCCTGACGTTCGAAACCGCGATTGCAATCTAATTCGGCCTAAAGAAGTCAACATGATAGGACCAGATTGTCTCGCCTCGCCGACACCAGCGTATTACGTATACACCCCTCGCGCACATTAGCACCATTGGCTCCTATACCCCTTCACCCTCCTTTCTCTGACTCCCCATCTGCTTAACCATAACCTGCGAAGAGCAAGAAGACAAAGAAATCCACCCAAGCACGTAATTTCTATCTAACGTATAAATTTGCTGAGAAAATTTCGTGGAAAGAAAATATTATTATGGGAAGTACCTTTCTTTCTCCTCCATTGAAACGAACAATTCATTATTCTACAATCACTGCCGGTATGCCTGACCCGAACTCTATTAACGGAACCTCCAACAAACGTTCCAAACCTCTTGCTCCTTCTCCTTTGCCTGTCCCACCTGGACACGTGTCTTTCCGCCTCCTCTGCCACGCTTCTCGCATTGGCGGCGTTATCGGTAAGTCTGGTAGTATAATCAAGCAGCTTCAGCAAGACACTGGTGCCAAGATCCGTATTGAGGAGGCTCCGGTTGAGTCACCTGACCGGGTTATTACCGTTATTGCTTCGAGTACTGTTGTTTCGAAAGTGGCAGTTTCGAATGATGGTAGTGGTAGGCAGGAAATTGATGTGTCCAAAGCGCAGGAGGCTTTGGTTAGGGTTTTTGAGAGGATTTTGACTGTGGCGGCGGAGAGTGATGGGATTGGTGTTGCTGGAGGGGTGGTTTCGTGTAGATTGCTGGCGGAGGCTAAGCAGGTTGGGTCGGTTATTGGGAAAGGAGGGAAGATTGTTGAGAAGATAAGGGAGGATTGTGGGGTTAAAATTAGGGTTTTGACTGATAAGTTGCCTGTTTGTGCGGGGTCAACGGAGGAGATGGTTGAGGTAAGAGAATTATGAATTGAAGTTTGTATTTTGAATTTTGGAATGTAGTGTTTTTATGTTAATGGAATTATGTTGCGTACTACTATTACTTTGATAGAATTAGGCTATTCATGGGCTGTAGAATTCAGGTTGTTATTATCTAGGGGATATTTTTAAGCTTTAAAGTTTGTGGTATTCAATCGGTGTTTTGGTTGCATTGCATGGAGTGGCTTTTTTATTGGTGTTTGGGAATTGACATTATGTTCCATTATAGTCAATCAATGACTTGTAATTGTTAAACTAGGTGTTTCTTCTGCTACAAAACGTTGAGCTTGAAGAGCTACGAGAACTTTGCTTGCGTAAAGATTGAATCATTGTGCATTTGGATAAATAGAATTGTGTTTTGGTTATTTGCTTTTCATTTCAATGGTGTAGAATAGATGTTTGTACTTGTATTCTAAACCACTAACTTCTGTGATATTATATATTTATATGTGTTGTAATTTGAGTGTCATGTGCTAGATAGTTAAGCTTGGGTCAGAGTCCAATATCACTTTAACTTTTTTTTCCGGTAGCATTTGTAGTTTGTAGGTCTTGGATTTGTGTGATTGTTTAAATTAATGTTGAAAGTTTCAGACTTTAGATATTGCATTTTGCCCTGCAAAGAAATGCCATTCACATAACACGTTTGTGAAACATGCATGATACTAGGGCTTGAAAATTATGTTATTGGTATTTACTGAAAAGGTTTACATTTGGAGAGTATGTTTACAACCATTGCTTGGTACTTTCTCATGCTGTTTTCATGCTTCATGCTATTGTATTTGCAATTTCATTGGGGAAATTAATTCATTTATTTTCTTCTGACAATGGTTTGATATTTTCAGATTGAGGGAGATGTTTTGGCGGTAAAGAGAGCGCTTGTTGCAGTTTCTCGCTGCCTTCAAGATTGTCAACTACTTGATAAAACAAGGATGATCAGCAGCAAACCTGCTGAAACAGTTCCCCTAGAACCTGTGCCTGAAATACGTGTAGATGTTCATTCACAGTCACAGCGTAGTTTGGTGCTACCTGCTATGCCAAGTAGTACCTTAAGTTATGCTTCAGGGGCTCATCCTTTGTCATTAGAGACTCATCAAGTCCCCTCCCTGGACGTAAAGTTGCCAGAACAAGTAGTTTTTAAAATTCTTTGTTCAAGTGAGAAGGTTGGGGGTGTTATTGGAAAGGGAGGCACCATTATTAAGGCTCTCCAGAATGAAACAGGTGCTTCTATTACTATTGGACCTACTTTGCCTGAATGTGATGAACGTTTGATCACTGTCACTGCAGCAGAGGTTTGGCATTCTGATAATCTCCTTTCATATTTCTATCAGTACTTATGTTAATAGAGTATGGAGTAATGTGTATTGCTTTGGTGTCTTCTCCTTCAGAATCCACAGTCTCGTTACTCAGCAGCACAAAAGACTGTTGTTCTTGTTTTCTCAAGGTCAATAGAGGCTGGCATTGAGAAGGGACTAGATTCAAGCTCAAGTAAGGGACCTGTTACGGCAAGGCTTGTAGTACCATCAAACCAAGTTGGTTGCTTGTTGGGAAAAGGAGGCACTATTGTTTCAGAAATGCGCAAAACAACTGGTACTGGCATAAAAATATTAGGAGGAGACCAGGTCCCAAAGTGTGCGCAAGAGAATGATCAAGTGGTGCAGGTACGATAGAGTCCCTTTTTTTTTTTTTTTTTTACGAATGATCAAGTGGTGGCAGGTACGATAGAGTCCCTTAAGTCCCTTTTTTTTTTTTTTTTGCCTGTTAGTTAGGTGCAAGCATGCAAAAGATATATATATATATATTTGCAGCGCTGAAGGAAGAATATTATACTGTTCTGTGAGAAAGTTTAACTATCAGTTGACTTAGGGAGGGCTTCAGCGGTTGGTTTTATGTAATTTTAGGCGTGTATTTAATTTTAACAGGCTGACTTGTTAGGAGGCCTTGTTAATGTCTGTTTTCTTTAATACTTACTTTTGGGCGGGGTCGAGTGTTCGGAGTAAATATGGATGATGCGCTGTTTAGATTGATCATAAATTGTGAAAGATTGTGAAAATTATCAACTCATATAAAAATGCATGGAATCATTATAGTTCAGTTTCCTCTCTCTCTTCTTTTGGCTTGTTCCATATGTGGCTGATACGAGTCCATTACAAATTTTGGGCATAGATGGGCCCCAATTATTTCCCAGATACCGTTTTTTCCCACTTGATATTGTAGGACATGGTTGTTTGGATATTCCGTTTTCAGAGCAACTGATGACGGAGCTAGAAACGTGATCTAGTGTTTTATTCATATGACATTGTGTATTAATTGCTATTGGGTTCCTTAATCATATTACAGAACTCGGATATTTCTTTATTTAGTGATAGTTCATCACTCATATGATATTTCATTCAACATTGTTTCATGTGGATAGCTTGTTCGACATTGTTTCATGTGGGTGATTTTTTTTTTTTTTTTTTTTTTGTGGGTCTGATGTTTTTTTTTTTTTTTTTTGCCTCTATTTGTTTCTTGATTTTGTTGTTTTTTTTTTTTTTTTTTTTTTTTTGCCTCTATTTGTTTCTTGATTTGTTTGTTTAACAGATTTCAGGAGAGTTGCCAAATGTGAAGGATGCAATATACCACATAACTGGCAGACTCCGAGATAACCTATTTTCCAGTGTGCTTACTGCTCCTGGAACAAGGAATGCTTCTGTAATAACTGAGACTAGTCCCTATATAAGATTGAGAGAGCCATTGAGGGATACATTTAGGGATCCATTGAGGGAAGCAGGGATGGATCCTTTGAGGGAAGCTGGGAGGGATCTAATAAGAGACACTTTGGGGAATCCGTTGAGGGATCCATTGAGGGGTGCTTTGAAGGAGCATTTTAGGGGTCCGACCCCTCTTAATTTGCACTCATCTGTAGGTTTTTCTCATAATCTAATTAGACACACTGCTTTAACACATAGTATGGATCATCTTGGACTGTCACGTAGTATAAATCGTCCTCCTTCACCAAGGTTGTGGGCATCACAGGTAAAGTCTCTCTCTCCGTGGCCCCTCTGTCACCTACAAAACAAGGAAAAACTGAAGAAATAAGTATTGAACTTCTTATGTTCGTCTACTTTATATGTTGATTGCAGACAGTAGCAGGAGCAAATCCAAGAGGCATCACAGATGTCAACAGAGGACTGTCATCTTTTAAAGGAGGCGTAGAACTTGGCAGGTCAGCGACACATTATTTGGTTCAAAAATATGAGAATAGGCAATGGTAACATTGGGATTGGTTTTATGTCGAAAATGGTAAATTTACTAAAATTGTGGCCAGATGGCATCACAATAATAATATCATAATTAATTAATTGCTATTATAGTTGCGATTGGCCTTTGATTAGTGAAGGGTGGGAAATTTGGTAATGCCGGGGCCTTGACCCCTTTGTTTATGACTCAATTATTAATTCAATTGGCTCTTATATCCATTCAACCAGCTTACTGCTAATGACATTGTATTTGTTATTAACTAAAATAGCTGACTGAATCCAGATAAAACCCCATTAAAACCTAGCCCTATCCACCAGAACTTCTATGTTTATTTATTATCCATTAGATTAAACAATGGGTTGGGGGGGGTGGGGAATAATAAACAAACACATGGATGATATTGAGTACCACAATCAGAACCAGTGGTTGTTAGGCACAAGAAGTATCTGAGTCAACTTTTGATGGTCCACAATCTTCTGGCATAGGTGGGGTTGAATCTAATGTATAATCTCTACGTTGTAGCTACTAACCAGAGAGACAGAAATATCATCCCTCAGCATGATGGACTCTCACTTTTTCTCTTCCAAATTATTTGTTATTATGCTCTCTCTCTCTCTCTCTCTCTCACACACACACACACACACACACAACACACACACACACACACACACCACACACACACACACACCACACACTAACACCAACCACACACACACACACAACAACACACCACATGCACACACACAATCTACAGTTTTGTCTCTCTGGCAAATTTCTCTTTTTTTTTTTTTTTTTTTTTTTTTTTTTTTTTTTTTTTTTTTTTATACCATTTGTTTCACACAAGTCAAAGTTATACTAATAAAATCAGAGGAACAGTTGTTAGTGATTTCAAATAATGCTTCTGTTACTTGGTTACAAGGTTCATTCTATCAGCTTTTACTGGCGGACATAGGAACATCAATTGATGTTAAAGGTTTATTTGTCATTTTCACAGAATTAGTAATCCCTCTTGATAGCTAATTTATAATGGGTGAATTTGAATGGTAAAGTAATTTTTGCCACCTCTGTGTAGTAGACAGGAAGAATTGAAGAAAGGCTTACAAAAGAAAGAAAATCTTAATTCCTAAAATTTAACGTTTCCACAAAATTTTATGGCGAATTAGCTTAGAAGTCATATCTAGCATTTTGAAAATGCTTGAACCTTCTTTATTAAGTGGTATTTGAAATTGCTGGTCACTTGAATAGTTGAATTCCACAAGGTACTGACCCTCATGTCTGGTTGTGTAGTGGAAGCAAGTCTGCTATCGTGACAAATACAACTGTGGAGATTGTAGTCCCTGAAAATGTTATTGGCTCTGTATATGGAGAGAATGGTAGCAATCTCACTCGTTTGAGACAGGTATGCTTTCTGATTCTGTCTTTTAGTTTTTGCTCTAACTTTGTTGTATCAAACAATATAGTTCAACAAGTTAATCAATATGAATCCATGCATTTAATTGATAGCACATAGCTACTGATAATTATGGTATTAGTAGCCTCTGTTATTTTTTATAGTTACTTATGTTTGCTTGATCTGACATTGACAATCTCAGAAGATGATTAAAGATAGTTTGTAGAAGTTGCTATGTTTTATTCTTTTGAAGGAGATAAGGGATATTGGTCAAGTGAGGGTTGAGCCTTAATAGAATGAGGAACATCTAAAAAAGTTTGTTCTCACTGTTGATTTGCCTCATTCACTTTGTCCTAACTATGCTGGTTAAGAAAAGTGAAATTTTATCTTTAGCAAGCTTGTTTTATGAGATCAAGCTTGTAGTCTTCCTTTTATTAAAAGAACTTCAAGAATCATTTTGATAGCTTGGATATGCATACTATAATAACACCTAAATTAGAAATACAGGCATGATCAACCTATTGACTTGATAATTAATCCTTTTTGCTTATAAATTTTGACATCTAAAGAATTCATATATGAAGTACCAAAAAAAAAAAAAAAAAAAAAAAAAAAAAAAACATAATACTTAGAAAAGTGATCATGGCATGATCAAAGCCTCATTGACCTTGATGGCAAATTAATCCTTTTGCTTGTGAAGAGTTTCTCGACATATAGAAGATTCGATCGATATGTGAAGGTACCAAAATAGAAAAAAAGAAAAAACAAAAAAGAAGAAAAGTCCGAACTTTGATGTTGATTCTGTGGAAAAGATAGAATTAGTGAAAACTATAGATTTCAAGCCCAGATAAGATTAAACTTAAACTCGATTTTTCCTCGTGCATGTTCATCCGTGTGCAAGCTCAAAATTTTTTGAACGGCCAGACAAAGAATAACGACAACAGTCAGTCAGTTCTTGACAGTCTTGCTTGGAGACTAGAAGAAAAAGAAGAAGTCTAGAAAACCGCACATCGTAGCAATCGAAATCTGAAGACTTGCAATCAACCCCGAAGTGCCACATATGGCTGATCTGTTCATAGGACTGAATCATTTGGTACAAACAATGAGTAAAAATCGCTTATAACCTGGAAACCGAGTATTATGGCAAATCCGCGTGTTCACAAACAAACGACGAGCCAATAGAGAAACTCATTAAATCCATCTATGCCTGTGCTCTCTATATATTGTGGAATATAATGGAAGTCATACGATAGAAGTGTGTAAAAAAATTGATAAAAGCTTTTGCAGGGTTCAAATTTAAATTCTTAGTGATTGTAAGGCTCCAATAAGCGAAGCAGAACTTTGAAAAAAAAAAAAAAAAAAAAAAAAAAAAATCAACTTTTGTTGTTCTGTGAAAAGATGAGAATTTGAACTATATTTACCATTAAATAAACTAAACTCGTTTTCCTGCTATCTGTAGCCAAATTTTGAAGCAAAAAGATAAACAACAGTACAATCAGTTTGACAGTCTTGCTAAATCGAAAACCACTAGAACAAATCAACTTCAATCAACCCCAAGTCCAATAAGGCTTCTGTTCTACAATCATTGTACAAAAAAAAAATCCTTATACTTGAAACCAATTAGCAATCCTTCAAAACAACCCCAAAGAACCATTAATCATAGCCTGTGCTTCTTATATATTTGGAAATATATGAAGTCAAATAGAAGTTTAAAAAATGAAAACTTTTGCAGTTCAAATTTTAAATTCTTGTTGAATACCAATAAGGAAGCAGAACTTTGGAACTTTTTTATCTTAGTGGGTAGGATTATACTTTTGTCAAGAAGCATGAAAGTGAAAAGTTAAATTTAGAAACTATCCTTTCACGGATATAATGTGGCATCAGTAATGCCCTTTTTGATATTTAATTATTCCTGGTTCTTCTTTTCAATAATAATTTAGGTTGATCTATTCAAAAACTGTTTCACTCCTTAAGACATTTTACACAGTATAGATATATTTTAAAGTCAACATCAGCTCATCAGCTAGTGTTCCTTAATCAGATTTCAGGCGCCAAGGTTATAGTGCATGAACCTCGTCTAGGAACAAGTGACAGGATTATCGTTATATCTGGGACACCTGATGAAACCCAAGCAGCTCAAAGTCTCCTTCAAGCATTTATCCTCACTGGACAACCATGATAAAATTAAAATGTTCGCTCATGACTTTTTAGTTTAACAAAGAAGACAATTCCTGTTAGTAGCCTGCTTAATTTGGTTTTTTCTATTAACCAAATTCTGTACACTAATTTGTGCCTATATTTAGGCCAACCCTGTCTTATCCAACATTGGCCATTTGGTCCAACTTTTTCATCAATATGTTTCTTAGTGATTGAATGTCTCGGTTTCTGGAACTTGATGGCATTTTCCATAACCATTTTCTATATTCTTACCTTGGTTCTGGTCAAAATACTATTTCCCTAGTTCACCAAATGATTATATAATCTCTGTTCAATTTCGTTAAGCAAACATTTGAATTCAATGAATTTACACATGAAATGAAAGGTAAAGCTTTGACCAACCCGAGGACACAATGTACAAATACTAAAATGAATGTTGCATTCTTGAACAGAACCTGTCAACAATATCGAAACTTGGTTTAATCAATAGTGGAAATGTGCTGAACTTTGTACAGATTGCATAATCAAATGATTGAACATAACAACTCTGTTTCAGCAGCCAGAAAGAGTGCATAAAACAAAGCAACAGAAAAGAAATACATTTGAATATATATGTTGTTGCCATTGCGCAACTTCATAAGATCAAGCTTCTATTTTACTTTGGCTGAAATTGCATCAAAATAAAACCTCGCAGCAATTCATATAGTTTCTAAAGCTGGTAATAACAGAAAAACTCCAAAAAAAAAAAGGGAAGGAAAAATAAAAAAGAGGAAACCTTAATATTTTTCTACTCCCTCCTGGTCTAGAATATGCACTTTTGTTCTCTGTGTTTGTTATATAGTGTAATACTGAGTCCTTGACATAAAATGCTATATAACTTTTACTGAACTTTGTTCTTTTATTGGATGTTCGGCTTTTACTCTAAAACTTGATTGCCTTATCTAGTATGAATGAACAACATAAAATTTTCTTGAATTCATTTGAAATTTCATTTCCATGTTCTATAAAAATGAAAATGTTCATTTCATGATTCAATTTTATTTGATTCAACTAAATTAAATTGTCATTTATAAACAAATTATATACTTCAAGTCATTGATGGCAAACAAGGGTAAGGATAATTACAAGTACCATTATATTTTAAGCATTACAATGTGTTTTCTAACTCTTAACTCAATTTCAATAACCATTCTCATGAATTTTCCTTAAGTATTTATAGAATGTATTTTAAATTAGTATGTGATTAGTACAAAATAGCTAAAGTACTATGTTAAGAATATTATAGAAAAGTTTAAGATATTAGGTTAAATCTTATTAAATGCAACTCATAGATCAATTATCATTGTAATTGTTAAAATTAAGCTGTGACATTTCCTACTTAGTAAGAACTATCCCGTATTTTTAAGTTTTATGTAGAAAATAATAATTTTTGTTGATATTGTAAGGCTTTAAAATAAGTGGTGCAATCTCTTATCATTCGAAAATCCAACACCCTATATGTAATTATCAAAAAATTGGATTGGACTGCATTTCTATAATATGTATAAATCAGAGAATGGAGAGGAGGAACATTAGGGTTGGCAAAAATACTCCTATTAAATTTATGGATTAACAAAAATATCTTTTAAATCTTTTAATTTCATTGGTTAAAAAAGGTTAATTTAATTTGATTGGTTACATTGGTTTCCTATTTAAATTCAAATTCTATTGACTAATAAATAAAATAAAAAATTATTTTAATTTAGGAAGTTGATTGTATAGCAAGAAAATTACATTAAAGATTTTGATAAACGTTAAGAATATAATAAATCAAATACTAGTTTTATGGTGAGCATTGATATTATACATATTATAGATATTAACAAACGTGATATAAAATTATGTTTATCAATAATAAGATCAACTATATATTATCAATCCTAATTTGTAAATTTTGTCCAATCTCAATATTAATTTTTTTTATTACCAAGGATTAATATTTAAATCCAATTAGGAATCCTCATATTTAAATTTAAATTTATTATTAAAAAATATTAAATCACGAGTATGAACAATGAGTATAAATAGCATGCAAAGCACGTTCTTGAAAACTAGTACTCCTTAAGTTTCATCCTGGTTGCTCAAATTTTGAAGTTCTGCAAGCTTCAGAGCTGGGAAAAAAAATGCCACTTAAAACCTTGGAGAAATCAACCCTAACACTTCCAAATCATACGACAGAATGGATGGCATAGCGTCAATAAGTGCAGGATAACAAGCATTACTTAAAATTCTCGAGAATAAAATTGGTTGTTGCTCCTGATGCTGATTGGCATTGGCTTGAGAGGAATTATCACACCAATGATTGGCATAACCAATATTACAATTCTTAACTCTAGTTACTATCAGCCAAGGATTAATAATGATTATTATTATTATTATTACTCTTACGATTTAACTCTTAAGATCAATGTATCATCGTCTCTGCTGAAGGGAAGACAAATTTCACCTCCCTTCTCAAACATAACATGGATATTACAATTTAACTCATGCTGCTGGTATCATTCCAACCAGTATCTTCTTCAACTACGATCCAAGTATGCCCTACGGAATAAAGCAAAATTTCTGCTCAAAAGAAAAGAAAAAAATGCTATAATTGAATTAGGGCTTTCAAAACATTAATATTGTTGAAAAAAAAAAAAAAAAAAAAAAAAAAAAAAAAAAAAAAAAAAAAAAAAAAAAAAAAAAAAAAAAACATTAATATTTGTTGAAAAAAAAAAAAAAAAAAAAAAAAAAAAAAAAAAAAAAAAAAAAAAAAAAATCTTTAGGACTAGCTATTTAAAACAAAACCTTCCATTTGCTGGAATTAAGTAAAAAATCTCACTAGAGTCTCTTAGACCATCCTTTAAAAAAAAAAAAAAAAAAAAAAAAAAAAAAAAAAAAAAAATCTTTAGGACTAGCGATTTAAAAACAAAACCTCCATTGCTGGATAAGGTAAAAATCTCACTAGAGTCTCTTAGACCATCCTTTCCTAGCTCCAGCTTCTTGCAGTAATGGATATGGTTGTTCACTTGAGATGGATCTACCTGGTTAGCAATCCACTCAGATTTTTTCTTTTCTTGCCTACACAAAGTGTATGTATGCCATCTCTCACATGAACCATACATGTACGATTAGAGTTGAAGTTTGCGAGAACTATCTTTCACTTGCATGGGTATAATACAGTTAAGCCTTCAAGATTTGAAGAAAAGTAGTGCAAGATAGGATAAAAAAAGAAATTACTTAGATTACCGCAGTTAATTTCCTTGATCATCTTCTTAGTGTTGATTAGAAATACAGGACAGGTGAGAATTGGATTTCTCTATCGACATGTCATCACCCAGCTTTCAAGCAATCAATTTCTTGTCAATGATGGAAAGTGACTGTCAAGCGAGCAGAACCTATGATAAATGTGAGTTTTTTCATATAGTCAGTCATTTAGTTCTTTTTTGAAATTATTTTGCTCTTAATATGTCCATACTATATATGATTGTATAGAATTTATGCTTGTTAGTCGTTACTAGCATTTTAATAATCACTTCTTTGTCAAAAGTTGCAATCTTCAAGATGTAGAGACTGACAAAAGTCACCAAGCAATGAGCAACAACTAAACAAGCCAAGGGAGATTCTTTTGGTAACTTGGTTTTTTAGTTTCCCAGGTAGACATTGTCAATGACATATTGTGGATTCTACATAACCCATTAATGGAAATTTACTTCGAAGCATAAGCAAAAGCAGAAACGGCAATAAATGCAATAATAGTTCAGCTAACTAAAGATTTTGTCAATTACGAACTATTAAAGGAACTTAGACGTTGTGAATGACAATCGTGAATGGGAGCCACCTTATGTAGAATTCCCAAACTATAAGGTAAACGAGATCTTTTATAGCATTTGAGCTGGTCTTTTTCAAAATGCTGGAATGAAAATAGAAACAAAAGAAAATAGTTGCCAGAAGTAAAAGAAAGGAAGAAATTAGATGCCATTGACCAAGAACTTTGATACCTTATCGTTGCTCTATGTTCAAGCATAAACTCAACAAAGGAAACCAAAATACAACTTAAAGAAAGTTTCTTGTTGCACAACGTTAATGTATATATTATCACTAACTGCAATTGATGGAAGAAACAAGTTCTGATTGGGTTAAAACCCAAACTCTTTTTAATTCTTCATAGCTGAGGTAGCTGCTGTGGCAGTTGCTGGCTGAGATGTTGGCTTGAGAGTGATTTCCACATTGTCATGCACTCCCTGTAATAGTAGCTCACCATCATATGTTACAATTTTGCGCTTCTTTGCTGCTCTTAGTGTTCCAACTAGTGCTTCAAATATGTTTGCACATCTATCATCATTGAATAATACACCAAAGGTCACCTATAAAATAGAAAACTAAAAATGAGACATTATTTGATCTCAACTATCAAAAAAGAAAACAACAATGGCGTAGGAAGTATTGGATTTATTAGAAAGGGGTAAATGTTCTTCCCTTTCATGTGTTGTGATGTGTGAAATGGTGATTCCATTCTCCAAAGTACACACTTTCATAACCTTTTATGGTGTCAAGAGACAGGATGCTTTGATGAGTATCTGTTTGCAGTTATAGCAAGAACGAAGATTTGAGATGTACCGATTGTGAAGACACCCAAGACTGAAGTATGCATCTAGTTTGTCTTTTGCAAATGGTGATGACAAATACAAATTAAGGAGGTTAAGAGCCTGTGTTTCTCATATTATATGTAGCTTTATTTTAAGCAGTTTTACGTTGATAATATTGTTGATTCCCCCTCTTGTAAGTGATGAACTTCTCTGAATAGGTTTGCTAATATTTTTTACTGATGTATTTTTACGTTGTCCACTTCTACTGATATTTTTTTAACCCAAAACAAAATGGAAAATAGAATTCACCAAATGATACAAGATAAACTAATATGTTGAAGTTAAATATTTATACTACCCTATCAAAGATGAAATGGGATATGATATAAAGCAAAGAGCGAAGTTAATTTCTTGACCAATTACAATGCAAAAAATATGTCGTTACATTAAGAATAAGTTTTTCTTTTTTCTTTTTTTTCTTAAATTATTCTTCTGTGAGACGAGGAAACTAGGAGTTTAAAGTTCAAAGTGTAAGCATTATAAAGTTGGTCCGCATGTACAAAACTTATATATTCAAGAGTGGGGATTATTTTCATTACTACAACTGCTACTACCTTTTGCATTGCTATTATTATTATAATCATAGAAGTTATATATGATGACTATCTAGATATGGCTTAGTGGCCACCACCTTCCAAAGGTACATGGTTTTGTATAGTATTTCATGGAAATATAAAATAAAAATAAAGTTCAAAATCTGATATGAATTTTGCCCAGTACAGGCAATCAACAAGCAAAATGCCAATCCAAGTCTAAAAAGGGTTCGAAGACTTGATCATTGGATATCCAGCCATATATGATGTTTCAGTTCAATTGCTATTGAGAGTCTCAACCATGTTTTTGCAAAACCAATGGTATTTTTTTAACTTTTTTTCTAGCCATGATTCATCAAAAGCAATCAAAGTAATTGTTTTTAGTACAATTTTTAAAAGTAGCTCAGAGCTCCTTCATTGGCTGAAAGGGCCAAATGAAAGGATAACTAATCATCACCAAAATTCAAAGAGGTCTCTTTTTTTAATTTATTCATGAACTGCCAATCAAACTGTGGCATTTTGTATTGTGTTATTATCGAAGACAAACTGTCAACAAGTGAAGCAATATGTAAACTGCCTCTTTTTCAAAAGCATCCTAGGTTTTCCCTAAAAAAAGATCGGAGAACTTTGGTTTGGTAGCTTCATTGCTAATTCCTATAATGGATAATTGATCTTTGTAAGTTTGACTTAGAAGGAAAAAAGATAAGAAAAAGAAACTATTTTCAAGATAAACGTATAGGCAATATTTGGATTAAGCATTTTTAAATCTATTTGAATTTGTCAAAACTTTATTGCTTCTAATATGGCAAACCATATGAATCAATGAACATTACACTAAATAGATGCAGAAAATAGATAAATGGGAAAATACCATATAAAAGAAAATGAAAATAGAAATACAAGTATTGACCAGTAATGTGTAGATCCCCGCATAAATCCAAAAGTTCTGAATTCAAAATTTCATGAAAATTCAAAAGCTTATGTTTTCCCAAATCAAACCTGGAGTTCGGCAACTACTGAACATACGCAGAGGAAAACACAGAAAAACGAAAAGAAATCCATAAGAAAAAGAACAGCAATCTAGATCCAGTTTTTATAGATACCCCAAAATCAATGAATAATAGATCCACCATTTATTGATTTCCCAGTAAATCTAAACCCAGATTACCAAAAGTCTCAAATGCCATGGATATTCATTCAATTCAAGTGATATCTATATCACATATTGTAGAAATTAAAAAGAAAAATAAAAGAAATTTACCTTATAGGAACCATCAGGTTGGATCTTGCCAAGTCTTTCGATCTCTTCTTTGAGCCTCTCGACCTCTTCTTCTACGTTCATGGTTTGGTTTCCTTTCTTCAACAAAGTATCTTTCTCTCAATTATTTTCTTATCCTAGCTTTGCGGTCTGTCTTACGGTTCTTTATATCAAACTTTCCATAGTTCTCCCACGTTTTTGTTAGCGTTTTGTAATTAATACTTTCCTTTTCCGATGTTAAAGAAAACTGGATATAATTTTCTTATTTTTTTACTACAAATAGTATGTTTTTGTACACTAAAAATGAACTAATTATTTTGGTAATTTTATTTACACAATTGATTTCATATATTAAACATTAAACGTTAAACATATTATTAATACTATAAACTAGTCATATAGCAGCACATTATGCAGGTTAATGCTTTCAAAATGCCCCCATTTTGAATCCTCAAGTTAAATTAACAAAGGTCACTTGATAGATATGCCCTTCTGCTGGCTAGCTAAATTACATGAACGAAAAAGTAAGTAATAACCAATTAGTTAGCTAGTTTGCTACTTTTATATGTCCTTGATGGATATAGTATTTAGTCGATGTGGGATTAACAGAAGACATTTTTATATGTTAGATCTTTAATTTAGTATATCGAAGTTTTCTAAAGTTTGATCTTAGTTTCAAGAAAATCAAAAAGTCAGATTAAAAATCGAATTGATTTAAAAAATGCTTGTAAATACTTATCAAATTGACTAAATCTAGCCAGCTTGGTCAAATTTTAATTTGATTTAAAAAATTTGATTTTAGTTTACTAACTTTAGTTCAGTTTGATAATAGCTCCTAAGGCAGTATTTAGTGTTTTTATTATGGTCAAATACCTCTATTATTTACATTGTTTTTTATAGCATTGTTTATATTAATGTTTAGATATTAAGAGAATGGATCATGAGAATGGCCTGAGTGACAAAGCTTCAATGACCAGAACTCGGGTCCTGTGCCAGCGAAGTGGAAAGGGATTTTGCATAAGTGGTAAAGACTCGAGTTCATCTTTTTGCGATAGAAAGCTTATAGGAGCTCGTTTCTTTTGCAACGGCTATAAAGCTACCAATGGAAAGATGAATGAGTTGACGGAGTACTGATCTCCACGGGATTCTGACGGCCATGGCACTCACTGCATCCATACCCGCTAGCCTTTACGTATTATCAGCCTTGGCTACGCCAAAGGTATCACAGCAGGAATGGCTCCTTGGATTGAACGCGTTCTTGTTCTCCCTTTCGCGTGCTTCAGATTTGAGAAGAATTTGAGAAGCAGGTGTTTTAAAGAACCTGCCCCTCTTTTGCTCCTCAATTAGGTTAGGGTAGAATTTTGGGGAAAAACATCGTTAGAGCGATAATAAATAGGGGTTAACCGGGTAATTTTATTATTTTTGCCATGTGGGACAACCTATGTGGATTATATACATAACCGGACACATAGATATACGCGGTTCTCATTTAATTCCATTAGATATTTAATTGTCCATATTATCAGAAGACATCAAATTGAAAAAAATATATAATATTTAATTATCATAATTTTTCGTTCAGACACTAAAATATAAAAAAAAAAAAGTCAAATTCAGAAAAAAAAAAAAAAAACATCAAATTGAAAAAAAATTTATAAATATTTAAATTATATAATTTTTCGTTCAGACACTTTAAAATATAAAAAAAAAAAATTCAATATTCAGAAAAAAAAAAAAAAAAACAATTATCCCAATTAATATAGTTACTATGAAACCATCAGAAAAAAAAAAAAAAAACATTATCCCATTAATATAGTACTATGAACCAATGCTTAAAAGATATTATTGTTTGTACTAAATTAAATATACCACCATCTCATACCAATTATAAGTTGGAAATAGCATTGATATCTTTTAGGATGGCCTCTTGAAAAATCATAGATATTCCACAAAGCCACAGCAAAAATTTATATAAAAAGCAAAAGGCCAAAATTATATTTAGCTTTATTTTTTTATACCCAATCATCTCCTGCCATGTGTCATATCAACGCAACCTCCGTGAGCCACCCGATTTTCACCGGTAATTTTATCACTTCCACACGCTTTGAACCGTGTCGCCAGAAATTACGCCACTCTTGTCCCCTGTCCTAATGGCCACTAACCCAGTGGCATAAACCGTAAATAATATCCATTTATGGTGGCAATCTTCTAATCCTCATCGTCCTCCTTTTTCATCGCCGCTTCTTCCCCATCTTCTTTCATTTGACCAACATAGAAACCCTTGTTCCTGTTTCCCAAATTTAGGGCTCTCTCTGTCTCATTTCGTTAATCTTTTCACGTTTTTTACACTAAAAAAAAAAAAGAAGAAATTGTTTTCTGTTTTGTTTTATTTTATTTTAGCATATATCATTAATTCAATAGTGATATCTTTTAATTTTTTTTATATTGGGTTTGCTTAATTTTTCAGGTTCATTTTCTATTGCCTTTTCTTTTCTGGGTTCTTGTTTTGGTTAAGAATTTTCGGATACAGAAATATTTTAAAGGTTTGTTCTTTTTCTATTCTGTAAGAAGATCCTAATTCCTTCGTTTTGGGTTCTCTTAAATTCTCTTTTTAGGGCAAATTTGTTGAGCTTTTGATATTGGGGTTCTGTTGTTCCATGTCAATAGACCTTTGAATATAATGAAACATGCCAAATTCAAATAGACAAGCATCGATGTACACTGCAGAACATATGGAGATACATGGCCAATTGGAAGAAGACGACGAAGATATGGCTGGAGGTGGGGAGGAGTCCATAGACAACCCTAATATCCACTATGAAAATGGTGCTGGAAATGGTGGTGGTATGGAAGATGTTCCTCCCTCTGGTATTCGAGTTACTGGTGCACAAGATTATCCTTCAATGCTTGGACATAGTAGCCATGTTGACCAGCTCACTCTGTCTTTCCAGGGTGAGGTTTATGTTTTTGATGCTGTTTCCCCAGATAAGGCAAGTATATTGCTGCTTGTTGAATTTTGCTTTCTTTTTGTTGCTGGTTTGGCTGAGAAGTACTAGATTTTGCTTCTGGTTTTAGTTGATTTTGTGAATTCTGCTGTTTTTTGTGGTTCCATGTTGGTTCAGTCGGTTGACGCTTGGTTAAATTTTTATGGTGTTTTGTATGCATGCATGGTCTGCTACTTTAGGTTCACAAAGTTTTTTTGTTAGTGTGGTTAATCCTGCAATAGTGCAATGTTTCTATTTATTAGTTGCTGGTAAATGGTAAGAGCTTCATTTAGTTTTGTTGTTGAGTCTAATTATGTTTCCATTCGTTGATACTTGCTTAGTGAAAAAAAAAAAAAAAAAGGTTGGCTTATGAATTTTAGGCTTGGGTTGAATTACCTCGACAAAAACTGGTTTCTCTGATTATGTTATTTTAGGTGGGTGTATCCTATTTCCAAGACATGGGTTTTGGCTTCCACTTTGTACTCGGCATGTAATTTTTCATCTGAAAGGATTTGACTATTCTTTCATCTTTCTGATTTCTTTTTTCTCATGTTATATTTTGTTTTTTGATGGGTTTTCCTGAAAATTTATAATTTTTCCACCTAGGATTTTGTTCAAGATCCGAAATAGGCTTTGTTCTGCAACTTGTCATATTTCAATAATCCTTAATACATAAAATTGAGTACTATGATCAAATAAATATTTTTTGGTTCCTTATTCAAACTATTCATACATCTTTTGCTTCATGCTTAGGTACTGGCCAATTTGTTGAGTTTTAGTGTTAGGGTTTAGAATATCTGTTGGAAAAAAAAAAGTTCATGTTCAGTTGGCTACTTCTGAATTGATGTTAGTTTTGGTTTAGGTGTTTTGGATGAACCAAATTGAGCCATGTCATAATATTTGATTTTATGAAGATGTCACATGTGTTTTGGATGTTTAAATATGTGATATGGCATTTCAGTTTAAGATTGTAGAATTTGAGTATTGTTTTTTCAGTTAATCTTTCCAATAGTTGAATCGTTTTGATTTCAGTAGTTTCATCATTTTGAGGGAATTGCATAATTAACTAGAAGTAGTTTGTGCTCGTTGGCTTTAACAGGTGCAGGCAGTACTGTTACTTCTAGGTGGATATGAAATCCCTTCTGGCATTCCTGCCACAGGGGCAGTACCTCTTAACCCTAGGGTATTTAGTAATTCTATTTATGCAAGTTCTCTTGCATCACCTTTTTTTTTTTTTTTTTTTTTTTTTTTTTATTTATTGCAAAGTTCTCTTGGGCATCACCTTTTTTTTTTTTTTTTTTTTTTTTTTTTTTGTTTTTTTTTTTTTTTTTTTTTTTTTTTTTGTGAAGTGACATTGCTATTTTTGTTACATGCTAATACATGTCTCCTAGGGTCCAAGTGACTTATCGGGAAGGTCAATTCAACCTCAGAGAGCAGCTTCGTTACGGCGGTTCAGGGAGAAGAGAAAGGAGCGTTGTTTTGATAAGAAAATACGCTACAGTGTCCGGAAAGAAGTTGCTCTTAGGTATTCTATTAATTCATTTATGTTCTTATGGCCTTCCATAGGGATGTTAGAGGCTTGCTTGTTCTGACCATAGTCTGTGATTCATAGAAGTTGAAATGACCTTGTCCAATTGATATAACAAGCTTCAACTTTGTGCTACTATTCTTTATTCAATATATTTTATATACAGGCTTCAATTTTCTTGTTACCATTAGGCCTTTCATGCTCTTTTCATCCTTTCCCTTTAAGAGAAAAACTTATAATGGAAGTTTATAACAGATGATTAGTATTTCAGGTTTTGTATCATCCTTTTTGAAAGTCTTTTATTATTTTAGATATATGCATCTAGGAAGCATCATTTGCATACAGCAGAAAAGGATTTGGAAGGCTTGGTTGAATAATTATTGTCCTTCTTAAAAAATATTCTATCACTTTTCCTCCACAAAGCCCAGAAGAAAAAGGAAATAGTAAGTGGGCCGCAAATTGGTTTTTCTCTTACTTGTTTACAAATATATGCCTCTCGAAGCCTGCAATTTGACTTTGCTGCTTTTTATATAAATCCAATTATAATTATACTAGAATTGGCAACCTTCTTACTCCTTTTGCCTTTTGCTGTAATACTTGTTTCAAACACAATTTGTCATAGCCTTTTGAAGACATGAATGATAATATAACTATTCTACTTTTCTGAATGTAACATGCCAACAAATATTATTGAATTTGATTCATTTAAGCCATATATCAAGAGTCCTAACCATGTTAACCTTGAGGTTTTTAAGCTGTGAAGGAGCTGCAATATTTGGTCCCTTAGTAAGAATGCCACCTCTGATTTTTATGCTTCTATTTGCTAGAAGGCAAGTCTTATGTGCAAGAAATTGCTAAAAGTTTTATATGTTTTCTGCTGAGTATGGCTCTGGAGTCTCATCTTTCCCCCCTCTCTTTTTCATAACAATTTTGGAGCATATACTTCTTCTCATGGAATTTTTTTAGAACTATTTTCCTGAAAGGTTCATATCTAGAATACCTGGAATGGTGTACCAGTAATGAATACGACATATTAGCTTGAAGATACAAATCAAAGCTCCCATTTTCCCTTAGTTTCTGACTCCTTTATCTATTAATCTAAAGTGCTTCTTCCAAATGCTTGTCATTTTGGCCCTCTTATTATATGTTCTGTGTGGCTCTTGGCAGGATGCAGCGTAAGAAAGGACAATTTACTTCAGCAAAGGCTAATTCTGATGAAGCAGGCTCAGCGTCTTCTGGCTGGAGTGCAACACAGGGTTCTGGACTAGATGAGAGCATGCTGGAAACATTGTGAGTTTCAATTTGTTGCTCAAACCTGTGAACATGTTTCCAGTTCCCCTCTGTTTATTACCATCTGCTAAAGATGATATGGTACTAGTTTGCACTTCCCTTGAACTGGTGTTAGTTCATACTTGAAGATGTTAATTGCAAGCTTGTACCGCAAAATTGTGTGTTCTATCATTTCAACTGAATGGTGATATCCTTTCTTCTTATAAGACGTATTATGATGCATTATGCAGATGTACTCATTGTGGAACCAGCTCAAAGTCAACTCCAATGATGCGACGTGGACCAGCTGGTCCAAGAACCCTTTGCAATGCATGTGGGCTCAAGTGGGCCAACAAAGTAGGCATATGAGTGATTTCTGTTCTAACAAAATAATTAGCAGAACATATTTCATTGTCTCATTAAAAAGGATTGAGTGTTGCAGGGAATCTTGAGAGACCTTTCAAAGGTGGCGAACATGGCAGGTCAAGGTCCTCCTGCAAAGCCAACTGAACAGGTGCATACCTTGTATTTTATATCCCTTTCTTGTATTGCTCATATGAAGGTAGACATTTAAGATTGCAAGATTCATTTCCTATTATTATATTATTGTTTAGAAGCTAGATGGAAGATGCAAGTGCAAAACGAACTTGTTTGCAATAAGGCAACAAACTAGCATACCTCCTCTAAACCAATAATATTATTGGACCTCTCTCATCTCACTAACCTCCTAACTATTCCACTTGTCTGAACAATATTTAGCAGATTCTTTGTGAAACCTTCCCTCTCTGATCCTCTTTTACATGTTCTTAATTTCATTCCATTTTCTGCATTGTCTTTTCTCTTCTCTTTAAATATAAATGTCAATATTCTATTCACACAACATGATGTGCTTTTTGTGATTGACAACCCAACAATCCTAGAATCAATCGACCGGCCAAATGGCCAGCAACAGAGTGATATGTGGAGTCCATTAACACTCATGTCAATATCCTAGTAATGTTTGTTGCTTTCCATTTTCCCCTTCACCCACACCTACCAAAGTTCATGGATGGTTGCCAACACATGGGGTATAGTTTTATCCCAATATTAGGACTGCTTAGAACATAATATTGGTTTCATTTTTTTCCACTTCCATTAAAAACGGAAATGAAGTTTAAGTTTTGTAAATAGGGAACTTGGATTGAAATAGACAAAGAAGGCTTTTGAGAGAGAAAAATGAAGTTCAAAATTAGAATAGGATTTGACTGTCATGTACTCTCTGTAAGGTGTAGAATGTTGTACCACCCGTGTGCTGATGTAATCATGGAGACTGATCAGAGACGTGATTGCTCAAGTGAGTTGGTGTGGTGGTAGGGTGGGGGCTTCAGAAAGATTTGATTTGCTTTGCGGGTCAGTTATGTGTGTTGATGGTCATGGATAAGCAGCAGGCCATCTATGATTTTTCATCAGGTGAGGGTGTTAAGCTTAGGGGTTAGGTTTGGGATTTTGCAATCATGTGTTTCATATCTCATGTGATCATGTGCATGAATGGTAATGAATGTTGCTTGTTATTGTAACGACTCAAAGAATGGGATTATTCTTCGTTTGCGGGTCAGTTATGTGGGTTGATGGTCATGGATAAGCCGCAGGCCATCTATGATTTTTCATCAGGTAAGGGTGTTAAGCTTAGGGCTTAGGTTTGGGATTTTGCAATCATGTGTTTCATATCGCATGTGATCATGTGCATTTAATGATAATGAATGTTGCTTGTTATTGTAACGACTCAAAGAATGTGATCTTTCTTCGTTACAAGGTAAAAAGCTTAATATTCTGCTAATATAATTATTAGTATTATTATTTGGGTAAATTGCTAAAACCCCCACTTGAGGTTTAGTGAAACATACTGTTCAATCCCTGCTGCTTTAAAAAGTTTGCCACTCTTGTTCATGAGATTTGCTTCAGACAACACTTTAGTAAAACATACTGTTCAACATTTTTTTCCCCTAATCTATGGTGGTTCTGGGTTGTGACACTGAAAGGATGAGACTTGGCTGCTGCAATCGGTTAGACCCATTGCAGATCAACTCAACAGCACAACAGTAAAGAAAGAAAGGAACTCCTGAAGCCTAATGGTAGAGAGAGAAGAGAGACAGACACATGTACAGTGAAGAAAGAGAAGAAAGAAAATTAGGTTTGAGTAGATATGACCGTATGAGATACTTCTTATATGGACATTTAAGTCATTTCTTTTGTTTTAGCATATCCTGTTAAAGAGATGTTCATAAAGGGATTACAGTAGCTAATTTTTTAAAGAGGAGGAACCGAAGTGTTTATTTGACTAAACCTCAAAGGGAGAGTTTTAACAACTTACCATTATTTTTTCTTCTCTTTCTTTTCCCCCTATTTATAGGGAAGATAATGTGCCATCTTAAATTTAAGTGGCATATAATTTCAGTCGAACCTTTTTTCTTTGTTGCTTAGTTGCTAACATATGCTGTATCCTCCCTTTCAGAGTGAAGGTGAAGCGAACGACTCGGATGCTGTAACTTTGCCAGCAGATATAGTCTCTTCTAATGGCGATAATTCAGCTTTGACTGCGGAAACATGAATTGGTAGTGTCATCGTTTGCAGCCCTTCTTGTGAAATGGATAGTTGCTTCTTCTTCCTTTTCTTGCAGTTGAAGTGCAATTCAGACATTAGAAAACAGATTCATAGCATGTGTAATCTCTCTCTGGTTTCCTTCAACCAACTGTACATAGAATTTTAGTGCCTCTTGTTATATACATCAAATTGTCTCAAAACATAAGAATCTTCAAATGTCATATAATCTTTGTTTCTCATCCAATTGCTAGAGCTTAAAACAGGCAGTTAAAGGTTTTTTTTATGTTTCTTGTGCTTGCATCTTATATTTCTTTTTCCAATTTTTTATATATGTTGGAATTTAGAATAATGTTAAAACAATAACTAATTTAAAAATAAATTGATTTCAAAAATCTAAATACTTTATTAAAATTCAAAAAATAATTCAGTCTCAAAAAAAAAAAAAAAAAAAAAAAAATAAAAAAAAAAAAAAAAAAAAAAAAAGTCAAAAAGTAATTGATTATCTAAAAACGTTTTGGATGACGAACTCTCTTTTTACATAGGTATACATACATACACGCAAGAGGCGTGTGTAAGCATATCCATAGTTGATTTTTAATAATTTAAATAAGTCATCTCCACGAAATACGGAATTTTATTATTGTTCCAAAAATATTAATAATATTATTAGTTTGTATAATAATTGAAAAAACAATATGAAAAATATTAAAGGCATTATCATTCTATTAATAATATCATTAATTTATTAATTATAAAAAAATAAATATTTGATTATTTGAAAGAATATGAATGATATTACTCTTACTGTCATAAAAATAGACCTAATTTAAATTTTTTATAGATTAAAAAATTAACTGTAATTTTTATTTAATCTTTTTCTAATATACCCTTACTATTTTTTTCCCTAAACTAAAAAATATGAAATATCAATATTTATATTAATCATGTATCTTAATTTTTTTTTATTAACAGTAATATTTTTTTTTTTTTTTTTTTTTTTTTTTTTTTTTTTTTTTTTTTTTTGTGTAAAAGAGAGGTTCTAAAAACATGTATCTATTTATATTAACTAATAGTGTTTCAACGTGTATACATTTATATAATGAATATTACATACTAAAAATATCTCATGTATTTTATAAATTTTATTTACAAAATTAATTATGCGAAATCTGAAATCACCGCTCTCAGAAGTCATTTGTGTAAATACTATTCCCAACAGAAATTTCATAATTTGAAATCTACTTATACCATCTGATGTTACACTTTATCCCAATAAGCCATATAAAAATTTTAAAAAAAGAAAATCAGATATGAAAATTTTTATAGGTCCAAAGATTTTCTTTCCAAAATTAAGCCCCGGCTTTTATTATTATACTTTTCTTTTAATGTATATTGCAGATTATTTGTACTCGTTAACTATAATTATTGCATGTAAATATAATTTAATTTATATTTATATAACTTTTTATTAACTTTTTGTCATAAATTATAATATCATCTTATTATAAATTATAATATTATGAGCAGTTTGTATTATTTAAAATTCAATAATACTGTATAAGATAATTTGGTCTAGTGGTTGAAGTGCACTAGATCTCACCCTTATGATCTCAGGATCGGGTCGTCGCTCCCTAATCCAAAGGGATTACCCTCTCAATCTAACAGGTAATACTAAAAAAAAAAAAATCCAAAAGTATTAACGAAGATTAATTTGACTTAACTTATAACATTTTTTATTTATATTATAGAGATTATATATTATAGATGCATAGCTATTATGATAATTTTTTACTAAGCCTATAAGCTTATAATTAATTTATGGTTACTTTTTTAGAGAAAAAAAAATTTTTAATGTGTTGTACGATTTGCAAATGTAACACTTTATATTATAGTTTTATTTTTTTATATATTTCTAGTGAATTTTATTTTTCTATTTTATATCAAACAATAATATCAAATAATAAATTTTATAATATATTTATTAATAAATATAATAAATTATATTTTATTTTTTGTAAAATGATTATGATCAATTTAATAATAATAATAATAAAACATATTATACTCTTACCATATTTAATATGTACCTTATATATTATAGTATAACCGATCAAAATCAAATTAATTTTCTTCTTTTAACTCATAAAATTAAAATTATTAAAGATATTATATTCTTATCATATTTACTAGATATTTTATTTAGCATATAATATAATTTCTTACTTTATCCAATAGAATTTAAATCTAAATAGGAAATTAATATAATTAATTAAAATTAAATTACTTTATTTTTCAACCAATAAACTTAAAACCCTAAACATTATATTCTAACCAAATTTAATATGTATCTTATTTTGTATATAATATAATTTATTATTTTCCCATAAAATTTAGATTTAAATAGAAAATTAGTATAACCAATCAAAGTTAAATTATCTTTATTTGTTCAATGAATAAAATTAAAATCTTTAATGATATTATATTCTTACCATATTTAATATGTACTTTATATAGTATATAATATAATTTCTTAATTTATCATATAGTATATAATATAATTTCTTAATTTATCCAATAGAACTTAGACTTAAATAGATAATTAATATAACCCATTACCATTTTTTTAACCCATAAAATTAAAATCGTTAATATAAACTTAGTAGGGGTATTTACGGCATTCCCCTTCTCATTCGTACTTTTACAAAATTTCAGTTTTTCCGAACGTGTATTGTATATTGTTTATACTCATTGATTTTTATTCGTCCCAAGTAATTATAATTTAATTTTTATATAAAATTTTCGATTAATTTTTTGTTATAAATTATAACACTATAAACAATTATATTACTAGAAATCTAAGAGCATTTACGAAATAGAAAAAATATTTTATAAAATAATAAAACTAAAAAAAAAAAATTCTCAACAGTGAGGATTAGTTTGACTTGGCTTTTATATTTTCAATATATATTATAGATAGATAGCTATTATAATAATTAATATATTAATCATTATTTAGTCTTTTAGAGCATCATATATAATTTTGATATTTTTCTTTTATTTTTATTTTTTGATAAAATAAATGAGAATATAATTAATCATGGTTGCTTTTTTTAGAAAAAAATTATTTCAACTTGTTATAGGATTTGTTAATATAACATGCTATATCATAATTATATATATTTTTTTAGTTGAGTTTTATGTTCTATTTTATATCGAACAATAAATCTGATAATATATTTCTTAATAAATTATATTTATCCTTTGTAAATTAAGTTATCGATAGAAAATAATTATAATTAATTAAATTAAATATTTATTAAAAGTAATAATTAAACAATATTACATTTTTTTTACTATATTTAATTTGTACCTCATGTAGTATAATATAATTGATCAAAATTATTGCGATTATTTTTTCAATCAATAAAATTAAAATCCTTAAAAATATTATATTCTTATCATATCTGATATATACCTTATTTAGTATATAATATAATTTCTTAATAAACTCTATTAACAAATCGTAACAAATCAATATATATATATATATAGTCAAGAAAGTGAGTGAAAAAGGAATTTAATTATAATAATTAATAAAAATTATATGCTTATATGCATTTTACATAATCCTCTTTGCCGACCAAGACCGAATATTGCATTGATTTGAGAGCTTTTACATTTCATTATTGCATTATGAGAAGTCTTTTTTTTTAGGCTTAAAAAGTCTAAAAAAATTATGTCTAAATTCATTAAATAATATATTTATATTAGTCTAAAAAAATAAGACTAATTGTAGAAGTAGTTTAATAATTAATTACGATTAAGATTTATTTCTTATATAGATAGCAATACTTCCTTAGTTATTTTCACCAAGTTTTTAATTTGTTTTTTTATCCTTTAATTTTTTCAAAAAATAAAATTAGGACCTTCAAAGATATTTTTGTCATCTTTAAATTTAATATATTGTGTCATTCTTAAATTTTAATATATATATATATATATATATATATATTATATTACAAAAGCCTACCTTCTATTAGCCTACTTCTATATATATATTACAATTAAACTTTATAATATAAATACAAATACGAACTCTTTCAATTAATATAATAAGAATATCTTAGTAAATAATTATTAAAATTATAGTCTAAATCCTTATGAAATAAATTGTTAATCTCAATTAATTTGTGAGTTATAATTGAGAAGCTGTATAATAAGTTCCAAATTTATATATTATTATTTTCTAATTTACGTTCCCAATAAGTGCAAGAGTTATTAGTTTTTATTTTGACATTTTAATTTTACTAGTGAAGAATATGAACGAATTCCCCTGAAATGACCATGAATAGCCATCAAGTGGAATAAGAGATCGTTTATGCCCAATGACGGACCCACACTGAAGCCAATGGGGAATGATTGCCTTGAAATTTGAAAAAAAAAAATAGTATTTAAAAAAAAAAAGGTTAAAATCATTTTTGACTATGGACAAACTCTTTGTGACTTTGTCATTTTTATTTCTTAGTCCTATTTAATAGGATTCCAAATTTATTAATTTTCATCTTCACTCTAGTCACTTTTATTGGCATTTGGGGCTTGCAATACCACATATTCAATTACTTCTACTTCCTTTGTGGATTGAAGAAAATTGCTTGCTGTAAAAATGATGAATTTTTATATGAGACATTAAATTCTCTAAAATTTTGTATAAAATTAGTCCATAAATTTATCTTTTTTTATTATTTAACTTCAATTTAAATTAAAAAATTATTTTTAATACCTCGTAGTTTTTTTCTTTGAGATTAAATTCTTTAATATTCATATTATTGAAACATTGTTTCTCGTAAATAATAACAATACAATATTCTTTTTGTAATTAATATAAAAAGGAGTGTTAAAATTTGATTTTTTTTCCCATTGATTTTATTTAAAATTATAAATTTATACTTAATTATATATACGAAGCTTTTGGATGGCTCTTAGAGGCTAACGATTACATATTCAGTCTAATGTATTACAATTTATAGAGCTTAACAAATTAATTTTGGATTGCAGTATTTGACATAATTGCACATTATATTCAGCCGAATTATAGAATTTTAACAAATTAATTAATTTTGTAATAAAAACATGAACTTTAATTATTTAATGACAATTATTTAAAAGCAGACTTCGTATTAAAATGAGAAATGAGTTATTATTTTATTGTTTAGTGTTGAAGGAGACATAATTACAGGATTAATAATGAAATTATTATGAAGAGATTCCACCTAATGAAAAAGAGAGCGAGGTCCAATTTAATTTAATTAATTTTAAAAAATGTATCGTTATTTATATTTATTTTACATATACATTATTTTTGACTTCGTATTAAAATGAGAAATGAGTTATTATTTTATTGTTTAGTGTTGAAGGAGACATAATTACAGGATTAATAATGAAATTATTATGAAGAGATTCCACCTAATGAAAAAGAGAGCGAGGTCCAATTTAATTTAATTAATTTTAAAAAATGTATCGTTATTTATATTTATTTTACATATACATTATTTTTGTAAACTATATATCTTAAGTGAACCCATTGACTAAATTTTTTGGATACATGATCATCTATAATATAAATATTATGCTCTGTCAACTCGATCAACGCTTCAAATCAAGATTGTACTTTTTTATTCTTTGTATATATTATTATTAAACTTCCTATACACAAATATAAAAATATATTGATATGTATCTTATATTTGTTTATAGTTTTTTGAAATTTTTAGTTTGATTTCTGTCAAAAAAATTTAAGATTCAATTGATATAATTTTTTTATCTTTTTATTTTGAAATTCTCATATAATCAATTGAAATTCTTATTAATTTTTTTTATAATTATATCACTTATAAAAAAAATTAAATGAATTAAAACTATATTTTAATTCTATTAGTTAACTACATTTTTATAATTCTGTTATTTAATTAATGCTTTGCCATGTCATCGTTCATGCTTTACAAATTTATAACAATACATAGATAGATAGTTGATATCAGCTTCTTATTCAACAAACTCATTTCTCAAAATTTGAAGCAAAAGAAAACTCAATGGCTCACAGATATTTTTTTATCGTTCTTCTTCTCTTCATGCTTATCACAGGTTCTTTTCCTTTTGTCTCTGTTTTTCAACTTAAATAGCTGAGTTCTTCATTTTTAGGTGTAATTATATATTTCTATTGTAGTATTTGAATTTTATCAATTAAGACAATTTTTTTTAATTATATGCATTTGAGCTAACAGAAAAATTAAAATTCGACAATTTTATTCAATAATTCAATTCATTCGAAAAAAAATCAAAAATTTTCAACCAAATGCTGAGAATTTAGAAAAAAATTATATTAATTCAGGCACTTAATTGATAAAAAATAAAAATTGTGCCGCTAAAATAGAAAAATGGAAAAATTTACGTACTAAATTTGTAAATATGCATAATTTTTACAGTGATGATTTTTGGGTTTATTTTTTATAGGTGGAATTTCTGAAATAACCTTCAATTTTGATAATAATTGCAAGGATACCTTATGGCTTGCCTCTAGTCCATCCGACGGTGACTTGGATCCTGAAAGTGGGCCGGACACACTAGAAATATTCTACATGGACGATCCATGGTCTGGAAGTATATGGGTACGAACCAAGTGTACCTCTAACGATACCTATTACTTCTCATGTGAAACTGGAGATTGCGGGTCGGGTGAACGAGATTGTCAAGGCCCACCACCAGTGTACCCGGTTACCCTACTCAATTTCAATATCAGCCAAAATGCTGTGTCGTATGAGCTGAGCTTGGTTCACGGGCATAATATAGCAGTTCAGATCCGACCAGATGGCGGGTCATTGGTTGATGGCGGATCTGGGCCATGCCCGATTGTTGAGTGTATTGGGGATATTAGTAATGTTTGTCCAGCTTCGCTTGTGGTTAAAAATAAGGACGGTGTCTATGTTGGGTGTAATAATCCATGTGATGTTTTAAATGACCCGAATTATTGTCGGGCTAATGATATTTCAACCCGGTTTAAGCAATTGTGTAGCTCAGCACATACGTATCCTGGGGATAATAGTCCTCCAATATATAAATGTAGTGGAGCTACTAGGTATTATATTACCTTCTGTCCTGTATTGTAGAATTCTAAATACTTTGCCATAAGTACTTTCTCTCTAACTGCGGTTATGGAAGAATAATGAGAAAAGTGGATTTTAATTGGTTTCCTTGTTCTTTTTTATTCATTGGTAGGCCGATGGACTGAAATAATAATATGGGCTGTACAACACGGGGTAGTCCTCTTATGGACTTACAATATTGATAAAAGCATTTATAGTCGAAAAAATTCAAATTTGAAACCTTTCACTTCTCACATAAGTAAGAAAACCAATTAAATCACACCTGATTGGTTGTGTTTCTCTTATTGTTTGTGTTGTGGTTTACCACACGTGATTGATTATTGTACATCAATAAACAGAAATTAAAAAACTTTGGTTGCAGGTTAGGACACTAGAATTAGAAAAAACTTATATTTAGGTTGATTTCATAGGACATAGTTGAGTTTAGATGTCTATACATAATATGCTATAACAGACTCAATTGAATAGAAAATGCATACTTGAGGAAAAGCAAAGAGAGACATAGAGAGATCAATGGTGATGATTATGAAGATGAAGTGAGTCATTTGCGCCGGGAGGGACTTGATGATGTAGATTTTGAATTGAATTCCAGCTTTTCTTCTTGATTCTTTAAATTCTTCTTATTCAAAATTTTCACTTTTAACATTTAATTTTTTGAAGTTTTTAATTCATGTTTTTTCACTTAATATTTAAATCTTTGAATTATAATGTTTTTAATCAAAATTTCTTCAAGTTAGGAGTATGAAGCAAACCTATTATTTTATGGAAGAATGAATATTAAGTTTTAAGTTTATTTAAGTCTCTTTATAACAAATCAACATTTTATTATTATTATTTTTTTAGTATCGGAGAAGGTTCGAACTCAAATTTATTATTCGGATTATATATGTAATTACTAGGCTATTCCTTGGTGTGCATATTTTATTATTAGTTAAATATATTTTTTTTTAATGAATATACACATATTAAAAATGCTGATTTTTTATATTTAAGGATATGATAGCGAGTTTAATTGAATATTAAGAATGTTATAATAATTTTTTAAAAATATAAAGTTAAAAAAAAAGTGTTAATGAAGGTATATTATCTTTATTTTCTAATGTTTGTTACATTTGAAATTTTATATTTCTTAAAAAAATATCAAATTTGTTTAAATTACAATAAATTATTAGGTAAATTGACTATATTATCCCTAATTTAACACTAATTTTCAAGAAAACCATTAAATTGAAATAAATAATTATTGATAGTATACAAATGATAAATATGATAAAAAAATTTATTACTCGTTGAAATCACAAATGTAATAAATATTATAGAATGAAAATAGTAATTTAAAAATTTAAATATGTTTCATTCACCTTGAAAAAAAAAATGAGAAACAAATAATAATTTCCAATTAAAAATACACTCTTCTATTTCCTTCCCTAAGCTGATTTTCGGCCATTTCAATTTTGATGGAAACACAGACAAAGACATTAAAAAAAAAGCAAAAATCTTTCTATTTATAATCCAGTTTAAATTAAATTAATACAAAATTCCAAATACTATATATACACAAATAGAAATATAACAGCAGGTTCTATTCTCATATTCTGTAATCAATTTTGAATATCCAGTCAATTTACAGTCAATTTAGAGAGAAATATCCAATCCTTAATTTTTGAAAAATTTCAGTTTTGCGGATATATAGAGGGAGAGTTTCAGATTGGGGCCTTTTTTTTGTTGGTTTGGTTGTGTGGGTCGGTGGTGATGCTTTGAGAGAGAAAATGGAGATGGTCAATGCTGCGTCGTATGGGGAGGATGATCGAGGAATGGTGCAGATCGCTGGTGAGTTTGGATTTGATGGAGAGGAGGAAGGTGTAATGAATGGAATGGAAGAAGTGGCGCAAATGAGTTCGATTAATGGTAGTATGGTTCAATCGACTAGGGCTAGTGAGCTTACTATCGCCTTTGAAGGGGAAGTGTATGTTTTTCCTTCTGTTACACCTGAAAAGGTTAGGGTTTTATCTTTCTTTTTCTCAGTGAATGAATGTCTGTGTATGTATTGATGTTTTTGACTCATTTCTTGCTTAGGGTTTTTGAATTGGATTTGGTTTTAATCATTATTTATTTATGTTTATTTTTCTTATCCTTTGATAAAGCATATCATAAATGCACGTGACAGGTGCAAGCTGTGTTGTTACTTCTGGGAGGGTCTGATACATCTGTTAGTGTACCAAGCTCTGAATTTTTGCTACAACAAAATACTGGAGTATATCATGTATTACTAATATTCTGCTTTGTGAAAAATAATATTTGGCGGTTTTATCTGTTAAAATTTTAATATCTGACTATTCCAGAGTGTGGATGATGCTTCCCGAGGATCAAAACTTTCAAGAAGAATTGCCTCCCTGGTTAGGTTCCGTCAAAAGCGGAAAGATAGATGCTTTGAAAAGAAAATTCGATACAATTGCCGGAAAGAAGTTGCCAAGAGGTAGGATGCCATATGCATATAACTTTTGTCAGTTGAAAACCTGAAATCTTTCATTTATGATGGGATTCTTGAATATACGCAGCTGAATTTATTTACTTCTTTTTGCTGAACAATGTATTATAGTTAAACATTTTAAGTAACCTTTATCTCAGTCTTCTGGACTTTGGCCTTCAAATTCTCTGCCTCTGCCAATGCATCCAGGAAAACCAGCTATACTTCTATTCTATGTTAAAGCCATGGAGAATAAGCACCAATACCAATAGAAAACTACCTCACTCCTGATTGAGGTGGCTTTATGATGTTGGAAATAATGAAGAAACAAGGTTTTTTGAGGTGAAGTCTTTTTTAAAGGTTTTGAATTGGCAGAAAGAAATGTTTTACTTTGACTGCCTGTTTTTACAAGAAAACAAGGGAGCAATGTGGATGCATTAGATGAACAAGCTTCCAATAAAAATTGAGTACCTATGAATTTTGCTGCTGAAGATGTCTATACCTTTTCTTTTGGCTGGGGGTTGGCCTTGGTGAGAAATAGAGGAGAGATTTACAAGTTATTGATGAAAACCAGTATGCTTAATATTATCAAGGTTGAAGTGATTGATACATGGTTATTGCTCAAAACATCATAAGTACATGCTTAGTCAGGTGTTCTGTTTATCTGTATTTAATGTTGCAGTTTATGATGGGATTCTTGAATATATCTACCAGCTGAATTTATTTACTTCTTTCTGCTGAAGAATCTGTTGTAGTTAAACATTTTAAATGACCTATTATCTGAGTTTTCTGGACGCTGGACCTTCAAATTGTCTGCCTGGTCTGCCACTGCATCCAGGAAAACCAGCTATACATACCTCTATTCTATGAATGTTAAAGCTATAGAGAGGCACCAATAGAAAACTACCTCTGTCCTGATTGAGGTGGCTTTATGATAATAATGAAGAAGCAAGCTTTCTGAGGCGGTCCTTTAAAGGTTTGAATTGGAGAAAAGAAACTTCGACTCTTATTGCAAGAAAACAAAGAAGCAATATGGTTGCATTAGGTTAATAAGCTACCAATTAAATTTGAGTACATATGGTTTTTGCTGCTGAAGGTGTTCTATACCTTTTTTTTTTGTTTTTTGGCTCGGGGTTGGTCCTGGTGAGAGATATAGGAGAGATGAAAAAGTTATTGATGAAAGCCAGCATGCTTAATATTATCAAAGTTGAAGGAATTGAATGCATAATTATTGCTCAAAACATCATAAACACAAGCTTTCGTCAGGTGTTTCTATTGACATTTAATCTGTGTTTAATATTGCTGCTTCATGTCCCTTCTTTTTCTTGTTGCTTCTCCCTGTAATGTCTGCTGTGCATGGAATTGTGGTCCATCTACTCTAGCTGTTTGAATTAATTATTTAATTAATACACATGGCATGTGCACAAACCCACAAACCCTTGACAACAAATAATATTATTTATGTGGTCTCTTTGATATCCTGTGGGAGTTTCTTCCTAGTTTTCCAAACTACTGTTGTCCTGATTGTCTTTCCTCATCTCATGAATACTTTTTAGGTTCCTTTCTTGAAACCATTCACCTGTGGTTTTTGTTGTTGAATTTGATGATTCTACCAAAAATGGAGGCTTGATTATCATTTTTTCTGCAAACTACTTTTTATTCTTCTGTACCTTACTAGTTATATTCATATTTTGTTGGAGCTCTTCAAATTCCTGTGTGGTTGCACTTTTCATTATAAATCTACATGGTGGAGCAGCCAAAAGGTTTTGCTCACTCCTATGTTTGCTGTGCTCTCTCTCTCTCTCTCTCTCTCTCTCTCTCTCTCTCTCTCTATACACAGACTCTCACCCTCCAACCCATCCACAAACACAAGCACGCAAACACAAATGGCATACAAATATGCATGCGTTACTGTTATTGGCTCCACCAAATTTGTTTTCCAGGCATGGATTCATTTCCAGATTCCCTGTCCTTATTCCTTCTTGTTTTTTGTCACCATTTTCAGCATCTGAAACAATTATTGATCATAGACACTAATTTTCTGCTAGAATGCATCGTAAGAATGGACAATTTGCATCGTTGAAGGATTGTTATAATACAGATGCCGGCAGTAACTGGGAACCAAGCAATGTCATTTCTCATTCTGAATCTATGTAAGTTAAACTTGCCAATCACTTTTATCACTACTAGAATATGCTTAAAGTCTTGGATTATAGCTTAAGTCATTTTACCTTGTTATTTGTTTGATGCTAATGTGCTTTTTGTTAGTTTACGTAGATGTCAACACTGTGGGATTAGCGAGAAGGCCACTCCAGCAATGCGTCGAGGGCCAGCTGGTCCAAGAAGTCTCTGCAATGCTTGTGGCCTTATGTGGGCAAATAAGGTAGGTTTAGTGGCATTTGTAAATTTGTTTTGTTGTATGTTCACATTGTCTGTGTCTCTTTGGTTCAATTATCATCACCTTTTTTTTTTTCTTTTTTTTTTTTTTTCCACTCCAGCAATGCGTCGAGGGCCAGCTAGGCAAGAAGTCTCTGCACATGCTTGTGGCCCTTATGTGGGCAAATAAGGTAGGTTTAGTGGCATTTGCTAAATTGTCTTTGTGGATGTTCACAAATTAGTCTGTGTCTCTTTGGTTCAATTATCATTCCACCTTTTTCTTTTTTCTTCTTGTTTTTTTTGTTGAATAAACAAATGAAGAGGGCTTTTTTTTTTTTTTTTTTTTTTTTTGTGATAAACAAATGAAGAGGCTAAATGATCTTGTTGAAGGTATCATCAAGGTGTAAATCCATTTGTAAAAGGGGACTCATTTATGAGACAATGAATCTATGAAGAAAAGAAAAAAAAAATCCTTAACAACCAAGGGGAAAGAAAGGTTTCTTGTACTGATCCACAGTTTCAGTTATTATCTGGTGTTAAAGGGTGTTATCAATTATGTGGAATGGACATTCTTATGAAATGTTCTTTAATTCATCGGATAACTCTAACTTTTCTGGATATTCTGTATATGTTGCTTTGTTTTTATTTCTAGGTGTAGCTTCTGTATCATGACAAACGATTTAGCTATAACTCAGGAAGTATATGATAATGCAGAAAGCAATGCTCCTATCTTTAGATTTTTTTTTTGAAAGATCATGAGCAAATCCCATCACTTGCCACTTGGAAATGTTACTATATATTTTACTTTTTTATTCAACTAATGCAAGATTCCTTTCATTCCATGTGATGTTTGGCTTTTGATATGTATTAGTTCTACTTCATCCTAAAATTTTCTGATTTTGTTTGCTTTGAACTCGTATGTCTTTAGTTCTGCAGGTTGGAGGCACTGCAACCTTGCTATGTGATATTTTCTGTTTATATGTGGTGTAACATCTATCTAACTTGACATCTTTAGTGATTTAACGAACATATATTATATGTATACGTACATACATATGTTCATAGATTAGTTTTTTAATTGCTTTGGCAATAACAATGTATTCTACTTCTACAATATTAATATTTTCAGTGTTTGAAATTCTGAGTATTGGTAGCTCGAATGGCTCTTGTTGTTTTGGTGATTCATCTTAAGCTTTGGATCTTTTTGTTTATGATTTGCTAAGTTGATCAATATGTCGTGTATGAATATGATTATGCCGGTTGTTATGCATTCGAAGATGATATTCTTCTCTATCCAATATTGAGGAATTTATAAACAGAAATTGCATTTTGTTTTACTAAATACTGATGTTTGTTGTTTAGAAAACTAAAATATTGTCTCTGCTTGTCACGGAAACAAAATTAGGGACTTGCATATATAAATATACTCTTTTTAGTGTAACTTACTCTTTGTCATGATATTGATTTTTTTTTTTTTTTTTTTTTTTTTTTTTTTTTTTTTTTTTTTTTTTTTTTTTTTTTTTTTTTTTTTTTTTTTGAAGGGTACTTTGAGGGATCTTACCAAAGGAGGGAAGCAGATCTCTTTTGATCAAAATGAGATGGTATGTATGTTTACCCCACCAGTTAACTTCATGTTTTCTATGACAGCTTTCTTTAAGCAATTAGTAATATTTGTTCTTTATATCTTTTATATGCAAGTTTAGTAACTAGCTAAGATGCAATGCATGTTCATCTAGGTCATTTAATGAAGTCAACTTTTATCCCTTTTCCAATGCTAATAACAAAATCATATAAAAGGAGTGACAAGTCTGCTGTTGTTTCAGGGAAATATTAAGCCTTCAACTTTGGAACGAGAAAATCCTTATGCTAACCGTGATGAAGAGGTATGATATCTTATTTGAATGATTTGCATATGCATGAAACAAATTAAGTGCAAAATAATCTGGTATCATTGCAGAAGATTATTATATTGCTCTCACTGCTGCCTCTGCTTTTTGTGGGAATAAATTCACTTCAAAAGATTCTTGTTTATCTAAAGCAGCAACCTGAATTGTCATCACTATACTTAGTGGACTCTGCCTTGTGTAATCTTCAGGGAAGCCCAGAAGAGAGCAAGCCAGGACCATTAGATTCTGACAACTCTGTGAGACCAAATGAACAGGTGTGTCCTTTTTCTGGACTTTCAAAAATGATATATCACTTTCTTGTCACAAGTGTCACGTTGTGGTATCCAGTTTCCTAGTAAGTGCAATGGTGAGACCAGTGTTAGGAGAGAGAGAGAGAGAGAGAGAGAGAGAGAGAGAGAGAGATCGAGAGAGAGAGAGAGGGGGGGGTTGTTAGAATTATGATATTTGATTAAAGTGGCCTTATTGAGCTTGGGCAGAACTCTGCCGTTATTTTTTGTTAAGATCGGGGGGGGGGGGGTTGTAGAATATGATATTTGATAAGTGGCCTTATTGACTTGGGCAGACTCTGCCGTTATTTGTTAAGATCATTGTTCCCAGAGTATGTGTATTTTTCTCCTCCATTTTTCCTTTCTCAATCGAGTTATCTCTGGGAAAAAACGATTTTACCCCAACGTTTTGGCATAAATAACTACTTTGTCCTTCCTTTCAAACAAAAAATGTCCTTACGTTTTAAAAATTACATTATTTTGTCCTTCTAGTTTGTCTCCATTAAACGAAATTATCCTTCTGCCTATCATTTGAGATTTAAGTCGTTAATAGTTTCAAACTACATGAATAAAATAGTGAGGGAATGTCAGAACATAGGGATAAAAATGTAATTTTTTTCCCTTTTAGTTCATATGTATATAGGATTAATCGTAAGATTTTACTAGCACTTAACAACTTAAATTTCAAATAATGAACAGAAGGATAATTTAATTTAACAGATTCAAATTATAGGGATAAAATAATGTAATTTTTAAAATACCAGGACCAAGTAGTTAACTATGTCAAAACATATGGACACAAATGTATTTTTACAGTTTTCTCTTGTCAAAAAAGAAAAGAAATGCATGCTGTTAGTTCCCCATTTAGTTGGTTTTGACAACATGACTTTATTGTGAAATGCAGTTAAAGAATGATGGTTTAATTATCTTTTCATGGTTTTCAATATCCAATCACCGTTATGTGCAAGGTTGCTTTTAGTTTTGATTATCAATTTCACGTAACTTATACTCAGGAGTTACTTGAAACTGATGAAACGCCTACTAATCCTTTCCCGATGCATTTGGAGAATTCATCAGTCAACATAAATGATGAGGTAATCTGAATGCTGAATAAGTAACTTAGATCCATTAGTTCAATGATGACCGTTTTGACTGGCCTGTTGTTTTTTGAACAAGCATACTAAACATTTAAACTGTAAATCCACACACATATATGACTAGAAAAAAAAAAAAAAATTTAGATGCTTCAAGTTTATGTGAATATCGAAGCAATAACTTACAACTTGGTGTAGAGGGAACCAATCTTTATCTTTAAAGATATTTTGAGTAGATAATACTAAGAAAAGATCTTAGTGGTGTGAACAAAATCTTTGAACGATGGTTTTTCTTTCCTTTTTTTTTTTAACAATTACCAGGACTTACAGGATACTTTGGATGATCTCGGCAATGTTTCAAGTTCAGAATTTGAGATCCCTGGGAATTTTGATGATCAGGTAGTGGTCTTTTAGTGACTTGACATGAAGCATATTGGAGACTAACCATATCATTGAGCTAGGTTAATGCTGTAAATGTTATTTCTCCAAGTTTATGATACCAACTTACAGGTTGACATTGATGAATTCTAATATGGGAGGTGAGTGGCCAGGGAATTGAGATCATGCCATTGATGATGAAGATGCAGTTTATACTAACTAGTATTAGAAATCCAGAGATAGTTTTTGTTTATAAGACAGAATTTTGTGCACGCAAGTTCTGGGCATTTACTAGGACATTTGTTTTATAATGTGAATAATGTTGTCCCCTTTTTCTTTTTGTTGCTTCCTTCGCTGTTTCACATTAGATTCCATTGTATAACCAAATATTTAATTGCATTAGAAATGAAAAGTTAATGCTTTGCATCTCTTTGTGCACCGAATGGATTTTTTTTTTTTTTTTTTTTTTTGAATAAATAGTGCTCTGTAGTCATAACTTGGTTTGGTATGTAACAATGTTCTTGATTGATCCATTTGCGGTAAATAATTCACTTCATGCTTCATTTGTTCTTCCAAATTCCTATAAAAGAATAGCAATGACAAGGGACCGATGGATTTTTTTTTTTTTTGAATAAATAGTGCTCTGTAGTCATACTTGGTTTGTATGTAACAATGTTACTGATTGATCCATTTGCGGTAAATAATTTCACTTCATGCTTCATTTGGTTTCTTCCAAATTCTATAAAGATAGCATGGACACGGGATACAATATAACAAGAACATAAGTTTCAAATATATATATAGCATGTCAATATTCAGTTATTAACTTGAAAGTCATCTAAATATAATAAAATCAATTACCTAATAAATAGTTTATATCATAACATTTTATTCTAAAAATTCAATAAATAAACAATCATTCATGATAAGTAAAAAAATAGAAAATAAATAGTTTTTTATTTTTTATTTTAATATCATTAGCTAAGTTTTCAACTTTAAAATCATCATTAAAAATTATGACATTCATATTTGGTTTATCTAGAGATAAATTAGCGATTTTAAGAATTTCAAACATTTTTAAGAATCAAATTCTTCCCTTGCAATATACTAATTAACGCAATCTATTCCCATGACATGAATGTAAGACAAACGATAAGCTGGTTGACGATTTGCTTCTACGAGGCCTGTCGTTCTTTACGAGCCCTCAGGGTACTGTATACGTTTAAAGATAAACGTAAATGTAAAACGCATATCAAAATTGTGAATAGCATTGTAACATAATGTTCTTAGGATCCAAATTGAAAATAGTAAGGAATATAATACTTTAAAGTTACAATTTTTTTACTAAATAGCTTTTTTCCACATTTAAATTGAAATAATATTTACTCAAGGGCGAATCAATTAAGGGAAGGCGCAGCCACAGGTCATATATTGCCAAGTGAAATGCATCAAAATTTTCTGGTGGAAATTTCCAGGATAAGTACTTCTGGACCTGATTTCACAAAGACAAAGGAATAAAAGAGATGAGAGCTTCGTAGTCACAATTTCTATATAATTTACCTTTTTCCAATATTAATTTTCAACAAACATAATCATAATAGAAAGTGAATATAAGGATTCTGTTAAATGCATAAATAAATATTTAATCTATCTAATTTTATAAGTTAGAATATATAAAAGAAATATTCAATAAGTTAAAGTGTTTAATAGATCTAATTTTAATATGTTAAGTAAGTGATTTAATATTAATTTGATACATATATGATATTTTACGCAGTCATTTCAGGTTTATTTACCTCAACAGTGTTCTTCTGCAAGGCTTCATATTCATCATCTGGTATTCGCTGAAGGATCTCTTTTAAATTATGTACATTTCTCTTTTCTAGCATCACAGAAAACTTCTGCCAGTTAAGAATGTCACTGAATGGTGGAGCAAAGTTTTCGTCCAAGATAACTGCAGCAATAAAAATAAATTGCTTAGAAAATTATGAAGCAAGCTTGAACACACAACACTTGAGTAAGTCTAAAGCTCCAAATGACAGAGTGTCTTTTTAAAACATTGATCACAACAATCAATAGATATTTCAATCATGATTCTATATAGAAAAGCAAATTTACCCAAACATTATTATTATTATTACCTGGAACACATCCATAATGAATTGATAATGCTATACGAGTAGCTACTAATTGAGATGCGTACGGACCAAATGCCCTCGGACAGATACAGAACTTAGACCAGTAGAATTTTTCATGGCCGAATCCGTATATGATTTGTTTGCTGCCATTCTTACCCATGTGGTTGTTCTGGATGTGCAGTACATTATCTGCGTTCCAAAGACTTACCAATCCACGTCTTAATATTGAATCGACTGTACCTACCCAGAAACCTAAGAAAGTCCTGCGAGTTATGATAGTCAATTTTATAGTAAGTAAAAGGCTAAAAGAGCCTCTCTTTCCAAGCTGAAAGAATACTTCAATGCAAATCAAAGAAAAAAAAATCATTAGAGCTTTCCCAGTTGGCAGGAATGGTGAACATTTTTCACCTATCACGCACGGACAGGGAAACCACATTTTCAAAAAATATAGGAAACAGAAATATGGGGAAACGTGTAAATATAAAAAATATAAGGGGTTTATTTATAAATTTGAAAAATATAGGAATAAATATAAAAATAATTTAGAAAGAGCACATTTAAAATTTTTAAAGGACAATTAATTCATAAGTTCTAATGAATAAAGAAAAAAGAAAACAAAATATTCAAATGTCAAAATGGAAAAAGATAATGAAATTCTGTTAAAAATTTAAAGTTTGAATATTAAAATTAAAATTAGGATTATTTATTATTTTCCAAATAAGATTTACAAATCATCCAAATTTGATTGGATTTGAAATCTTATTTTTTTTTAATGTAAGAAACGTTTCCGGGGAGAATATTTACAGAAACGTTTCCAAGAGACTTAAGAGCTATCCGTTTAGCCTAGAACTTTTAGTTGCCTTCTGATGCTGTCCAGAACTATGGTAATAAATCATAATAACAATTGAGTAATTAATATTTTATTGAGTAAGATTCGCCTACACTGGTTGTACACACCTAACCACTGTGGTAAATAACATATCCAACTATGGTAATTGGTATTTTTTCACTAGAAAAGGAAAACCATAAGAGTTTCTTTAAACAAAACTTCTATTCACCAGTTGGCTAACTATACAAGGCAATTACATAAACTTAAACGCAAGCAAACCATTGAGTGAGTTTAGGCACATGCAAGATTTTTAGTATAATGACAACGTATTCATCAGTTTCTTTGATGTTTAAATTTAACTCAGACCAATTTACACTGATGTGTTGCTATATCTGACAATAAATAGAAGCAAAGCATTTAGACAAAGACTAGAGAAGTTAATTACCTGTTCTCAACACCTTTTCCTCCAGATGGACTGAGAAATGGCTGTATATGTTGAAGGGAAACATCCTTACCTGGAATATATTCAGCATCAGAACTCGGCGAGCAAACAACTCGAATTGAGTTCTTCAGCAGTGGAATTGCTTCAGTTGCTTTGACATGAGTGTCATGGCAAGCCACAAAAAAATGATCAGCACCTGAAGTTCTATTCCAGTAAGGATATTTCAAAATCAAACTCTGGACAAAATCCTGGATAGTATCTCTCATATTCGCTCCCTGCATTAACATGTGGATCAGAATCTTCTTACAAAGAAAGAAATCTGAAGTTTCACAACATTTACACAAGCTTTCACAAACCTCAGCAAATGCATTTTTTTATTACTATCAAGGATTCAATTCCTTAACCTCTTCATATTGTGACAGCAGTATATAACAAAATAATAATAATAATTAAAGAAAAAATGGGTTGCCATTTATGGATGGATTATTTAGAAGCCTTCAAAAATGTTTCTCAACACTCTGTGATGTTAAATGTTTTCTTTATAAAAAAAAAAAAAAAATGAGCCATTTTAAAGAAACGACTTCCTCTCCTAGAAAGAAAACATTAACATTAACAAACTTATTATAACACATATGGTACACATTTTGATGCATTTTTTTTTTATATACTTAAAGAATAAACTTTCGAAGTATGAAATTTCTATAATTCTAAATACTTTTATAGTGTTATAAATTATAAATTTTAATACTTTTGCAAAATTTGTTAACATTTTCTGAGAAAATAAACACTTCCCAAGTTCTAATGGGACTTCCAATCTCTGAAAAATATTAAAACAAGTAGCATAAAAATTATACCTGAAGACAATTAATAGGAATAAAGAAGAGATGAGCCTGATCTGGATTTGCAGTGAAGAACTGACTATCAACTAAATTATTAAAGAATGTCCTTTCAGTATAATGCATTGGTTCAAATTTAGCATGCTCAAACCCGAAATGCCTTATAGGGTCATGACAATAGCCATCAATTGGGTATACAAAGATCTTCAAGTTCCTTTTCATATAATTATAATCCTTCTCGAAAGCTCGAGGTGAGTGAAATACTTCACCATAAATTTCAGATGGGACCTGTATATGTGCAACGCAAACCCATTGTTATTATTAAATAAGTGAACCAGTTGATGGCTTAATGATTAATATAAACACTTGAAGAGTAGAGAACCAATTACCCGAGGCCATCTACATATATCGCCGAGACATAAAGAGTGAGAAGCGCGTATCGAAGACAGAGTGATTATGCAAAGGATGAAGAAAGCGTAGAGTTGAAGTGAAGGCTGGTGGAAGGGATTTCTCATGGCTGCTGGTCAGTATTATTTGTTAATTATTTTCTCGGGAAAATTGACAGAGAAAGTGAGGCAGAATAGAAGGCCTTGCGTAATTATTTATATAGAATTGAAATTCAAATCCATATGTATGTGTTAAGAGTCAGAATTGCAGTGAAATTGGGAGAGTATCTCACAATGGAACTAAAATCCATGGAGGACTCTGCTTCCCACGACAGATGGGCAGAGCCTGTTCGGCAATGGTGTTATAGTAACTGTCGAACTTTTAGTTACATATTTAAATTTAAATTAAAAAGAGTTGGGTATTTAAAATGATAAAAAATATTATTAGATATTTAATTAGATGAATATGAAAAATAAATAAATATGATTATTAAAAATTTTAATTAATTTTAATATTTCATAAAAAAAAAAAAAAAAAAAAAAAAATTATAGTAACTGCGAACTTTTAGTTACATATTAAATTTTAAAAATTAAAAAGAGTTTGGGCTATTTAAAATGATAAAAATATTATTAGATATTTAATTAGGATGAATATTATGAAAAAAAAAAATAATATGATTATTAAAAATTTTAAATTAATTTTAATATTTCATAAAAAAAAAAAAAAAAAAAAAAAAAAAAACCTGTCGATGAGCTATTAAAAAAAAAAAAAAAAAAAAAAAAAAAACTGTCGATGAGCTATTAAATACTATGTTAGCTAACTTGATCAAAACGCTAAGAGCGAACTTAAAAATTATTGTAAAATTATTGCCGAGCAACTACTTACAGTTTGGTTTACATATCAAATCATTTCATAGAGGATAAAGCATTGTTTGCGGAACTATCGATTGCATGAAATCTTCTTATGCACACGAAAACTATATAAATCAACTAAAATTAAACTCTCGTTTACTACTATATACAAAAACTAATTCACGAGAGTAGTTTACTTTTAAATAAAACAACACTAGGTATAAATATATGATACCACTTTACTTCAAATTGAGAAAAGAAAAAATAAAGAAAATACATAGTATGTGTGTATCCATAACATTGTAGAACCATAGATCACAATGATTATTACGCGGCACAATATATAAATAGAACAATTCAGTAGGGCATGAATTTTAAGAATTTTTACAATTTCACCTCATTTTTTACTTTTATGTCAATTCTATCCTAATTTCGACCTTTTATAGCAATGGCACCTTCAATTGCAATTAAAAATGACATTGCAAATAAAAAAATGTTTTCACTAATTTCTAGATCATCACATGATAAAAATTTTAAAAATAAAAATTTGAAAAAAAATTTATTAATATACCCCACTGATGTTGCACAGATTAAATTTTTAATATTATAAATTATTATAAGCAGCAGCACTAGTGGCAGTAATGTTTGAGCATCAACTAAGACACGCAAGCACTGTAAGACAAGCTGGTAAAAATGAAAAAAAAAAAAAACAAAAGATGGTGAAAATGGATACAAGGATTAAGAGCTGTAAAACAACATGACATCAAAACCGCCTTTAACTATACAAATTCCAAAATCTGCACAAAAAGTTTTGAGAATAAACTCAATTGTGAACAACTCAAAAAGAAAGAAGACAGGAACCAAATATTTGGAAACCTAGGAATATAAACACTAATGAGTGTAGATATTGTTAACACAATCACATTATCAATCGGACAGTAAAGATTAATATTAGATGATAATGAAGACATTAACCAATGATCCCTGCTGGAACTGGGAAACACTTTTCAACGAGGCAAACAAATCTAAAGAGATAATAACTTGGTCAAAATATAGTGAATGTGTATATATTGAGAGCTCTTTCAGCTTCTGATGGGGGAAAATGCTATTGGCTCCCTGTTATTTTCTGAAGCCTTGTAAAAAAAAAATAATAATTATGCAATTATAAACCTATTCTCCATCAGAGAAACTAAATGGGCAAAAGACAACTGGTATGCACTTGTAAAGCTCAATGAGCCAACTCTGAGAGTTGAAATTTCAGTAACCGAGAGGCTTGGCAATCAAATGGATATATTAATAACTGGAAACTTCAAAAGCAGTATATGCTTATTCAGGTGGCTTACTAATCAACAGTTGGATAGAGAACATAAGGTTGTCCACTTCCATTGGATTCTGCATTAGCGTAAAAATGAGATTGTAGCTCCCCTGAGTGAGATGACTTGCGAGACTTTGTGTTCCTAGGAGAAGCCGAGTACTCACTGGACCCACTACTAATAGAATACATTGATGATGTTGGCAGTCCACGGATCTTTGGCAAACCTGTTGTATCAGCACCCAAACTATATCCCCTTTCAACCGTTTCAGCTTCCAATGGCAATTCATCCAATGTCTATTAAGAAAGAACTATAAGAATCAGCAAAACATTTCAAGAATTCTCATACAAACTAAAAGAATACTGAGCAATGGAAAGCATATCAACATCCACCTGGAAAACAACTCAAAAATACTGTTTGCTACTGTGTTTTGGTTAATAAATTAATGCTCCAAAGAAGATTTAAAAAGGAGCAAAGTGGAAAAATTTAACCTACATCATGCACATGATATGAACTATAAAGGATGTTGAATCCAATAAAGGAAAGGACTTGTTCAACCAAATTGCTCTTCTTTGCCAGCTGGTAATGAGCAGTAAACTGGATGTGGGAGCACATCGCATGCAGAAGCATGTGAAAGCAAATTTAACCTTTCCACATTCAAAGTCCCAAAATAATAATAATAATAATAATAAAATAAATAATCCTATTGCCAAAGTACATAGAAATCAAAATGGAAATGAAAATTAAATTTAAATCATAAATGCTAACTAATAAGCAGTAGAAACCCACCCTAAAAGCCTGTTGAAGAACTCGAAGTTTATCTCGAGTGTGTTTTCTTTTTGTGGCTATCTCATCAGGTTCCTGCAACATCTCCTCAAACAGGTTCTCTCTGGTTTGAGGAAACAGATAGCACAATATCGAATTAACACAGGGAAAGCAGCACAAAATATATAAACCCATAAAGTTAGTAGACAGAATCAGGGTGATTAACACCAATAAATGAAACCCCGATGTCACCTGTAGAGCTTTTTAATAAAGACATTGTGCAGTTCACGCTTTGTATGATTCACCTACATAATTATAGATAGGGCAAAATCAGACACTATGAAAGACAAGATTAATGACAGGACCATCATATTTTATGACAGCATAAAGCTACCAAGTACTGCAAGAAAACTGAAATATAATTGATTGCCAAACCAATCCATACACCATTGCGATTGTCATTTGCCTCTGATTAAAGAAATTTTTAAACAAGAGACGAGTAACCGCAAAACTCTCCCAAGGCCTCAAAAAAGCAAGTTGGAAATTGTTCTTCCAACATGATATCAAACTCGTACTGGACCCCAACAACCAATTGAACAGATCTCATTATTATGAAACCCACAATTACACAGTTATAACATAATATTTCAGCACATGCTATTTCAAAAAAAAAAAAAATGTTCAGCACATGCTATTATGCAAGTTTTCCGACAGCATTTACAAGCAAATAAAACGAAGGCCAAGTTGTCCTAACCTTAGACATACTAAAAAAAATTGTTTGTTTCCCTAAAAGGATGCAACTTCAAGGTGGAGAGACAATTCCTCAACATCATAGAAAATTTGTGCATGTCAGAAACTCAGAAGGGAAAAAATGAATAACAAAAAGATATCAGAAAAGTAATGGGCACGTCTACATGGCTTAATTATTACCAAAAAATGCATGATTGCTTTTGGTATAGAATCCTCGATATTCTTCCGAACAATGTCATAATACGATCTCAATAGCAATTTAGTGACGGCAATCTCGATAGCCTCCTGCTCCGAATGACTTTCTGAAGGTCTCAAAACAGTTGGAGGCTTAGAAAACATAAAACAGACAGTTAGAATATAACTACAAAAATAAAAATAAAATAAAAATTCAAAAGGATACAGAATTTCAGATGAGAAAACATGTGTTTATACCTCTCTTAAATGGATCATAGAAAAGCTTTGCTCAAAAGTTTCCATGCAGTGAACAGGTTCAATATGTGACTTGGTTGTAGAGCTTTCTTTAGCAGACAAACGAGAGTTCTCACCCCCACGAAAAATTGATGAAATACCCCAACTTGAAACATTTGAGTTCCCTGAATGACCATGAATTCCTCAACAATTTAGAATATCTTCTAATCTAATGGTTTACAAAGTACTTGCAAGAATGGTCAATAATAGCCATGGACACTTGACCAACAAGAGAAAACAAGGTAGGAGTGGACATATTTGCATGTATAAACTTTAATTCATTAGCAAGTTACCAGGGGCTGTGACTTTCTCAGCATCTGCTACAGGACCTACTGCCTGCAGATTGTACACATGAAAACATAAAAAACAAGAATGCGGACCCGACCAGCTGCAATAATGGATGAACTAAAATTACGCAAACAAGATGGCAAGGTAAAATCTTTCATGCCTGGTCAGCAACAACTCCATTTACTTGTCTGGCAAGAATAGCCCGAGACTTGAGGGTCCTCTCTGATGCTGGTGCCTTATCAGGTTCTGCACCATCCTACGTAACAAAAGAGTGAAAAAGAGCAAACTGACTAAGAGAAAAGATACAGCAGTTGAAATGAGAAAATATAGGAATGTGTACAATAGCAATAGCCATTCATAGAGTCAGTCAAACACCTTTTGTCTCAAAGAGAGAGGAACAGCCCTAGAAGACTTGACTTGTTGCAGTGCAATCTCCACAGCCTTACTACCGCCAATAAAATTTGGATGTGAGGTGTTTATATAATCCATCTGCAAGAGAATTCAAACATTTTTTGCCACATTACATTTGAGTTCAGTGAAAAACCACTCCAGAACATTTACACAGAAAACCATCCAAAAGAGAGGGAGGGAGGGAGAGGAAGGGGCCTCTTGAAGCATGTGTGACTATCAATGACTTTGCTCAAGAAATCATGTAAACATTTTCTATGAAACTATATTCATCATCTAGAGACTGCAACAGATTCATCGATTATATGTTCAAGGCCTGAAAGAAGCCAATTCATCATCATAATTTCATAAGTAAAATAAAGTGGTCAAGAATGCCTGAAGGTGAGTCCACAACTTCCCTCCGAAGGTCCTGTTTGTCGTAAAGAAAGGGAAAGCTACTAATTTATCAGCAAATTGGCATACATTATGGTGATTAAAGAATTTTAGACTAGACAATAGACATACTTAGCCACTAGAGGCCCAGACCAATATGCAAATCATTAAGAAAACCAATGCCAGATCATAACAAATTTACAACCTCAGCCTGAATTTGCGAAACACAAGTTGTAAAAACCACATGGCTGAAACAATGTTCAAAAAAAAAAAAAAAAAAAACAAATTTACAACCTCAGCCTGAATTTGCGGAAACACAAGTTTGTAAAAACACATGGCCTGAAACAATGTTCAAAAAAAAAAAAAAAGAAATTCAATTTATTTCATTGTGTAAACGACCATTCATATTCAAGAAATCTTGATAGTGCAGTAGACAGCAGTAAGAAAAAAAAAAAAAGAAAAAAGTCAAATATAACACCGTGAATCAGAAGCGAGCAAGAGGAAATAAAGAGTTCAAAATTTTATTTGCTGATAACATTTACCACCTCCATTTTCCAAATAATGTGGCCAATCATTGTCTCTGATGGTTTCAAGACCATCTCGCAAAGTTTAAAAAAAAAAAAAAAAAAAAGAATTCAATTTATCATTGTGTAAACGACCATTCATATTCAAGAAATCTGATAGTGCAGTAGACAGCAGTAGAAAAAAAAAAAAAGAAAAAGTCAATATAACACCTGAATCAGAAGCGAAGAAGAGGAAATAAAGAGTTCTAAAATATTTGCTGATAACATTACCTCCATTTCAATAATGTGGCCAATCATTGTCTCTGATGGTTCAAGACCATCTCGCAAAAAGTTTCCAATAACTTCATCCATACGCTTTCTTAGAACAGGAAACCTTTGCAGTTCATTTACCAGACAGCAATGGCTAATCTGGAGAGAGAGGGAGATTTATTTTATTTCAAGATGCAAGTATTCAAATGATAGGTGCTAAGGGACCACAAATACAAACATACCTTCATTAATTCATCATATATAAACCTAGCGCACTGGAGGCTAGGATCTAACAAGCGAGCTATTTGCCTTCGAACAAGAACTTCAAAAGGCACCTACATAAATATAAAAAATAAAAAAAAAGATTACTAAGGAACAAAGTGTAAATAAAATGCGACAAACTAACTTGGATTAAGGAAAAAACAAAACATAAGACCTACTTCTGGTACAAATAGTGCAGATTTAGGACCAGTTGCATTCTGAATGGCAGTTCTAATGTCATCATCAGTCAAGTCCTCACATGGATCAACCTCCTGCATAACAAATGAAGACAAGTCAGATTGAAAATATCAGATTTACCCACAAAATCCATGTCATATTATTATGTACTGCCATCGAGAGGAATAAAAGCAGAAAAAAAAAGGTTCAAGAAAAGTAATAACCAGTTCCAAGGTTTTTAAAGAGAGATAATAAACACTTGCGTAAGAATTTAAGTTTCTCATTCACTTTGAATTCTGCACTCTCTCCCCCTTGTCCCAGCATGCAATTCAAACAAATATTAACTTAGATAAGATGTCGGTTTTCTGCATACAATAGATATTTACTGTAATCAAGATAAGGAAATGTACAACCATTCTAGAGAAGACTAGTTCATATTCTATCTTTTACAAAGTAAACTATACTTATGCTTAGGCCTACTTCACTTCACTGCCATCCCTTTCACTTGGCTTTATTACTTGAATTATACCATTTTCAATTAGAAGATTTAGCTTGTATGAATCTGTTTGAAGCGAACAGAAAAATATGACTGCAGAGGAGCACAAATGAACCTTCAAAACATGCACTTAATCTGAAACCATTCAGATAAAAAAGTAGGTGATTTCAGAATAATCAAATTGTTTTTAAGAAAATCACAAAAGTAAAAGAGAAAGTGATTTCTACCTTTTATGTTATCATTATTTTAATTTCTAAGGTACTATACATTCGAATATTGAATATTAATATTTACATTCTCAAAGTAAATTTTGTTAACAGCAACGTCACTGTTTCTAAACTTTTGTAACATGTAGATACCCATACCTGAGACTCATGTTCATGTGCAGAACTAAGAAATAACAAAGAAAGAAAATCCCAACCTAAAACCTTCAAGATTTAAACTTGAGTTTTATCTGCCTATACAACTATACTCAAACAACCAAATGGATCATTAACTGGCAAGCAAAGAATATCAGGCATATATACATACGGACCTCATGCAACATATCTTATAAATAAATAGCATTCACTGAGTATTTGTAAGATATCAATATTCACACCTCTAAACTCTTCACAAAGATGGATTGAAATATATAATGAATACGTGCCCCACCAGACAGCTCAGATGTTGACATTTCTTCATTTTTACCCTCTACCATTGAAGAAAATGCTGTATTTAGGAAGAAATACACACAATTAATATCAAGATGGTAAAATATATTTGATTAAGGTATAATTCAAAACTTCAGCCAAACAGAACATGGTAGGAATTAGTGATATTACCCTCAGAATATTTTGAAAGTATGTTTAGGAGAAGAGCTCCCTGACCAGCCTATTGTTTACAAAAGGTTTTTGTAAGAAGCAATTAGCAAAAGCATAAAGACAAAAACAGCATGAGGAACAAAAATAAGAACAAAATAAGTATTGGAAGGCAATCAAATTATGGACATCTAGAATCGAAAATTGTCCACTAAGGAAATCAAGTTGAATTAAGAACAGATGAAATCCAGTTATATTTGGCATAATCATATAGTTATATGCCAAGAGAACAAAATCACAACCAGAGGACTGGCAAAGAAAAGGATCTGTGGTTCAATTGTCATGCCAATTACAAATAATCCTTGTGTCTTCAAATCACATGCCATGATACATTGTCAATATGACTTCATCCCAGGTACCAAGTGCACAAAATGGCCCAGTTTCTATTTGCGTATGCAGAAAACTTTTAGTAAATTTAGCACTTACTTAAAGTGCAAAGTGTAATTCCAGGCGAAGTAACCTTATTTGGCACAGGTATTTAAGCAAAAGCATTCAAAGTCACATTGACTGAAATTGGTCCCAACCATATTTACAGTCAAATATACATGCCTTTGATTCTGTGATTTCCCCGTAGCTTGCGTGTTCCTTTGCAACAGAAACCAGTTCAGAACTTATTCTTGATTTCAGCTCGGGCAGTATGCTTTTGATATGCTGCACAAGAATCTGAGAAAACAAGACATAACAAAACAAGGCTCAAAACGGTGACAAGTACATACTACCAATTGCATGTCATAGAAGCATATTGAGAGAAAGACAGAGAGACTTAATTGTGGAAGCACAAAAAAGGGGTGCTCATAGCAGTAGGATAGAGGTAGTAAAGGAGGCAATGGGAGCATGTAATTGTAGTAGAAGATGCAAAGGAGAAGCAGACACTTTAAGTAATTAATCTTTTTCCTTGAAGCATTCAGACAATCAATTCTGCAAATGTTCTACCTGATTCAATTTCTTTGCCAACTGAGGAATACCACAACGGTCAGCTAGGCTGTTATATACCTGTGCAATATGTATAACTATTGAGATTTAAAAAAATATACTTTCCAACCGGGTTTATTTCTAATTAGGAATAAAAACTATAAGATAGGACAGGCATACTGGACGGCTGCGGAAGAACTTCTCCTCTGCTGCAAGTGCATCCTTGATACTCCGATTTAGCATAATATCCTGGATTGAGGACACAGGTGAGACATAAGCAAAAGAGAGTTTTGCACTTATATTACAAGAAATGATTTCACCCCTAGGCATATGTTCCTTATATTGTGTATGCTAGTAATTTGGAATGTCAAGTTAGCATTCCAATATGCAAACAAACCATAGGCAGAAATTCAACCAGTCTCAACCCAAAAAAGAAAAAAGAAAAAGAAGAGAATTCCATTTCTGTCAAGTCACAAATCATAGGATTTGTAAAATTTTTTCAATAACGGAGCAATTAGATAACATTTCCAATTGAAAATTACATGGCAACTTAGGGTGATACAAGAAAATCTTTTCTGGTTTATTTTTTCATTCTAGCATCTGTTTTGCACAAATTTCAAAACATACGCATCCCAAAAGTGTTCTATGTTTCAGAAAATCAAAATTGTTCTTACTAAGTAATCCAAAGAAGGATACCATCACAATATTATATTTCTCAAAAAATCAGAAATCCAAAAAGAAAATTAACCACCATGAAAATTTGCAATGGAAAATCTTGAGTAGCATTTTTATTCTCAATGCTTAACTGGATTAGATACTCTTCAACATTACATCAGCAAAATGGAAAAATAAGTGAATACCAAGGCTTCTTTGTTTCATGGAAAATGTTTTCTTGGAAAACAATATTCAGATATTTTTATGTTTGGGCGCTTAGAAAAATTAGTCAAATGAAAATATTTTCCTAGTCAAAGGAAAACCTAGTCCATTTTTAAAGAAAATAACTTCTTTTTTTTTCCTGATTGATGTGTGTTTCTTTCCATGTTTTTCTAATTTTTTTTCACCATTTTAATATCTTAAAACATAATTTTCAGATTTATGTGTTTAAATTTTTTTTTTTTTTTGTTTAACTTTTTGCACCTCATTTCATTCAGGCTTGCGCCTTCTCCTGGAGGCTGATGACTAGGCTCTAGCACCCTTTGCACCTTAGTGCGCCTTGCACCTTTAATTACTATGATATAATCAAATCAAAGGACATAAACACACATTCCTTAATCCATGTATCCTTGTCAATCACCACTGCCAGCCACAGCAAACAATACCAGTCCCTGTTGACCATCATCGATCACTCAGTATTACTGGTAATCATTGACAACCACCAAAATTCACAATTTTTATGTTTTTCTTTTTCAAACAATAAATGTTTTATAAAAAGAGGTTCTTATAATTCTGAACATTTTTTATAGTTATAAATTAAGATTTTAATATTTTCTAATGAATTTGCAATATTACAGCCAAACAACAAAAAATAAGTTCTTTGGAGAATATTTTCCTTGGAAAATATTTTTTAAAGTTATTTCCGAAAGCCAATGGAGCACAAAATAAAGTTAAACACTAGAAACACTTAGATAGTAAGGGAAACATGTTGAAAAATAAAACTAACAACAGTGACAACTATATTGACAAAGAATCGCCTAACCAACAATCTAAGAGAAGGACAAACTAAAGAAGTTGAATGTGAGCATAAATCATAAACTACCAAACTAAAGGATGCAGCAGTATTTCTTATAAAACTATAGCATTACCTCTTGACTACGATTAACGACACCAACATAACCAAGCCGAAGGGGGATCACTTTTCCTAGCAAAAGATTACGAGCATCGGTACCTCTGTCCATAATGTCCAACTGAAGTCAAAGAGGAAAAATGTAAAGCTTTGAGAAAAAAATTGCCAACAGCTTGGAAATGTTAAACCACTCAAACTGAAGTGTCACCTTTGTAATTACTCCAATAGTTCTAACACCTATCAACAGAAGAGTAGCATATTGAGAGAGCTGAACAAAAATAAATAAAGAAAGAAAAACAACCATTTGACAGACATCAAAAGTATAACTTACCATCAGGATCATACATTCCAGCCATTTGAAGAGCATCTGAGTTTGCCAAATCTGAATTTGCTGCTGTGACAGCCAGAATCAAACAGCTTTTTTGCTTGATATAGGAGCCAATCATGGTTCTAATTCGTGTTTCAATATCAGAAGGTTGATCACCCACAGGAACCTTTGTTATTCCAGGTAGATCAACAAGTGTGATATCAAGAACATTAGGTGAAAAAATTTTCAAGCGAATCTGCTTGTCTGAGACACCTTTGTTATCCCCAGCTTCCTTGGATGTCTCAGCCTATAGCCAATTCAAAATTATTGATCACTTGAAAATACTGATGATTATACCTAAGAATAAGTCTACTTTCCTTATACAGCCAGAACCAACATGAGAACAGATATATAATAAAATGCTTCCCAAGTTCAGATAAATTTTGCCGACATTAAACAATGATCCAAGAGAGATTACATGGCAACCAGCAGAGTAAAAACATCAGAACTTTGATTAACAAGAAAAATATGCTTTCAATTCTAAGTCAACTTTATGAATTCTATTTATTAACACTAAATAACTCAGGCACATTGTCCCCATTAATTTAATTCTAATAAACAAAAAGGAAGATTTGAGATTTTGGTATTCTTCTTCTTTTATTTTTAACTGAACATGTCCACAGCCATTTAATCAACCAAATAATCTCCACCCACTTCTGCAGCAAGATGGTAGTTAACATAGGAGTTGGCAATCAGCATTCAAGTGCGCGTTAATGCTTCATGTGACAGCTTAACCCAAAAGAACTGGTCATTCACCACTGAATCAATCCCCAAGCAGTGTAGAACCTATTGTCTGATTTAGCCCAATTGTTATGTGGTGGTCAAAATATTTTAACATAGTCTGTCTTAAGTACTCCCAATAGCATTGTTCAGGAAAAACTTCAACTCACGATAACCAGGTGAGCTAAAGATTCTGGGCAAAACATCCTCAAAAGCTAAAATTGCACTCCAAATGCCTCTTCTATTAAGATTCATTTGAATCAAATCTTACATTCAACTGCATCAATAAAACCTTGAATCCCAGATATCAAAGACCAATTCAATACTCTCGATTTTGTGATCAGTTACTAAAGGCATTCACTTGAGACCTCCCCCCAATCCCTCATTTCTTTCTCTTCTTTCCATTTTTTTTTTTTTCACTTCTGCATCAGCTTCCCCTCAGCATAAGTTCCCTGTGCAATTTACCAACTACTATCAAAAGCACAAATCAAGTGAAATAGCACCTTCAAACACTCCCTTCATCGGCCTTGGACATTCCTGAATTTTCTAAAACTTCCACTTATTTTCCGATACTTTCTAGTAAACTGATAAAGAAACATGCATGATTACATTTGTAATAAGCTAGCTCTAGCTTTCGAAAAAAAAAAGAAAAGAAAAAAGAAAAAACATAAACATATTGATACATTAATAAGCAACTTGTTCTGTGATAACTTACTTGAATTTCTCTCCGGATCTCAGAGAAATCATAGAATCGTTTGCCAGGAAGATGCAAGAACTCCCCCCACTCCTCCTCGCTGCCATCGCCCTTCCTCTTAATCTGCAACAACTGCAGAACCAGCGGCCGCCGAGTGCAAATATCATTTCCACGGGGCAAGAAATCCCTCCCTACAAGCGCTTCCAACACACTGGATTTTCCGCTGCTCTGACTCCCCACAACCGCCACCTGCGGCAGGCTTATGAACGATTGGTTTCCGAGGTGCGCGATTATATCCTGCAGCTTGTTCACTATCGGTATCACCGGAGACCCGAGTGGCGCAGCCTGAGATTGCGACGCCTGAGACGGCGATGCAGGTTCGTCAGCCATTGACGGATCCAGTGAAAACCCTAGGGTTTTGGAACTTGTTAGAGAGATAAATGAAAAATATATAAATTTCTGTTTGTTTGAATTGTGTAGAGAGAGAGTGCGTTTAGCAGGATCTCGGATGGGTGATTTGAGATGGACTGAGGTTTGAGTAGTTGTTATGTTGGCCTGTTGCTGCTGCTGTGCGTGGGTCAGAGACTATAATGAACGGTGAGCGTTAAAAGGTTTAAACTGCGCACCTTTTGGTTTTTCATTATTGGTGCGTTCAAATATAAATATTCATCTCTGGTTTGTTTGATTGATGATCAAGTTTTCAATTATTGTCTTTTTATTTATCTATATAAATGTTATTTAAAAATAAAATAAAACAAATTGTTTGGCCTACAAGACAGATTTTTTTTCTATTTATCTAAATATTATTGTTTAAAAAAAATAAAATAATTGTTTGGCCTACAAGAAAGGAGGTTTTCACGATAGTATTATTGAAATGAAAATTTATCTGAATATCATTTTAAATTAAATATAAAGACAAATGTATAAATCAAGAAAACAAATTTCTTTGTTTATTTTAAAAAAATAAAATTCTAGAATTATTGAATTTTGTGATTCAATACTAAAGTTTATTAAAATTAAATCACAAACTTATTTTTAAAGGATATGAATGGAATATTTTCAAAAGAAAAAAGGTTAATTAAAATTATTCACTTTTCTCTTTTCATTATGCTCTCAAAGGAAAAGTTCTGTTATATTGCAAGCCTTAAGCCCTTAAGCATGAAAGCATCTAATTATGCCTTTTGTTTTGACTGTTTCCCACTAAATTAAAAATGACTAAAAAGGTACTATCATTGTCATTTTTCAAAAATTATAATTATCATTATTATTTATAGTGACTTTGAGTTATAAAAAAAAAAAAAACCTATATTTATAATGAGTTTTAATTGAATGATGTTAATATCATTTTTAAAATGAAAAATCTAAAACAACAAAATTAAAAATTAAGATTTTAGAGTTTAGAGATTTAGAATTTAAGATTTAGTGTTTAGATTTTAGGATTTTAGAGTTTAAGATTTAGGTGTTTCTATGGTTTTAGAGTTACCCGAGTAGGGTTTATGATTCTACGATTTTAGAATTTTATCTGGGTTTAGGGTTTAGATTTTAGGATTTACTGTTTTAAGATTTAGTTTCTATGATTTAGGATTAAGGATTTAAACTTTTGTATAACTTTATTATTTTTAATTATTTATTGTGCATCTAGAGTGCTATTATATAGACATATTTTTAAAAAATTATACGAGTTTATCCAAACTTATCTCTTTTACAATCATAATTATAAATATGGTTCTCTTAATAAGGTGAGCAAACAATCGATTAAGTTCAAACCAAACCAAACCAAATAAAGGAGAAAAAAGGCAACCACCAAATTGAATTAAAATTTGTCTACAAAATGAATCGACAAAATTGAACTAATTTGATTCAATTGATTTTTACTTCATCTTTATGATTTTAAATATAATCAGTTGATTTTTCATAAAACGGAATTAAACCAAAAGAAAATTTCGATTTACACCTCCTAAACTGACAATCAATTTTTCTCATGACTAGATTAACCAACCTGAACCAAATCGGATCTTTTTCGAATCGATTTGGTGGATAATTTTGCAGATCCCTACTTTCATGGGCATTTTGCTTATACATGCATACATATACAAATGATAGCTCGCCCCTCATAAAAATCATCCATTGCCATATATGTTTTGATCTTAGAAATTATTAAGGAAATCTGATATACTAAATAATTGTGTCCTATGAACTAATAATTAAATAAAAGTTATTATTTCTTTTATATGAAAAGAATTGTAGATTCGACAATTACATAATTTTGAGCATTGTGGGAAGAAAAAAAAAAAGAAAAAAGAAAAAAGAAAAACAGAACAATTACTCAAGAAAAGTTCATGCTAGAGTGTGAAATTGGAAGCTTCCTCTTGAGCGGGTAACTTTTCCTTTACTGATCTTTCCTTTTGTCCCTGAATGCACTCTGCCTAATTCGTTTAAATTTGTCTGGTATGTCTTACAACTCATTTGAGTTATCAACAAATAATTAGTTTCTCTAAGTGGCTAATTAATATTTTCCAATTAATTTATCTAAATGACTAATTCTTTTAATTAGTCAAATTTCAAATGAGATTTATATTCGCAACATGTCACGCTTTTGAAGCACTGCTATTTACCTTTCAAATAAATAATTGAATAATGTAATTTTCTTTTAACTTCGTTAGAAGATTGAACGGCCGGAAAAACGATATGGATTATATAATAAAAGTAATAATTTTCTTTGTTTATTAAAATAGTGAAAACTATTGTGGTAAAGAGGGATAAGTATGATATTTGAGATTCTTTCGTTTATTTACTCCGTCACATTTTATTTTTGGTTGTTAGCCAACCTAAGATGGTCTGTCTTACTCGTTTCTCACTTCCTCAAATCTTTATGCTGTGTTTTACGAATTATTTCAGAAAAGAACTTGTTGCTGACGTAACATCAAACCCGTTTAGGGCCATACTCATTTTCTTTTATTTAAAAAAAAAAATTGAAAATTCAAGGAGCAGAGCATCAAATATAACTCGGCCTCATTTCATAAGTTACAAAAAATAAATGAACTCAAATTGCTAATTATTCGTTCAATAATATCATTATTATATATATAGAGAGAGAGAATAATCAACAAATTATCTTTTTTGTTGACGTGACGTTCTTTTTAGAGAATGAAATTCTCTAATATTTAAGAATTTGGTATTAATATGGCTAGGAAAAATTAGAGTTTAAAGAGCAAATATGTCATCCATGTGTCTTCTTTATTGAAAACTAGCTTTTTTAAAGATATGTTTTTTTTTTTTTATAAAGTTTTTCGAAATTAAATTTCAACTTCAATTAGTTTTTTTAAAAATTAATTTGTATAATGAAAGCTTTTAATATTAAATTCAAGATTAATTTTTATATTTACCCTCAATATGCAGATTTAAAATTTAAAAATATTTAAATGTTAAAAGTAAAAAATATAAAATTCTCGCAAATCTACCCATCTGTTTATCTTTAATTTTTCATCTAAAAAGTTTTAAGTTACAATATTTATTTTTTCTATTGTATAAACTTTAGTTTCGAGCTTTTTTTAAAAAATAAAAAAGAATTATTAATACAAATATTCGAAAAAGAGATTAATCTGCAGTTGAATTAAAATCGACGATTTATGTAAAAAGTTTTTAAATATAAATATTTTCCTATAATAACAAATAAAAAAAACGATTACATATAAATATATAAAATGATAACATTATTTTTAATTGGTTATGCAAATAATAAAAATGTAAAATATTATATTTAACCTTTTCATCCATCAATTTCATCTCTATACTCGTAAAATCTCCACTATTGTTGAAATATACATCCCATAATCGTGAAACCCTCACTTTTATTTGCCAATTATCTCTATTTGTATTCAAATTTTCAAAATATAAAAGAATTATTAATACAAATATTCGAATAAGAAGATTAATCTGGCAGTTGAACTTAAAATCGACGCATTTTATGTAAAAAGTTTTTTTAAAATATAAATATTTTCCTATAATAACAAATAAACGAAAAAGATTAAACATATAGATAATATAAAATAATAACTTATTTTTAATTGGTTAATGCAAATAAATAAAAAAATGTAAAATATTATATTTAACCTTTTCACTCCATCAATTTCATCTCTATACCTCGTAAAATCATACTCGTAAAATCTCCACTATTGTTGAAATATACATCCCATAATCGTGAAACCCTCACTTTTATTTGCCAATTATCTCTATTTGTATTCAAATTTTCAATTATATCATACTTTTCACTTGTATTTGATCGTTTACGGCTGCAAAAATATGTTAAATAATATTTTAAAAAGGAGAAAAAAAGTTTGAGTAAAAACTACTTACCCCATTGGAGAAAATTATTGAAATGCATACAATTCTGAACTTTTAAGAAAAAACGAACGATATATTTAAAAGGAGAGACCAATACACTTTTTTCAAAAATATATAAGAATATAGTAATACAACTTATATATATAGTATCTTTAAAAAAAGTTGTGTTTCTTGAGAGTAAACAATTTAAAATTAAAAAAAAAGTACATTACTACACCATTTAAAAAAAAAAAGTAAACGAAAACACTAATAAAACTACACAAATAACTAAATCAAACATTAAAAACATTAATACACTAATAAAGCAACTTCACAAATTTAAAGCCATCAATACACGGAAATGTTTGTTATTAAATTTTATCATTTTTTAAAAACTAATAATTAATAATAATTACTTAAAGTCATTAATATATTAAATAATCAAATCAAACCAAAACACTAATTCAAAATAACCAAATCAAAACAATACCATTTAATAATCAAATCAATAATTAATAATAATTACTTAAAGTCATTAATATATTAAATAATCAAATCAAACCAAATCAAAAACACTAATTCAAAATAAACCCAAATCAAAACAATACATTTAAATAATCAAATCAAAAATACTAACTCAAAATAAATCTAAACCAAATCAATACATTAATACATTGCATAATCAAATCAAATCAAACCAGAAACACTAATTCTAAATAATTCAAACCAATACATTAATATATTAAATAATCAAATCAAACCATGCCAAGTGGAAGCCTAATTGAAGGATTATGCCACATGTCAAATTAAAATACTAAGTGAATATGCCACATGTCAACTTTATAGGGAAAGAATACTTGCATTATATATATATATATATATACTCTCTCCTAATTTATGTCTTTCATGAACCTTTCTTTAATGTGATAGTTCTTTAAACGTTGTCTCTTCCAAATTTATGATATTTAAACACAGTGGTTTATTCTACTTGCCCTATTATTTGGTTGTTCTTGTGCGGTCCAAGTAATGCAACAATATTAGAAGTTGAAAGGGTAGAGGTGGACTGAGTGAGAGGTTAGAACCCATGAGATGAAAACATATGATATAGGCTTACTTGGGCTTGGGCCAACCATTGTTAAAAAGTCAGTACTAACCAATTAACTAGCTAACTTAGCACATTTATATGCTCTTTGTGGATTTGGTATTTAGTTAATGTGGGATTCTTAACACTCCCCCTCAAGTGTAACCGGGACTGGACTTTCGGTTGACACTTGAAATTTGAAATCCTCCCCCTGAAGTTGAACTGGGCTTTTTGCCCATGAAATTGGATGGGCCTCACTAGGGAACACCGGTGAACTGAGGAATAATTAGACCGGGCCGGATCTGCTCTGATACCATATTTGAAGTTGAAAGGGTAGAGGTGGACTGGGTGAGAGGTTAGAACCCATGAGATGAAAATATATAATATGAGCTTACTTGGGCTTGGGCCAACCATTGTTAAAAGGTTAGTATTAACCAATTAGCTAGCTAACTTAGCACCCTATATGCCCTTTGTGGATTTGGTATTTAGTTGACGTGAGATTCTTAACACGCAATCCCATCGTAACATTTTTTGAAAGATCAGCCAGCTGTGAATTCATTTGGCAGCACTCCCATTAATGTTGTGTTTGGAAAGAGATGGAAGTAAAATAAAGGGAGAAGGTAAAATAACACTATTCATTTTCCTCTCAAATTGGAGTGAAAATGAGGTAAAAAGGGTATAAATTTATTTTACACTCTCCTTTACATTTTCACTTCAACCAAGTAAGAAATTTTGATATCCCAATAAATTTTTACCCCCTCTCTTATATCCACTCATATTTTATTCCCATCCAAACAAAACCTAACTTTCGAAAATTGTTTAGCTTAGCCATGGGTTTCGAGCATTTTGTCGTCTCTAGAAATAACCGGTTCAAAACTGCTCGTACCAAATACAGCAGAGTTTAAATATTCTAAAATATTAACTTTATCAATGACCAAGTCTGTAGTTGACTCACAAGTCATTCTATACATTTTTTCTTGTGGAAAATGGCAGAAAGGAGAACAATACATGCATCTCCTTTTCATCAATTGCTTGCAAATAGGAAACAGAGAAAAATGAAGACATGGACTCTGTCTGCAACTGTTTAAGATTTGGAAGAGAGAAACTAAAAATCTGTAAGCTTTCTCATCTCTTTAACTTTTCTTTTAGTAGTTTATTTCAGTTTTCTGCTCTATATATATTCATTTGTGTGCTGTGTTGCTAAATACCTAGCTATAAGGTTAGAGAAGAAGTTCTTAAGATCTGCAGGGAAAATGCAATTTTGGTTAAGAAATTGTTATTTTCTGTATTTGACGCTTAAGTTACCATGAACTTGGTTTCTGTGTATTTTAAAACTTTTCATAGCTTGAAACTTTAATTTTTTTCTGTTATATGAGAAAATTAAATTACTTCAGTAGTTCATAATCCATTCTTAATTGAAAGATTAATTACTAAATTCTCTACCCAAAAAGAAAAATTAATTAAAAAGAAATAGAAGAATTATCATCAGAATTCACTATTAGAAGAAGAAACAGAGTATGATAATATATAGTGGATTTACAATAATTACCCTATAGGCTATCCCATATTTTCAAAGTTTATCAAATAAAACACACATAAATAAGTGAGAATTACCATTTACCCTATGAGGTTTCACCAAAATTAGTAACTTGCCCTATTATTCGGTAAAATCACTCATTCGTCTCTGAGGTTTAGCCTTATTAAATTAAATCTTAAAGACGAATCAATGATTTTACCAAATACCAAGGATAATTTAGTAAATTCGATTAAACCTCAAGAATTAAATAATAATTTTCCTTGCAAATATTAATCATCTTTAAAAATTCCTAGTTGAAGCCAAATTATTTTGTGGAGGATTAAAATAAATCTATAAATTTTCAAGTCCATTCAGGACTTGAGAAATGGTTGGGCGTTCTGATGGTTTGGGATTGACACAGTCCAATCCAAGTTCTGCTATTGGCTTGGCAGCCTGTCTAGAGCATCCTGTGCTTGTTAATTTTGCATGCACTAATTCTATTGAATTAGCAGAGTAAGCTCTTGCCGAATCGCTTATGTTCCAATTACATCCAATGCCATAGCTTTTCTTCTCCTTCATAATTAGTTGCAATACCATCACCCCAAAACTGAAAATATCATGAGCTTTGGTTCCTGAATATGTGAGAAAAGAAATGTTAGCTTCATCAAATTTTCATTTAGTATGATATATTTATTTATATATGCAATCCTTAATATAAAATTATAAATTACACACCAAAAATACATTGAAACAAATTAATGCTTATTTGCTTCGACTTACTACCTCTATTTCATAATACTTGTCACATCTGAAATTTTACGTCCCTTAATAAAACCATTAAATTTGTTTAAATTACAATAAATTATTGAGCAAATTGATTATATTACCCTTAATTTAATAATAATTTTTTAATAAAACTATTAAATTGAAGTAATAATTATTGAACATATACAAATGGTAAACGTGAAAATAAAAAAATTATTACTCATTGAAACCATAAAATGTGACAAGTATTTTAGAATAACCTATTTTCTCAAATGCGACGAGTATTACGATACCGAAGTAGTAACATAATTTGCAATTATTAAATGATCCAAAAAGGTTGGAACTAATAATATTTTGAAAGTTGAAAAGATGAGGATTTTGTAGACTGAATTTGTCAAGCTTTTGATGAGAATTAGGTGTAGCTTTTACTTGGCCTATATGAGAAGTTTTGCCTTTTTCTAAAATTGCTTTTGTTGCATTAAAATAAAAACAAAACCTCCACTAAAATAAAATAAAATAAAATAAATTAAAATAAAACCGCAATACCCAAGTATGAAGGTACCAACAAACAAATGGGCTAAAAATTTTGTAAAAGCGCGAAAAACAAATAGACAAAGTAAAACACATTGCTTATTTACTAATTGAATCAGAAAAGCCCAATACAAACCTACACATAACCTGAAATTTTTTTTTTTATATATAAATCTCTGAATTTGGAAAATAAGTTTAAGATTATAATTTGATAAAAAAAAAAAAAGAGGGGAAAAAAGCATGACAACATTCAATTACTATTGAATATATTAGGGTACGTACCTGACTCTATATGATCTCCTTCTGATGTAACATTCCCAAAATCAGATAGTTTGGGGTTAAAATCCTGTTCATTTTGACCAAATAGAATCCACAATTCATTAGTTATTTTCCTTTTTCAAAGAAATTAAATGCTTTTAATTGTATATGATATGCTATGATAGAATTGACCTTATCCAACAAAATATTGTCCAGCTTTAAATCCCTATGGATAAGTGGAGGCACATGATCCTGTAGCTTCTGTATAGCACCTGCAACTCCTTTGATGATTTTGAGGGTCTGTCTCCAATCTAGTCCTACATATAATATAATCAAAACTAATTAAAATAAAAAAACATTATATATAATGCTAGATAATTCATTATACATCAATAACTTGTTCTTCTCACAATTTTAAGGGGATCATATATACAAGCTTGGCATGCTACTATAGGTTTTTTTTTGTTTTCTCTTCAAGAATGTGTTAGGTAAAATTAGCTGATTTGATAATTGTTAGTTGTTTTAGTAGTGTTTAATTGTTAGCTGTTTGAGTGGTTTTTTATGAAAATCTAAAAGCTAAACATTATATAAGTTAACTTTTTATAAAACACTGTCTTAATCTCCAAAAGATAATTCAAATATCATGTCATTATAACGTGGTCAAAACGCTGAAAACTACTTAAAAAGTTGTTCCCGAACACGCCTAAGTTTGGTCCAAAAAATTTCTAACAATTCATATGTCAAGCAAGTTGTGGTTGGACTAATTAGCAGTGTAATAATCAAGTGTTTGCATGTCCCATAGCTTGATATATAATTTTTAAGAGCTTTTTTTCGAAGTCTGGTAAAAAATATTTGTAATTCACATATCAAGCAAGCTGTTATTGGATTAAGTAAAAGCATTAGGAGATAATTAACCTGATAATTTAGTGGTGAGAGTCCCATTTTGCATGAATGGATAGACAAGATAGAACCTTTCTTGAGTTTCGCAGTAGCCAATAAGCTTGATTATATTTTGATGTTGTACTCTTGGCAAGTACTGAACTTCTGCCTGAAACGTATATATGCAGATCGAAACTTTAGAAAATTCATTTGCTTTTATTTATGAAATGCTATTGGTATAATAATTTTAGAAGGCAAGAATAATAGTGAGTTTTGTCATAAAGTTTTGGGTTATTTAAGTTTGTGAAGTTTATTTTAAAATTTCATCATTTTTGGTAGAGTTTGATTTAGTTATATTTAAATCGAGTTTGATTTAATTATATTTAAATCAATAGAATTGAATTCGTATAATTGAAATTTTTTGTTTCTTTTCATACCAAATACAAAAATTTAAATTTATAAATTAATTGCATAAAATTTTATAGAATTTATTTATTTCAAACAAGAGGTAAAGATAGTTTGTTTTCGAAAAATAATTTACTTTTGAAAATTATTTTAAAAATAATTTATTTTTGAGAAACAAATAGAGCCTAATAAGTTATAATTTTAACTAGGGACTAGAAAATAAGAGTGCTAAATAATTAAATATTAAAAAAACAAAAAGCAAAAAAAAAAAAAAAAAAAAAAAATAATTAAATATTAAAAAAACCAAAAAGCAAAAAAAAAAAAAAAAAAATCAAGTGTCTATAAAAAAAAAAAAAAAAAAAAATCAAGTGTCTTATTTTTCCTTACTTGCCACTGAGTTCTTGCTCTTTCAGCTTTATCGCGGGAGAACTTAACGGCTACATATTGGCCGTTAACATTCTTCTCATTCCTTCCGTAGATGATTCCATGATAGACTGGACCAAATGCTCCCCGCCCTATAAATTTTCTTTCACTAAACACATCTGTGTATGCATTTAATTCCTCCACAGTAAACTCTATTATGTCTCCTGAATCTTTTAATTATATGAAATGCAATTAGAACTTGTTTAGTACAAATAAATAATAAAACATAAAAATATATTATTTACTAATAAATTATATATAAATACACGGTAAAATACATAATTTTTATACTTTTCATGAAAAATTATGATACCTCAAACTTTGTAAGTGTCTGTGTTTTCTAAAAGCTATAAATTTTAATAGGAGTGCATACTTTTAAGGTTTTTGGCTAATTTTATAGGTAAAATATTGATTTGTTAATGTATAGTGAGTATAACAGTTGAAACAATAACTTTTTGTGAAAAATACAAGAATGAATTTGTAAATTCCACAACATATATGTATATAGAACTTAAAAAAGGAAAAAAAGAAATCTTTGAAATGAGACACCCACAATTTCATTTGTAGGATTTGATTAATACACCGAGAAACCAAATACTTTCTAACAAGATATGTTAGCACTTAAAATGAAGATGTGAAGAAGAGAGAGCGAGAGAATAGCAAGAGAGCTCTTACCATCCTCAGTATTGTGTCCACAGTAGTAACAGTTAAACATCCTTATGTCAATGCAGTTGTTGTTTGGCTATTCCCTTAACTACACGAACTATACATAGTAAGAAATGTTGTGTATATATAGCAGTGGTTTTGGGAAATTAGTAGCTTGTTGAGGAAATTCCATGCATTTACATATTACAATATTATTAAAATATTATATGATAAAGGAAAAAAGCAATGTTTCTCTGCACTTTATTTCCTTAATAGTTAGTTTGGGGTCGCAGGTTTAAGCCAATACACGAACACGTATACACATTCATGGAAATTTCTGGGCATCACAACACTCTCCTCACCAAATTCTTCTTTCTCCTTATATTTTTTTCTTTTATGAAAAATATGGATTCGATTTCTATGTAAGGTGGTTTTTCATGTTGTAAAGATTTAGATTTAATAAAAAATAATTGCAATACCATTTAGCTTTGACTAAATGGTAATCGTGTAGTCTAAATTAATAAAAGATTATTTTTTAATTGAAATAAAACTATTTTGTGCTTGCACAAGAAAATTGATTTACTGTTCAATGGAATTAGTTCAGTTGATTAATTTCGATGCTATAAGCTGGCGTGAGATTTTTTTTTTTTTTTTTTTTTTTTTTTTTTTTTTTTTTTTTTAAATTTCACCCTCTGTTATTTTTTTTTTTTTTTTTTTTTTTTAAATTTCACCCTCTGTTATTTTTATATTCATTCACTTGGACTGCTCGTGATGCTGTTGGAGTTGCTTATTTTCGTTCTTGTTCTGATTAGGTGTTCATCTCTCTTTTGTACCGAAAAAGCATGATGTTTTACTGATTTTATTATCCGCTCTTTTTTAACATATTTTTGTTTGTTAAAAAAAAAAAAAAAAAAACTTTGCTAAGGCCTCGCAGGACCCAATTCTAATACGTTTTCTTTCATGCTAAGGGGCGGTGTAGAGTATACGGTCCACAATCAAGGTTTTTATTTCACTGCTTCTGCTATGAACTTGCACTGCACCACTCAAATGTCGGGAAAGCAGAAATTAATATTTAACACCAAAGAATGGTTATGAAGCTGGAAAGAATTTTCAAAAAAGTGAAAGGTAATGATCAAGAATGAGTAGAGGAAATTGGTAAGAAGAAAGCTGAAGAAGACGATGGGCCCTTCATTATTATTATTGTTCTGTAGGCATAATTAGTGTTTAGTTTTGAAACACAACTTTTTACTTGTATGGCTTATGCGTGTCCTCTTATTAGCATATAATTGTGTGGTTAAAACAGTTAAATCAATGTTTACTGCGTCTTTTTCCTCCCCTAGACGGTGTAGAAATGTTGCTTTTCTACAAATCACAGGTTTCTAAAGCCAAAATTTTATTAGCAGAATCTTTGACGCCATTACATACTATCTTTTAAAAGCAAAAATTTCTTGGTTACCAAGCATAAGAAAGATTGGTTTGAACCTCTTATTTTATTTGGTATTTGTTAACAGAACTAATTACTTTTCTCAGGCCCCTAGAAGCCTAGCATAACTCAGTAATTTCCAATGTTAGGGGCGGTGTGTAGGGTCAACAATCAAGGGTTTAGTTTATGTTTGCACTTCTGCTATGAACTTGCACCTTTCAAAGGTTAGAAGAAAGCAGACAAATTGTAGAGCCAAAGAATGTTCATTAAGCTCTGGTGCAAGAACTTTCAAAGAAAGTGAAGGGTAATGCCGCAGTAATCAAGAAGAATAATTAAGGAAACATATAGCTAGTGCATTTACTGATCCTTTTCCTCCACATTTCAGATCGATGGCGTAGAAGCATTGCTTTTCTACGGATCACGCATTTTTCTCTAGCCAAAATTTATTAGAAAAAACTTTGACATTGCTATATATATATATAATTAAAAATAAAAATTACTTGTAATCCAAGCATTTGAAAGATTGGTTTGAACCTGATTCTTTTAAGTCTGGAATAGAATTATTGAATATTTGAATCGAAGTTAGAGTAAGGAGATGAATCTTCGAATGTTTAAATCATGAGGCAAACGGTTAAAAGAGTAAAATGAAAAATTACAAATGCAAAGTAATTTTTTTAGAAGAGAAGAGGGACGATTGTGTCTCATCTCTTCAACATGGATTTGCCGTTCTTGAATCCACAGTAATATAACTTAATTCTTTGGTCAGCTCTGCGACTTTTTGGGGTCGAAGTAAACCTTGGAGAAAATTAAGGAAGTTTGATTCGAGCCGTTTAAGTGTTTGTAAAACCCTAGTAAAACCTTTTTCTCTTATTGGAATTGAATCCTCCGTTGTCTGTTTTCCATCTTTGTTTCGAATCAAAATCTCTCAACTTCCATGCCGGTTTTATCTACCAGGTTACTACTCTTTAATCTTAATACAAAACTCCTCACTACCAAACGCATCTCCACTACAATTCTTCACTTCAAACCCAAACCCAAACCCAAGTTCTTCTTCAATTGCTCACTTGACCACCATCTACACCACCACTAGCGACGACGACGACACTGACCCACAACAACAACAACAACTAGACGCTTTGGTTAAGTCATATGGTTGTGCTGGTATGTTTGATGAAGCTACTAATGCACTGTTTCAGGGTAGGCGTACGTGGATTGGTACCTGGAATATGTACTGTACCTGTACTTTTCTTATGGATAGGCTGATTAAGAATAGGAAATTTGATATGGCTACTGCCATTATACACAGTTGAAGAGATTGGGTTTCAGCCCTAATGGAAAAGGTTTACCTTTACTGTGCCGGGTGCATAGCCTTACTTACTTTTGGACTAAACCAACGAGAATAAAATTTTTTATTAAAATGAAGATATTTCTGACCATACACAGAAAAAAAAAAAAAAACAAAAGTCAAAACATTTATTCAAGAATCTTTACTGCCGTTGGTTTGATTTATAAACATAGCTTTAGCACGCTACTTATGCAAAAAGAATTAAGAATTCCATATTTTAAATTTTACAAACCGAACCACATCACCAAAATTTCAAAACTGTAATTTTAAGTCAATTTGAATTGGTTTTGGTACTTTTTGAATACCTCCCAATCGCAGTATACCTAATAAGCCCAACATCTTTTTAGGGGCAAGTTGGACTCAACCTAAGCTAATAGATAAGCCCAGCCCAAGCTAGATCATGTATTGTGCACCTCTAACTAATTGCATCTTGGCGAATATCCATTTTATTTTATTTTATTTCACAAAAGACAAAAAAAAAGAGAGAGAGTAGGAATAGACAATTGACAGAGTCCAATATTAGCGACTTATAATTCCACATGGACATAAAATGAAACAGCCTACACGAGCTTATGAAACAAAACCAAATGGTAAACCAATCATGTACTGCCACGTCTTCAATTACTATAGTCTCGGCCCTCCTGAATGACCTGCCTAATCTCTTTATGAAGCAGCGTTTCGGGGTTTTTGGGAAGTCTTCGAAACAGCTAAGAAAACATCTCTAGAATTCGCTATATCTCTCTTCATTCGCCGCCCGGCTTAGATAACCAAGCAAAGCAACCATGCCTCGCCGAAGCTCCGGAGGTCAGATTTTTGCTTTAAATCTTTCTGTTATACATTTTCATAGATATAATCGTTTAAAGTTTGTGGCTTTTCTTTTCTTTCTTTTTTTTTTTTTTTTTTTTAAAGTTTGTGGCTTTCTTTTCTTTCTTTTTTTTTTTTTTTTTTTTTTTTTTTTTTTTTGTTCTCTTAGGAAAGCTAAGAAAATAAACCCAAGATGGGATCTTGAGTATGTTTTTGTTTGTTTGTTTGTTTTTTTTTTTAAATTGTGGAAAATATGTGTATCAAAGTAAGGAATTAGATCTGCTGTGCTATTTTGTGAGGGAGAGATGTGTTGGTTTACAAATTACTAGTTTTTGGTTTTGAACTTTTGGGAAATTTATTTGAGTTAGCGTTGGACCTCAAAGTTTGTAGCTTTATGGGCCTAGATATGTTGATTTTGTCTTGAACGAAATGGGTGTCAATTTTTTTCCTTGTGCTATTCCTTTTGATATTTGTGTTTGCTTGTTTTGACGGGGTGTTAGGGTTTCTTCATACCATGAAATTCCTTGGTTTTTGCTCCAGGAGAATTTGAAATTAAATGCAGATGCTGTAAAGTAGATATATGGCTTTGCAGTTGTCTGGTCAAGATGCTATTCAGAATAGGAGCTTGAAAATTTTCTTAATTAGGTCGCTAGTTAACTAAATTATGATGTTGAGGTTGATGGATGAATTAGATTGTTTAGTTGGTGCATAGCATTACTGTATCCTGTTGGTATAAATGAATCAAAACTTGCTGCTTAGATGATTCTGATGGTTTTTTTGGAGATTATGATTATTGGATATGGACGTAATACCTTGATCATGTTTGCATTATGTAGGTTAAATTCAGCAGTTCAACTCTTTAAGATCATCATGAGCTGCTATTTCTTTGTTTCAGTTGCATCTTTTTATAGAGCTTCTTACTTGCTATTTTTCAGCTGTAATGTTTCTTGATGTGGAATATTCATGATGCCTGGTGTGTCAGAAAATTGCTTATACATGTTGTTTGATGTTGTAGTATTATGACTGTAAATTTGCTATGATGTCATATTGTTAATAACTCAATCTTAACTCCTATCGCATGTATTTGTGGTGTATTATATATTCCTTTGTGAGATTTTCCTTTGGAGGTTAATGTTAACAATAGTTGTGATCTACCTTCTGCCACAGGAAGATCTGCTTCTCGCCCTGCTGCTCGTCCTGCACCAGCACGTGGCCCACCACCTCAACCAGGTACTATTTCATGGTATTATTTTTCAAGTTGCAGCCTTTAAGATTGTAAATAGAAAATTATAAGTCTATATATCATATTTGATATGATTTCCTTGAATTCAGGATAATTAACTTGTTTTGAAGCACTTGATTTAATTCAGTTTTCATGTTTCCATGCAGTTAACCATGCTCCTCCTCCAGCTCCTGTCCAGAATAGCGGTGGTGGATCATTGCTTGGAGGTCTCGGTTCTACCATAGCTCAAGGTATGAAGAACATCTAATGCGTATTTGGGGTGGAAATTTGTTCTCTATTTCATTTGGATTGAGGAAGAACTAGGAACCTTTTATATCTGTTTTCTGTCTTCAAACAGGCATGGCTTTTGGCACTGGTAGTGCTGTGGCACATAGAGCTGTAGACGCTGTGATGGGACCTCGTACAATTCAGCATGAAACTGTTGTCTCTGAGGCCGCTGCCTCAGCTTCTGCAGCCAACACTGTAGGGGGTGCTGATTCATGCAGTATTCACTCAAAGGCATTCCAAGATGTATGCAAACTTTTCTCATCTGGTTCTGTGATTGCTGCTATATACATGAATGCTTTTTAGTACAGTGTTCGGTGGTGTTGAGGTGATATTTGCAATTAGAAAAATAAAATAAACCCGAACTTTTAGAAACAGCAATTCTCGAGTAACTCTCTTCCACATCTTTCCTTCTCATAGCTTTGGCTTTTTGCATGATCTTTATTTCAATTGTTCTATCTATGACTTCTTTTTTTGGACATTTCATTTCTACCACCCAAGAGACTTGAAACTCATCTGCATGAATGCTGTCATGAATTGAACTTACATTTGTGCCTCAGTTTGCAATGTTTCTTGGAATTTGATTGTCCCGAAATATTCATAGTAATTTGAAACTAATCACTTGTTTTTCTTATTTAAATTAGTTGGTCATTCATACTTATTATTTTGTTTTATAATTGAGATTTTTTTATCTGAATAATGCAATTATTGAGTTTGCAGTGACATTTCTTTTTTCATTTGTCTTGCAGTGCATTAACAACTTCGGTAATGACATCAGCAAATGCCAGTTCTATATGGACATGTTGGCTGAGTGCAGGAAGAACTCAGGCATGTTGAGTGCCTAGGTGCTATATTCATACACAGACAATGGAAATGGAATACCAGCTTTGAACTTTTATCCTCTTTATCTTATTTTGATGCATATAATGGTGATGGTGATGGTGATGATGATATGTTAAAGCGTTCTCCTTATATGCACTAGGATTTAATGTCAATAATTATTGTGGGAAACTATTTAACCTGCACTTTTAAATTTAATTGTTTTCCAGTAATTACTAAACATTTATTCTCTTCGATCTTGATGCTTACATTTTCAGAATTGAATGGTTCATCTTGAAAAATGGTTGCGGGTAATGTGATTTTCCTCGAATTGGCTTTATTGGTTTATCGTTCAATTTGATAAAATTTATCTGCTCTATGTATGGTAATGGAAGTACATTCTAGTTTGTTATAATCCTCCATTTGCATTGTACAGATGTTTATAATTTCTCTACACGACAATAGAAGACAATGAGGAAAAAAAATAATTTTAGTAAATAATTGAAATTAGACATCATATCATATTATTTTAAATAAAAAAATTTAGGAAACAATAGATATTTTTATGCTTCAGTCTATATATGATTAACTCCAGTAAATATATTTCTAATCAAATACACTTAAAATTTATCAAGAATGATATTTAAGTTGCATGCCAAGATATAGTTTTGTAAATGATTTCAATCGGATTTGAATTCTTTTTATTAATACTTAAAAAAAAAGAAAAAAAAAGTGATATTTAAGTTAAATAAAATATTATATAAAATAAGAAAAATGTAACTTTTAGCAAGTAAGAAAATTTATAGATGTCCATCAACATATTGGCCTCTTGGGTTTAAAGGCACAACAAGTAATTACTTGGGACCTTAAGTTATACTCCTCCCCTGTCATTTGATAACCAATTATTTCCTATCTCACGTTGCTTGCCCTTGATTGGTTTTAGAACGTATAGATGGACGAGTTTGATTTTTGAAGCCTTGCAGCATTGTAAAATATAACCTTCTACCATTGTATTTTTTTTTTTTTTAAAGGCAGAATAAATAATTGGTAAATCAAATGCAGATATCTTTAAATTCTCTAAATCTGATCGGTTTATTTCTTCAATTGCAATCACCATTGAATAAATTTCAAATTCAAATTAAAATATCGATCATCGATCAGGATTTTAGGCATAGCATCCTTCAGACTCAACTAAAATATATAGGTGTATATTTACTTATTTTTAAAATATTGATATCAAATGCACATATCTTTAAATTTTCTAAATCTGATCGGTTTATTTCTTCAATTGCAATCACCGTTGAATAAATTTTAATTTCAAATTAAAATATCATCATCGATAAGGATTTTTGGCATAGCATTTGTCAGACTCAACTAAAATATATAGGTGTATATTTACTTAGTTGCCCATGTGTCTATATCTCTCTCTCTCTCCCTCCTCGTACTATTAAAAAGAATACTCAGTTTATTCCTCTTTAACAGCAATTAATAGATATTTTACTTTATTTTATTTTAAATGTTCGTTAAAATTTTGAGCATATATTAATAATTTTTTTTTCAATTTTATTTATATTTATTAGGTGTAATTTATTTTTATGTTTACATTTATTTTTCTCTTTTTTTTTATCATTATTTTACTTGTAGTTAAAATTTTGACTATAAGCATAACTGAATTTTTTTTGTTATATCAAGACATGAAAAATGAAAGGAAGTACTACTTTAATGATGGTGCTTTAACATGAGATAAAATTAGCATTTGTTGTAAAATTAAATTAAGTGGTTTAATTTTAAGAAAGATAATTTAAATATTCTACTGTATATTTTTAGAAAATCAATGTATTTCAATCGTTTAATTTAATTACTATTTTTATGTAAGCTTATAAGCTAACCAAGCCAAGCTAATAAATACTCTATAGCCTTCTTTCTCTCATTCTTTTGATCTAATTTGAATCATTCGACACATTTAAACTTTAAAACAAAGCTGGTCACGTGGCATTCACTCATTCAACAATCTATTACATGCATTTATTTCAAAAAGTAATAAATGTTTTTTTCCATATGTACCCTTTACATACGACCAATAATTATTATTTCAATTTAATATTTTTTTTTTGAAAAATTAAATGAAAATTATAGTCAACTCAGACACAGGTTATCCCATATAACATTGCTCTTTCAACATAATCCGATTGAATTTACCGGTTCAGTTCAATTTGAGAACCATGGTTAAATATTTATTTTGATTATTAATTTTACCAGCCATAGCCTATGTATTTGGTAGGTGTAATATAATAACTTCGATTTGAAGTGCAACAATAAATAATTGAGGGGGAAGAAAAACACATTTCAAGAGTTAAAGAATTTCAATTAAATAAAACTTGATAAGATGTTTTATTTTCATATTAAACGGTGCCAAGTCACCATTTTTAGCAAAAAAAAAAAGGTCCCAGACGTGAAAATGCCCCAACCTAATAAAACCTAATTTCCATAATCCAAGCTCTTTTGTTTAGCCTAAACCATCTCTTAATTAATGCCTACCCACCTTACTAAAAACATAAGTTTAGCTAATCCTCGTGTTAGAGGTGTGGGTGCTTCATTAACCCATTAAAAAACCCTCTTCCAAGTTGTTTATTCTTATTTACAATTCAGTCCCTCACTTTTTTTCTAGGGATGAAATTGTATTTTTCTTTTTAAAACTATAATCTGCCCTTGAGAAAGTTGGTGCATAACTTCTTCCATGCCTCCCTATCTGGCTCTTGCTCCTCCAAATTTGCCTTGACCTCATCAGCAAATGAACTCTACATTTATAAATTACAACTTTTCAGTCAAAATAATGAAAATTCTCGAATCGTATCGAGTTTTACACCAACTATCTAATTACGAGTAGATTCATATATTGCGAGACTCGTTTATATACTCCGATCTCATGTAATTCGTCAGGTGTTAAAATCAATAGAAAGCAAAAATGAAAGCTTTTCATACCATGATAAAATTGCGTTGGAGAAGTCTGTCAATCAAGTGGACGAGAATGTCTTTAGTATATTCAGGATGACCTTGGATGCCCATCATGTGATCACCATATCTAAACATTTCAATTCCAGTCTTATCAGACCATGCCACTACCTCTGCTTCTGGAGGGAGTTCTATCACCTACAATAGGTTGCAAAACATTGGAAATATATCCCCACTCACACAAGAAAAGTTTTAAATGAATAATTGATATGGTGCTCAAGATTCAGGTTCAGTTTTTTTATTAAACAAACCTCGTCCCTGTGGCATTCTATCACAGATAAAAAAGCAGGCATTTTCTGTGCTGATAGAAGTTTTGATGATGCCAATGAGAAATGGATGGCTGTGACACCTATATCCCAGCCTGAAACGGCACGACCAGTCTTTCCTCCTAGTGAGCGAGCTAGTATCTGATCAAAACCGTTAGAACTTTATCAGCAAAGAATTATTACCTCAATGATTTTTTTTTTTCAAGTACAAAGTTGATTATGCCTTATCTTTGGTTCATGAAAGATACAAATATTTTTTTTTTTTTTAAATTATGCCTATATGATATGGCTTTTATGGTTTGTATTATGATTAGAATTTTTTTTGGTCATTTGACTCCACAAGATATTGTGAACCCCATATGAACGCCTATCACATTACCACCCAGAAAAGAGGACAAGAAAGGGTAATAAATTCTTTTAGGCTTATATCGGAAATTTTTCGAAAAGGACAGAAAAGGGTAAAATCAATGTTGAAGATTTGGACCCTAAATAACCTAATATGAAATAGGCAAATATATCAAACGCTAGACCATGATTAATTTCTCTTAATAAGCAAATGTTTAGGTGACATGTATAATATACACAGAGAGAGAGAGAGGGAGAGAGGTAGCCCATGTGTTTTAATGTGATATGGTCCAATGTGTCTACCGACAACTCTTATCTGCCACTCATATAAAACATGAGTCTATTTGGCTAAACATCGGCTTTTGTCAACATTCCTCATGATAAGTTATTTTATATGCATGTTTTATTTCATTTCTCTTGATGGACACTGTTACACTAGTAAAGTAAACTTAATTGTATAAAAAAAATATACAAAACAAGTCTCCAATTAATGTGATGCCTTATCTACCTGCTTGCACTAACACACCCACTTAAAAAATTTGGAAAAGGGAAAAAAACCAAATAAAGTTGAAAAGGACAATTAAGCATCTGAGTTGTAGACACTGTGACAGGCCTTTTTCATGCAACCTACACAACCATCAATAGCTTCACAATTTGTTTAAGTGCAATTCCACATTCTCAAGCATTAAAAAGTTCAAAATTAGAACTAAAAACACCCAAAATTATTGACTTTTGGCAGTAGTGATCGAAGTGTATATTGAAACAAATTAAAAGAAAAATTCACCTGTATATCCTATTTACTACATATCTAAAAAGGATAACAAATGCAAACCTATACAGCTGTAGGCACTAAATGACTCAACTAAAGAATCAGAAGCCTACTTTAGGAGCTATGTTTCTAATATCTTCTAATAGGTAAGTTTCACACCTTTTACAAGAGGATGAAGGAGGATGATTCCGTCTTACTCAATTATAGTTATAATTACACAAATATGGAATTGCCCCAAAATGAAAAAAACTAACAAAACCAAACAATTTACTTCAATTTTGCAATAAATGGGATGATTACAGAATGCACTTCATTTTGAAAATGAGCAGACATCACTTCTACATTAAACGAACAGCAACCAAACATCTCAAGACCATATTTTGAATAGAAGCTAACTATTGTCGATGTAAATGTAATTAAATTCAATGCATTTATAATTGTTGCAGTAGAAAAAGGAAAGATCCTATCAATAGCCAAGGTCGCTAGATAACGTTCCAAGTCTCCAATTTAGATGGAAAGTGTGACCCCACAGGAATTAAACCATAAGTAGAAAGCAAGAAGAAAGTGGGACCGCTATGAACTTTATTTCACACTAGAAAGGGGATCACAGCAAATGAAAACTGCACCAATGAAGGCTTTCATGCCGGGATTGTAAGGTATATGGACCACTCACATATTAAGTTGTATCTAAGTGGACCATACACAAAGAAAGAAATATAGATAATTCATATCAGTATTGTTTTTGTTTGTTACTTAAATTTCTGATAGAACTTTACTTGTTTGGACATTGATCAAGCTTAACACTTTCTTTGACTAGCATCCAAACAGAGAAGAGAAACAATTTTAAACCTTTGAAGATACCATCTTGCCCTTTTTGACAACTGGAATTGCTTGAGTGTCAGTCCCAACCCAAGACGACATTTCTTTAGCTTGCAAGAAAATATAATAAGAACCCAGAAGAAATCAGTCTAATGCCAATTCTTTCCTCCTTAATCTTAGGGGAAAATGTAAAATTTTGTAATTTAGCAGAGTAACTGATTACTTAATTACAGGAATGATGTGAAGGAGCTTTTTCCATTAAAATCAAAAGGTACTTAAGAGCAAACAAAATATGGCCGTTTCTTCTCAAAATACGGCACCTACAGAGACATTTCAAAAGGCACATACACGTTTAAAAAATAAATAAAACAAAAAACAATCAAACAGTATGACACCAAACAAATGATTTAAAAATTAAATAGTCAATAATAAAAAAATAAATACCTGGTGTCCAAAACAGATACCCAGAACTTTCTTCTTCATAGAATCCAATTTCTTCAACAGATTCATAAGTTTACAGATCCAAACATCATTCGCATGAGCATCATTGCAGCTTCCAGTGATCACAAACCCATCAAAGCCGTCAATCTCATCATCATCGGGAAACTCTCCACATGCCACCTTATAAACAGCCCATGTCTCTCCTTCCTCCCCCAGCATTCTTGCAAACAACCCAAAATACCCTCCGTACTTCTTCTTCGTATAATCTGAATCTTCTGCGCAAAGGAGAACAGCAAATTTCTTTCCATCCATCTCCATTTTTTCTCTTTTTAACCAAAAGACGATATATTCTTTTCAAAATTTAACGACGAAATGTGGTTCTTTCTGTCTCTAAAAGGGGAATGTGCCGATTTGTGGAAAGAGAAGGAAATGAAGGAGATGGGTTTTCTTTCCTCTGTACTAAAAATCGAAGGATTTTATTTGGAGAGGAAAGAAAACCAAACAGGGAGGAGAATTTTGGAGGTTATGTTCTTTCTTTCTCTCTGTTTGGTATAGTTACTGGGCTTGCACAAACAGAACAATGGAGAGTATATATTGAGGTTGGGTTTCAAACTTAGCCATGGTTGTCATAATTATTTACAATTATGTCATAATTTTCATGTTACCAAAAATACCCCTTGGAGTTACTGTTCCTTTTTTGGTGGTTCAATATGGGTTTGGTTGATGAATCTAACTGGAATTGAGGGAGCATTAAGTAATAGTGTTGTGTTGTCCCAATTCATAGTATTAATTAGCTTAACTACAAATCTTTGTTTAACCGGTCATTTATGTTATGTTCTGTTATTAACCGATCAAATTCATAGTACACATTTGACATTTCCACTTTGAGATTTTCAAATGGGCCTAATATATAAATTTGATTATGAATTTTGTCCGATTATTTTTTGTAGTCCCTTAAACTTTTCAAGAGTTCAATTATGATGTATATTTTCACATTTTAATAACAGTAATGTCTCTCGCTAAAATGAAATATTTTAATAAGAGTTCAATCATAACTATGCACTTTTTACATTTTATTTTGACGATCGACATAGTTATTATTGAAATGTGTAAGTGTAAAATCATGATGGGTTCCCAGTAAAATTTAAAAGGCCACAAGCATAATCGTCGAAGTATAGAATCAGATTTATGCATCTGACATTTTTAAAGATCGACTTATTTATTAAAAGTTTGTTTGGCTTAACTATTCATATTCATTTGATTTAGCTATTCATATGAGCTGATAGTTAATAGATAGCAGTTGCTGATAGCTCGTAGTGGTTGGTAACTGAGGATGAATGTTTGGGTTTTTCCTCTTCATGTGGTTTAGCATTCTAAAATAGCGAGGGAGAGAAATTTTCCGATTAATTGTTGAGTAAATAAGAGTAAGGTCAAATGAAAAAGGAGATTGGGTTTTTCTTTTTCCTCTGATTAACTTATATTTATAATAATCTGAAAAAGTTATTATATTAATTTATTAAATTTTTTAGGAGTATGGAAAGATAATATAACCACAGAAAACAGCGAGAAAAAAAAAAAAATATTTTAAAGAATATTTTTTTTGGAGGTTTTTATCGAATTTTTTTGCAAAAAAAATTTAATAAAAATCATTCTTTTATTTTTCCTCTCTGCTTTATTTATTTGGATTATTTAGTAATTTTTATTAAGTATCATGGCTGCACAACAAACAGACAATTGAGAAGTTATATATTGAAGGTGTGGGTTTTCAAACTTTAAGCCATGGTTGTTCATTAATTATTTACAATTATGTCATAATTTTCATGTACCTAAACGATATTAATAATTTATTTAAAATAATCATTTATCCCCTGGAGAAGAATGTTACTGGTCTTTTAAATCCTTTTTATAAGGTGGGTCCGTAACAAATAAATAGTAAGAGATTATGGGTTGTTTAAGAATGTGCTGAACTGGCAATTTGGATAAGGAGGGTTGAAGTCCTCTATTTAATTTAAGATTAAATAGTAATGTTTGTTTTGTTCTTATTATTTAATCAATGTAATTCCTTATGCCTTAAAATAACTACTCTTCAAATATCTATTATTTTTTCACATATATATATATTTAATGTTTATGATCTAATTATGCTGTTTGCTAAAACTAAACATAAAAATCTTGTTGTTTAGAGACAGCGAAGAAAAATAAGAAATCTAATTTATGGTTATTTTCTGTTATTAGGAGAAAGACGATATAATACAAAAAGGCATTAACAATAAAGTACACAGGAACTATTCCTCTTTGGTATTCGAAATGGTACGCCATTCTTTTTGTATGATTTTTTTCTCTAAATAATGTGTGTTCCTTTTAATTTTATAACTCTAAAACTAATTTGATTTTTATGAATTTTGTACGATATTTTTTGTAGATCCTTACTTTTCAAGAGATTCATTATGATGTATATTTTTTCAAACATTTTAATAACAGTTAATGTTCTCTCGCTAAAATGAATATTTATTAATATAGAGTTCAAATCATAAACTATGCACTTTTTTTAACCATTTTATTTTGACGATCGACATAGTTATATATTGAAATGTGTAAGTGTAAAAATCATAGATGGGAAAAGCAAACGATATCTTTTTTACTAACCTATTTACAATTGGAAGAATAAAATTATTTTTTAGCCCAGATAAGAAAGGAATCAGTTATTTCCGCAGTAAAAAAATATTTATAAAAAGAGAGCTCCATCTAAACAATGACCATTATTCGATTTCAGTGAAGTTATTAAAGTAGAAAGACAAAAAAAACAGTAGTGTGTTTTGAATATTATTATATTTGCATTCTGACATTTTTTTAAAGCCTTACAGAACGTTTAATTTATTAAAATTTAAAACAGTTTTTTAATCTACCAGATTTTAATAAGTTGGCTTGAATAAAAACTATTTTTTGCCACATCATATTTTTGATCAAAAATACAAAAAAAATGTTAATTAGCCTTAATTGATTTTAGAGTGCCTATTTCATATGAGCTGATAGTTTTTAAATTAGATTAGCAGTTGCTGATAGCTCGTAGTGGTTGGTTAGCGATTAAATAATAATTTCACATATACATTTTAATTTTACAAGGTGGATAATAAATTAATTGAATATAAATTATATAAATTATATATCATTCTATATAAAATAAAAATGTACCATAAAACTATTTTTTAACTATAAAAAAGCCACAGAAAAAAAAAGTTGTAGACTTAATTTTGCTATTAAAATATTTAATTGCGTATTTTATGATGTCTCAGTAATTTTAGAGAGTAAAGTTTCTTTATTAAATATTTTATTATTAAATAAACGTACAATAAATTGAAAGCGACTATTAATTTATATACAACTAGATTGGGTCTGGAAACAATCAAAATCTTCTAAGATTAATCATTATGAAAAGAACTGAAACTGTGAAGCAATCAATAATACAGTAATTAATTCTCAAATACAAATTATCTCATATGAATCCATTAAGATATGGTAAAATTTTGTAGTTTTGAGTTCTCCTTCATTTTATTTCATTTCTAACCAGATGTTAATTTGGATGTACATTTACAATATGTATATAGGTGTAAATACTGAAATGGTGGGCCAATAATGATGCCAGTTGAAGGTTATATTATTTTTTCATTATTTAATTATGGTGATTAATTCCAATTAATTTTTTAAAAGGAAAAAAATTGGATTAGAATCAGAGAATTAGCATTTCGTAAATAAAAATGCTTTTATTTTTTTATAATCATGGATTGTTATTGAGATCAATTTTCCGAGATTCGTGAAATATCCAAAAGTACGCCAGTAGCCTACTATCAAACAAAAGAATAAAATTGAATTTTAAGAGGAAAGAAAAAAATTATTAGCTCGTTTAATTTTTTAATTCTTGTTTAAACTAGAGTAATTTGGTTATTTTGTGCCCGTATTCTTTCGTGCACAAGAACATTCACCATAGTTTTTATCAACTTCTATGTTAATTTTTTTTAGTAGGTAAGAGGTGAAATATTTGAAGAAGGACAATAAAACATTGGGTTTGAGAAACTTTCCTCCAAATGCTTGTTATTATATTTTTTTAATTTTTCCTTACATTTTAAATTTTTTTTTTTCTTTAAGAAGTATTTTGTTTTCATACAATACACAAATTTAATTATTTCATTTATTGCAGATCCGTGTCAACTCCGACCATATAAAAAAATTTGTTTTATTAAGTTTTTATACTTTTGTTTAGAAGCGCTCACGTATAGATTAACCCATTATGCATGATGAAAACAAAGAACAAAAAAAAGTTTTTATATTATCTTTTTTTTATAATACAAAATAAATTAAATAAATTACAAAAATTACATAGTAAAGTGTATATTTATAAATTTTAAGGGACACATTATGAGTTTTTATTACTTTAAAATTGTTATTTACACCTTATTTCTTCCTCTATAAGAATCAGAATTTTTATATTCGGGCTCTGATAGTTATTGTCATTGAATCCACCTTTTGATTTAATAAATATTTTATAGAATATAATTGATAAAAATCAGTTGTAAAAGTTTAAAAAAATCAACATTCTCTCCGTTTTTTATTGTTAATAAATTATTTTGATTATAATAATAAAATAAATAAAATTAATAATTAGTATGATTAATATATATAAAAAGTAATAATATTATATGTTATATATAAAAATAATAAAAAAATGTTTGGGTTGAAGCATGTTTTTTATAGGTTGGCATATATCTCTTTACAGACGATTCCATAATATAATTTTCTATTATAAATTTTGTGACGATATTTAACAATATACTTTACCTTCCTACTTGCATATAGCAATTACTCGCATAGGTGCTCTATTTTTTTTTTTTTTTTCTCAATTTGAAATTACAATCTAATTACATAAGAACTTTGTACGGTTATAATAATTAAAAAGCAAAGATTTTTCCAAAAACGACCCTTTTGCGAGAAAAAATGAGGTTTGGAAAAATTGATAAGTGGTTAAAGGAGACATACACGTGGTTTTTCGGTATTAGATAACTAGAACTATGTTTACATAATATATATACTAAATTAAACCAATATTTCACAATACATTTTTTATGAAGTACCAAATGTATAACAATAAAATCATTTGGCAAATCTAATTTAAAACCATCGAAATTACCTTTCAAGATTAAGCAAATAAAATCTAAAATAAATTAATATGATTTCCTCCACCTGTTTCATTTGGCTCTAAAATTTTGGCCTTTTTAAGAATTTATGACGTAACATAAAAATAGAGGTTTATTAATTATTTTTTAGTTTAAAATTTTTTTAAATACTGAAATTTTGTTTGTATTTCACACAATAGTGCCCACTTTTGTATTATTTAGAAAATTTATTAGAAAACAAAAGAATTTTCGATGAAGAAACGAACTGTTAAAATACCTATTGAATTTTTTGGTATTGTTAATAAAAGTCTTTGAGGAATTAATTTAAATAATATTAATAAGATAAAAAATACCACATAAATACTCTACGAACAGTATATAAATAAATTATAACACAACAATAATATTAT